TGATCTTGGGATTCTTATGTAAATTAAATGAAAATCAATTGAATTATCACGCCATTCTTCAATAAGAAAAGAAAACCCTTCGAGTAAAAACCATTTGCTCTTCACGCATGGCATGGTGTTGGCCACCTGGGCAGCCGATGGCTGGAGCGATAAGATTCCTTAGTCAGCGGTTTGTTTCTCCAGATCTGGTTGAGCCGAGCATCTCGTAGTGGGACAACAAGAGCAGTTCGACGATCACTGTTGTGTTCAAGTTAATATTTGATCACCCTTCTGACAGGTGGACATGGCTACTATCTCCCTTTGAAACATCAAGCGACCTGTGACTACGCCCCTCCTTTACGCTTCCCCATACTGCCCTTGCTCCGCTCCGCTCGACCCTCCCGCTAAAACAAGCGACCTCAATGCAGCCCTCCGATACTCAGAACACTTGCGATAGATGATAGCGAGCCAGCAAGGCTAGATGGAGCTCTATGGCTTCCGGGCACAACTCAGCATACTCCGCGTCGGCTCAGCATCGTGCACTTGGTGATGGACGACGCTCCTCGCTCAGTCAGGATGGCGGCTCCGCCGATGGGAGCTGGCAGGATAGTATCCCAAGAATTGGGAGGAACAGGCGATCCGAGTCTGGAGGGAGCAGCAACATGGGCGGACGAGGAGGATCATTGGCACCCTCATTAGCTCCCTCGTTGGCACCCTCCATTGGTGGACCAGGTAGCTTTAGTGCGGAGCTCAAAAGCTCGACTTCACGGAGTGTCACGCCACGGGCGGACGGCCAATATAACAGACGTGCCAGCAGATCGATTGGCGAGGAAGACTTTTACACAACTGAGGAGCGACAGGCTTTCCTTCGAGACAGGATCGCGAAGGAACTGAAGATCAAGAGCGGAACCGAGAATATGCTGGAGGCGCTGCTAGCAAAACCACCGAAGCAAACCAAAGAACAGCGTCTCAAAGTCGAGTCAGAATTGAGCTCATCGAACCGCAAACTTGTCGAATTGCAGCATGAGCTGGAAGAAGAAATATTACGTGCGCAGGCGCCGGCCTCGACTCCTCCACGCAGCAGCCGCCTTTCGAGCCTTTTCCGAGCTAGCCCCATGCGCTCGCCATCTCGAAACAAGGATGCCATCGGATCGGTCAATGGCGATGAGGAAGAAGATGGTGACGGTGACGTGGAGTCGCCAACCTATGTCCTCTCGGAAACGCTGCAGGCGTTGGAAATAGCGGGGATGTCTCCTGATTTCTATGTCGAACGCGCCAACAGCTTGGTTGAATTGTTTAAACGGCATCCCACATTGAAATATGACCTGGCATGGTCTGTTTTTGGCCTACGGGTTCAGGTCATGCTTTTGAGTGACAGTAAAGAGGTGGTAGCTGCGGGTTATCGACTAACACGCTATGCCATCGCTGATCGCAAATCCCTACAAATAATCCGAACACTCCATACCGATGAGCTCGTGATACTGTCCCTGGTTAAAGAAACCAAGGCAAGCATTGAGAGGGAACAGGCATTGAAGTTTGTCAGAGGCTTCCTGGATGTCAAAGACGGTGTTCGAGAGATATCACGCGCCATTGTGCGGACCATCGTTGCTGTTGCTGAACATCATGAAGATCGTCTTCGGAACATTTCAATCATGACCTTGGCTGAGATATTGGTCAAAAATCCCGAACTGGTTGCTTCTGCCGGTGGATTTGCTGCCCTGCATGATGCGCTTGCAGAAGGGACGTTCGGCGCCTCAGAGTCTTTGATATCAAGTTTTCTGCATGTTGTGGACACCCCCCGTAGTCGAAAGTTTCTCCAAGGATCTGAACTTGAAGCTGTTCTTACGCCTTTCACGGATTCATTATCCGATACACTACGCAATGGGCGATTAAAGTCTGCAGCGCGGGCAATTTCTGCGATGCTAAAGACTTGGCCCGGGCTGGTTATTCTTGCAAGACATGACTCACAACCGTTGCGTTCTCTCCTTGATTCGCTTCATTACAATGATCCCATAGCCCGAGACTTGATTATGGAACTATTATTCGACGCTCTGCGAATAAAACCTCCCTCCTGGTCGTCATCTTTCCTTGCGGGCAGACGACTCACAACTTATGGCAGAGTGTCGAATCTTCGCTCTGACCTTGAAACATCAAGAGTCAGCCGCGCTTTCAACGACACTAATAGCAACAGATTCGATTTGACTGCTCATTTTTCTACTCTCATATTGGCTGGTTTGGTCGCGGCAGGGCTCCCAAAGGTATGCATTCTTTTTTTCTAGGCCTGACTTAGTACAGGAGCTGACCCAGTGCAGGTTCTCTCCGACGTCATTGAAGATGAAGCAGATCTCTCTCTCAGACGTAAAGCAACTCTGCTATTAACGGAGGTTCTCAAGCTCGCGCATCATTCCTTACCCCAAGCCGTCAGTGCGAAACTTCAAGTGCTTCCACACCTAATCCCACCCGCAGTCGATTTTGAAACTGAGAATCACGACCTTTCAACCGCAACTATCTTCCAAATTGATAGTATCAATCGGACATTGGCACGTTCTGGTGGATACCCCAGTGGGCAGGGCCGATACAACATGGAGACAGATTTATCGGTTTCTCTGCTTCCCGTTGAGCAAGGGAAAGACAAGATGAGCCCTTCCATGGACGAGACCCAGTTCCGCAATGCCATCCTGGAGACTCATGTCCTGAACACCGTCAACTTCAATAAGTGGAAATGGGACATTATTCACCGTCTAGTGGAGGGTCCTCTTACGAATCCAAAAAGAATGGACGAGGCAATCAAAGGCTCCAAGTTCATGAAACGTCTCATTGGGTTTTACCGGCCTTTCAAGTATCGCTTCGCCATGGTTGCAAACACCAAGGCAAATCAAAGATATGTTCGAACCGGCTGTGTTCTCATGCGCACTCTCGTTATGACCCCCGAGGGCACCAAGTATTTGGCTGAGAACAAATTCCTTCGTCAGGTCGCAGAATGTCTGGCCCAGCTGGACCGCATGAGTGGGCTAACGTCTGCGTCCCCGCTCTTCTCTAAAGATCAGATGGCCAATACCCTAAGTGGAGGCTACTTTGCGATGCTAGGATCATTGAGTGGCGATGTCAACGGACTGCTCATGATGGAACGATGGCATATGCTCAACATGTTTTATCACATCATTGAGCTGCGAGATCGGAATGATCTCATTCAGACTTTGTTAGGAAACATGGATTACAGCCGCGAAAGTCATCTCCGAGTCATGCTTTCTAAGGCCCTGACAATTGGGTCTAAAGAAATCCGGATCTTTGCAACGAGACTCCTGCGCAAATATGCCGTTGGGGATGTGACTCTTTCGCCTCATGTGGCGATTGGCAATGCGGAATGGGTGGTCAAACTTCTTGTCACCCAATTATACGATCCCGAGGTCACAGTCTGCCAGGTTGCCGTCAAAATTCTAGAAGAGGCATGCAATCAACGGGATTATCTTGAGTTCGTGGTCAAATGTCGACCCTCCCTCGATCATCTGGGTGAAATCGGTGCACCGCTACTTCTCCGGTTCCTGTCGACTTCCGTCGGATATCACTATCTGGATGGTCTTGATTACATCACCCAAGAGATGGATGACTGGTTCCTTGGTCGCAACGATAGCTATGTTGGCCTTGTTGAGGCTGCTCTTTCCCGAGCTTACGTCGAGCAACCGCGACGTGGCAGCCTTGTCCCCGAGGATCTCGTGGACCTCCAGGATATTGGGCTGGTACCACCGCATTTCTACCGAGAACTTGCACGAACTGCCGAGGGATGTAGGCTGCTGGAACAGTCGGGTCATTTCAATGAATTTGCTTGGACGATTCGTGATTTCAAGCTGGATGAAGAAGACAACGAAATGCTTCTCAAAGCTAAAGGATGTCTCTGGGCTGTCGGTAATGTCGGCTCAATGGAGCTTGGCGCACCATTCTTAGATGCTGAGATCATCCAACGGATCGTGCAGATAGCAACCAGCGCAGGAGTTCTCACTATGCGAGGCACTGCTTTCTTCGTTTTGGGCTTGATCTCTCGCAGTCGACACGGACTTCAAGTCCTGCGGGGTTTGGGCTGGGATTCCGGTGTTGACCAAAAGGGAGATTCACTGGGACTTTGTCTCCCTACCGATTTCCGAAAATTGTTCTTGGTGAGTATCTTCCGTCCATTCGCTTTCGTCTCATTATGCTCATCCCATCTAGATTTCCTTCCCTGGCTTTGATTATAGATCGAAGCGAACTCCCAAGGAGAAACTCAAGGAAGCCACCACGGACTCGGATCCTGGCAATCAACGGATCTTGAAGTTGATCGTCGATATGGGTAACACGGTGCTCTCCAAACGAGCCGCTTCTGATCTTCACATGTAAGGCTCTCGGTTTTCCTTCTGCCACTTACATCTGCTCACAATTTTCAACCACAGCCTGAAATCCAAACAACCCGAGCGATTCCACCAAGTCCATCTCTTCCGCAAGACCCTATGCATCCTGGAGAGTCATCATTACAGACTCCCAGCTCGACGTTTCGCCTTGGACTTATTTGACAAGAGTGTCATGCGACGAATCGTCCTGGATGAAGATTCCGACTCCGAATCGGACTCGTCAACCACTTCTCGGTCAGAATAAACCCCTTGATCATTCCCTTGCATTTGAACTTTCCTGTCCTGCCAATATACCCTGCAAGACGGTCGATTGGGTGTTTGGCTTTTTGTATCCCGAGCGACGATTTACGCATGTTCAATCTATGACTTCTAAAAATACTGGATATCAAATTTCTTGACCAGCGTAGATCAGTACAATTTTGACCTCGGTCAGCAAACCAGTGCCATTCCGCTCATTATTTTCCACACATAATGAGCAATACTCAAGAGCCCAGCACAGGGGATACCAAGGGAATAAGAGGTATAATACATTTGGATAACTATTGATGATGCAAATATGCGCAAGGTTTTCATTATTTCACAGCTACTGAGTAGTTTGCCTGATTGATGTAAACTTTTATAAACATCACGAATTTTCGTTGATCACGCCGAGTCAACCAATTTCTCCTGCATGAACTCCAGGGTCACCGCATATGCCTCGTCTGCTACTGGTAGACCGGGGAACGCAGTAAAACCGTGAGTGGCACCAGGGTAGATCTTGACGATAGCCTTGCCACCGGCAATGCTCCACTTAGAGCTCATCAGAATCGTGTCATCAAGCAACGGATCCTCTGTCCCGCAGAGGAAGAGAGCAGGGGGCAACGATCCAATGGGGGAAGCTGCAACCAGTGCTTGGAGGTCCTCATATAGTGGGGACACAGAAGGATGTCTGCGCTCGGCGGTGCTCATGCCCGGGACGTACGCACTGTTGAACCGTTCCATGATTTCTAAATTTATCATGAGGGGCTTGGTCGAAGTCGCTATCGTGGGAAGCCCGAGGGTCAGATCAAATAAGCCGTAAGGAAGAATGAGACCCGACAGTTTGTAAGACGGCCGTGATCGCATCAGCTGCAGGGCAGATTGAGCGGCGAGACAGGCCCCTGCTGATTCTCCGCCGATAAAGCGGAGGGGCGCACCGTATGCTCCCACTGCGTGGTCCACCATGTGCTCGGCGGCATCGATGGCATCGTGCACGGCAGCCGGGTAGGGATGTTCCGGGGCCAAACGGTATCCGACTGAAATGGTCGTTAGCTGGCACTTGTTGGCGTATTCCCGGAGGACGCTATCGGAGCTGTCCAAGACATTAATATTTACGTAGGTAGGGTAGGGGAACTAGGGGATAATCTGACTGTTTGTGTGTTGCTAGCACGAAACCGCCGCCATGAAAGTGCAGGAAGATGCCTTTGCTGGGCTGGCCATTATCAGGCTTGTAGATACGGATTGGAATCTCACGGCCAGTGTCGCGCGAGGGAACAGTGCCATCAAGAGCCTCCGGGAGATAGACAGGCTTGGGCAGCGGTGTCTGACCAAGCTCCCGCATCTCACGATATTTTTCGATGCCTACCTCCCACCATCGGGGCCCGTTGGTGGTGATGTTTTCCAGGAGAGCCGCAGCTTTCTTTGTTGACTCTGTAACGTTCTCCGGGTTGAACTTGGAGATATCCAGGGTGATATCGCTGGTGATCGGCATCGTGAAGGGAGTTTGTTGATCGGTGATGAGTTTCTGGACGGATAATGTGAATACAACAAAGGAAATTATTTCAGACCCTGCAGTGATAGATTTATACTCTCCTCTCCAACCCAACCCGGCCCCCTGGCCCCAATCTAGGCAGTCATGCAAACTTTGGCTAGTGTCAGGGATCCCTGCCGCAGAACTGCCTCAATCTGCCTACTAAGGCAGCAGTAGACCTGCCGAGGTGGCTATAATGTCTACATGTGCTGTTTTATTTGTCATGATATGTAGGTGTTTCCCGATGGCCGCCGCTTTATGAGGGCGGTCAAAGCAAAGTCCTGCTGAGTATTTCACAGCGTGGACGGGGCTCTTGCTTACAACACCACATCCATAGGACTCGAACTTCTATGCCTTCACCCATCCGCTTCAGGTATGAGCCGCCGTATAGGGGTTGTCAAATCTCGATCTGGGTGCAAAACCTGCAAGTAAGAGTTTTCGCTGCCGTTTTCAGAGTCCTCAAGATCTAACCGCCGACCAGAATCCGACGAGTCAAATGTGGTGAGGAAAAGCCGAATTGCCTACGCTGCTCTAGCACAGGACGGAAATGTGAATATGAGGGCAGAGGGACTTCTCCCTGGGCTCCCTCCACACCCTGCTACGCACTGTTGTCTCAAAACGCAGGACGACGAGAACGTCGTGCGTTTGAATATTACTTCCAGCATGTGTCCCAAAATCTCGCAGGTGGAATGAATGTAGATTTCTGGACGGGGGTTGTTCCGCAGATCTGCCGCAGCGAGCCCGCTGTGTGGGATGCAATGATTGCAATTAGCGCATTGTATGAAAATCCGAAGCAGTGCATGGACTTTCATTTTTTGAAGGATCGCCGAAATAAAGCACATTTGCTTGATCATGCCCAGCAGGATGCATTGACATGGTATTCGCGATCAATCTCTAGCGTTTCTTCGCAGATCCAGCGAGGCAGCGCAGATCCGTACATTGCACTCATCAGTTGCGCACTATTTATCTGCGTGGAGACAATCCAAGGGCATATGGAACAGGCCTTGGAGCTCTACCGACAGGGTATCACTTTGATACTTGACCTCCGTGCCCAAATCGGCCATGAGGGAGTATCTAGCAGTAAGGCTGTTCTGTTGGAACGCAGCATTGCTCCCTTATTCCTACGACTGGGCACAGGTTCTCTGACCATTTCAGGGACCGAGTTTCCTATTGGACTTTTTGCCTTTGTAGAAACAGACATAAGCGCTGGCTTCGCATCTGTCAATTCCGCAAGAACCATTATGTCCGCCCTAGCCGCGGAAATTGTCCTCTTTGAGCGCGAGGCGAACCTACACCTCAGGGAAGTTGGTGCAGATTCCGCTGTAAGCCCGGAAATGGTCGCGAAAAAAGAAGCGCTCCGAGCCCGTCTCACTGAATGGCATCAGGCATACACCAATATTTGCCGAAGCCACAGCTCCGTACGCACTGTCCCCATATACCCAGAGCCTATCCTGCTCACGTATCATGCTGCTGCCTTGATTTGTTTGACGGGATGCTTAAGGCAACAGGAAACAGTTTTCGATGTCCATTTTGCAGACTTTGTTACTATTGTCGAGCAATCTAGGTTGATTCTCGATGTCTCAGCGGGTCCAAATGGTGCCCAGCCACCATTCACCTTTGAAATGAGTGTGGGTGTACCTCTCGCCATGACTGTGTTGAGATGTCGTGACCCAAACTTGCGGCGAAGGGCTTTAGATCTATTGCAACTAGCACCTCCGATACAAGGATTTTTCAAATGCGCCCCCGTGGCTCTTTTGTCAGAGGTATTGATGAAGCTGGAAGAGGGCTATAGCCTTGCCCAGGGGGAAGAGAAGACAGTAGCACTTTCTCACAAAGTTCTCCACAACAATCCCACAACAACGAATGAGGCAACCGGGTCACAAGCAGCATTAATTTCTGAAGAGGCTCGTATACATGACTATAGTATCTTCAGACGGAATGAGTGGCAACCTCTGTGGATCACCGAGGAAGATCTTGCACCGTTTCCACGTGATCCGAATCAACTATATCTGGGATTTTCAAGAAATCAATACGACAAGGAAAGCAGCACTTGGCGGCCAGTTTTTCAATGCATACCGTTAGAGGTCAGCTTTTGAATGTTCTGTCACGTCTTCTCATGTCTCATGTTCATATGTATTGTTGACTGTATGCTTAAATATCAATTTCTCTCTGAGAACCCTTGAAAAGAGTTCAAGTATTTTTTATCTTCTTTTGTATACTTATATACCTATCAGCCCGGCCCATGCCCGGGGCCCCGGGGGGATGCTCCCGAGATCCATGGGTCAACCTTCCAAGGAATGTTGGAAAGCCTGCCCCTTAAAAAAGCTTGGCTCGTCATGGAAATGCACACGTACTTACATAGGTAATTCTACATACCATATTTCCTCTGCCATCTTGGCTGCCGCCGCTTCATGAGGGCGCTCACAGTCAGGGTCAATGCGGCTATTACCAAGCCCGCAGATCTGTGGAGGGAGTCATCTGACAGGCAGTTTGGAAAGATTTTCCCACCAATTGTACACTTTTCCGAATCGGAAAGAAATGCGAACGTGGTTTGGCGGATATGATTTTGATTTAAACTGGTATTGAGTTCATAGTGAACTCGGGTTACTGTTTCCCCGCATGTGGCCCTAGTGGAGAACCGCCAAGTATAAATCTCAACATCAAGAAGCCACTGTACCGTGTACGCCTCCTTTTTTCCAACTCATCGGCTGCATTGACTGCTGCGTGCTCCAAATATCTTCGTTACTTAAATCCCTGTCAGTGCCCAGGATATTCGAACATAATGGGTGATATTGTCCTTTCGCAGAAAAAGCGCTATGCGCTGATCGGGACTGGTGGAAGATCGGCTATGTTCTACACGAGCATTGCGAAGGATTTCAATAAGACCAGCACTCTCGTTGCAATCTGCGATACCAATCAGACTCGACTCAATTACGCGAAAGCCAAGATCGAGGCCTTGGGTCATGAACCGGTCCCAACCTATCTCGCTGCCGATTTCGATCTCATGATCAAGGAAACAAAGCCGGATGAGGTTATTGTTACCACCATCGACCGTACCCACCACACCTACATTGTCCGTGCCTTGGAGCTTGGCTGTAATGTCATTACCGAAAAGCCAATGACCATCGATGTACCACAATGCAGCGAGATCCTTTCGGCTGTCGATCGTACCAACCAGAGGGTCAGGGTCACTTTTAACTACCGTTACGCGCCGCATAACACGAAAATCTTTGAACTCATTCGATCCGGCGCGATCGGTACCGTTACAAGCATTCACTTCGAGTGGATGCTCAACACGTCCCACGGTGCAGACTACTTCCGACGTTGGCATCGTGATGCTCGGAACAGCGGCGGCCTTCTGGTTCATAAATCGACCCACCATTTCGATTTGATCAACTTCTGGCTGCAGTCTCGACCAAAGACGGTATACGCACAGGGAGATCTCAAGTTCTACGGTAAGAAGAACGCCGAGAAGCGGGGTGTGACCCAGTTCTACTCGAGGGCTCATGGCAGCGAGGCCGCCAAGAATGATCCATTTGCACTGCATCTGGACGAAAACCCTCAGTTAAAGTCTCTCTACCTGGATGCCGAGCATGAAGATGGCTACTTCCGTGATCAAAGTGTCTTTGGCGATGGAATCAGCATTGAAGACACGATGAACGTGCTTGTTCGATACGAGAACAGCGCAGTATTGACCTACTCTCTCACTGCGTATGCCCCCTGGGAGGGCTTCCGTGTCAGCTTCAACGGAACAGGCGGTAGGCTGGAGGCAGAGATTGTCGAGAGTAGCTATGTCAACTCTGGTGGAGAGCAATCCCTGGAAGGCGCCGCTGAAAGTACAACTCTCCTTTTGCGACCTCTGTTCCAAGAGCCGCGCAAGGTTGAGATTGTGCAAGGCGCAGGTGGGCACGGGGGAGGTGATAATGTGCTTCTTCGTGATCTTTTCGGAGAAGGTGAGCCTGATGAATACATGAGAGCTGCTAGTCACATTGATGGTGCGGCCTCTATTCTGACCGGTGTTGCTGCCAATCGCTCGATCCGTACTGGACAGGTGGTAAACGTCAAAGACATCCTCGATCTCCCTTGAACAATGTCGGCTTTCTAGACTGATTAATGAGTTTCATAGAAACATTTGTTTTTGGAATAAACATTTTTGAATTGAATTTTGTTCGTGAACTAGCAATTGGCAAGACAACCAACCATGTAGAAAATTTTGGCTAATGCACTTAATCATTTTACAAGTGCCGCGTTAGCTCTGGTTTCCTTCGTTCTAAAGATATTGAGACCCGTTACTACACAGAACTCTCAAGCCAACCTCGCACTTTGCAAATATTACATGTAAAGCATTATACGGATCCAGCAGCCTTAGCAGTTTAGGTATAACGAATGAGGAAAGAGGTAATCTATATGCGACAAGCATACTACAGACGGCTAAATTATAAACGGGAAGGTTTGCCCCAAGGATTGATTGGCCTGCCAAGATCCACCGATCTACCGAATTGATATATGTTGTACTTAGCCTCAGATTAAAATGCGGGGAAGTACAAAGGATGTTGATCTACCCCCGTTTTTCGGGTCAATTGGTAGCGACGGAGGCTTTCCAAGCCTGGGCAATGCTTCCCCGCAATATCAGCCACCAAAAAGCTTCCAAATGAGCAGTACTTGGCCATCTTCTTTGTTCGTATTTGCTCATGTTTATGCTTTAGCTGCCCTTGATAGGTGCAAAAACTGATTTAGACCCTGACGCCGCAATTATATCAGGCCGTGCAACGGAATACAGAGCGATCTTATGATTCATTATGCCTTTTCAACATTCGCTCTCTACGCTAGGGTCAGAGCGATGTCGAACTATTGGGCTGAAAGAGAAAAGAATGATAAGAGGCTTTGCATTCCTTCAAGGACCGAACACTTAAGCAAGTTGGACCTGGATTACCCCTTTTCAACCCCTTGTTATATTCCCCACCATGGCTGCCCAAGCGAATGATGAAATCTCAACAGTTCAGGAGCAGCGCCATGAACAAGCTACACGTTCAAAGGCAGTTGAGTTTTTGACTAGCCATGCGACTGAGACTCCGTTCACCTACGAAGAGGAGAAAGCCGTTCTCCGTCGTATCGACAAGCGAATCCTCGTCCTTCTTCTGTGGGCGTATTTCTTCCAACAGCTTGATAAAAGTTCCATAAGGTAATTACGATTTTTCATGCTACATAATTTCCGGATAGTCCAACGTTTTCCTAATGCTCATGATACTAATCTGCCATTGGTTAGTTATGTCTCCATTTTCGGTCTGCAAGAAGATGCTCATCTAGTCGGCCTACAATATTCCTGGCTTGGGTCTATTCTCTACCTTGCACAATTGATAATGCAACCTCTTGTGGCGCTAATTTTGGTGAAACTCCCCACCGGAAAAGTCCTCGCCAGTGCCATTTTCCTCTGGGGATCAGCACTTACCATTATGGCCGCTTGCACTGATTTCCCCTCGCTTCTCGGAATGCGCTTCGTCCTTGGCTCATTCGAGTCCTGCATTGCACCCTGTTGTGTTGCTATCACACAGATGTGGTGGCGTCGTGGTGAACAGACTTTGCGTGTCAGCTACTGGAATGCAATGAATGGCCTGACCTCCATCATTGGTAGTCTTCTCACCTACGGTCTTGGACACATCCACAGCAAGAATTTATATCGGTATCAGACGATCTTCATGTTCTGTGGTCTTTTGACAGTAGCTTACTCTCTTCTCGTTTTCTGGTTAATGCCTGATTCCCCGATGGAAGCCAAGTGTTTCAGTGAGCGGGAGAGACTCATTGCCACAGAGAGACTACGTGCCAACCAGATGGGTATCTCCAACCAGGAATGGCGATGGGATCATGCTCGAGAGGTTCTCTTTGACCTCAAGACTTGGTGCTGGTTCTTCTCGATTATAACTATCTCGTAAGTATTCAACTTTTGCCAAGTTCACACGCGAAGGAAGAGAAAGAATTTGAACTAACGAGAGATTTGTAATAGTATTGCAAGCGGAGGCATCTCGAGCTTCGGTTCTCTGATTGTAAAGTCATTCGGATTTGACAGCTTCCAAACAATCTTATTCAATATTCCCTTCGGAGTCATTCAGATTCTGGCTATCTTAATCACTGGATGGCTAGCCACATGGACCCAACGTAAGGGTCTCGTTATAGCCGGAGCCAGCGTACTGCCGAGCGCCGGAGCCATCATGATGCTTACTGTCCCGCGACACAACAAGGGAGCCCTACTCTTCGGCTACTACTTGGTACGCTCCCAATAACATAGTGATTTATAAGATCTGCAACTAATGTTCTGGTCCCAGGTCTCTACAATGGCATCTATCACCCCACTGATATATGCCTGGCAAGCACAAAATACCGCAGGTGACACCAAAAAGAAGTGTACCTCTGGTATGGTATTTATCGGCATGTGTGCTGGCAATGTTATTGGACCGCTTCTTTACTCTACCGAGGAGGCACCATTATACCGAACGGGTCTTATAGCCAACCTTGCCATGTTTGTCACTGTTGGTACCATCGCTGGGTATGCTCCAACTTAACCTCAGTTGTTTTATTTTTTGACTAACTTATTTTGGTAGTCTCACTCCTTTCTATCTCATGTACCTGAATAAGAAGCACGAGAAGCGACGCGTGGAACTCGGGAAAGTCGGCCCCGTGGCTGATATGTCTATGCTGGACAAGGACCAGCGGAAAGAGACCAAGACAGTTGAGCTGGAGGATATTCGGGATCAAAAGGTCTCGGTGGAAGAAGACAACGGTTTGCAGGACATGACCGACCTGAAGAACGAAGACTTCGTCTATGTTTATTAGCTCCCAAAGATATTCAGAGCACACTGAATTTAGACCAAATATTGTTCTACGATATCAACACATCTTGTTTCAAACCAAGTTCATGATCCCCATAATGAACCACATGGTAATTCAAACTAGCGCATTCCAAAAAGGGTCGCCGATGGGCAGATGCCCCGCCTTTTCGATAAGACCGGTGGACGGTTCTGGAGTGGAACCCCCTCTTACCAGCTTGATACTCCGAACTGTATCTTTCATTTGACACATATTCTATCCTTGTTCATCTTCAATATGACCAAACAATCGATTCTTGATTTGGATCTCATCGTGCTGAACTGTACTTTGGCCACCGTTGAAGACGTGGTGCAATGTGACATTGGCATCAAAGACGAGAAGATTCACTCAATTCTCCCCCAAGGATCTCTGGCTGGCTCAAAGGCCAAAAAGACCATCGACGCCAAGGGAGCTCTGGTTACGGTTGGTCTTTTCCCACCTCTATCACGAGTGAACTAGTGGCTATGTGCTGACCTTCTTTCAAGCCAGGAGGGATTGATGCCCATGTTCACCTTCAGGAGCCGCCGCTTTTTGGACTCGGGTCCACTGCAGACAGCTTCGAGTCCGGTTAGTCTCCCAGTCTCCAGAGCCGGCAATTAGCGTGTTTAATCAAAATAACTGACCCTCCTAGGCACCCGTGCCGCGATTGCGGGAGGTACAACCACCGTCGTAGCCTTTGCACCTCAACGGAAGGATGAAGATAGTGTTCTCGCAACTCTAGCTTGCGTTCATGAACGTGCCAAAGACCAATGCTACAGCGACTACTCGTTCCATCTCATCATATCCAACCCATGCGAAAAGACCCTTGCGGAATTTCCAGCCTTCCGAGAGCTAGGAATCTCGTCCGTAAAGATATATATGACGTACAAAGATTTGCGCCTCAACGACGAGCAATTCTTGGATGTCTTGTTTCAATCCCGTCTACATAAAGTCACAACCCTGGTGCATGCCGAGAACGATTCTGTGATTGCGTGGATGACCAAAAAACTGCATGAGCGTCAACTATACGCACCAAAGTACCATACGGCTTCACACCCTGCCGTCGCCGAGATTGAGTCCAGCTACCGTGCAATCTGTCTTTCCGAGTTTATTGATACTCCCATATTAATCGTACATGTCTCTAATCCTCGAGCCGTCGATAACATTCGACAAGCCCAGGCAAAGGGGCTTCCAATTTATGCCGAGACTTGTCCTCAATATTTGTTCCTTAGCAACGAAAATCTGGATCGGCCTGGACTCGAGGGGGCAAAGTGTGTTTGCAGTCCACCACTACGCAACAAATCCGACCATGAGGCTATTTGGGCCGGTCTCGAGGACGGAACATTTACCATTCTCTCGTCCGACCACAGCCCGTTTAACTTCAACGATTCGATATCAGGCAAAGGATCGAGCGTGACAGCGGAACGCCCCGATGGGCAGTTTCACCTAGTTCCCAACGGATTCTCTGGCGTCGAGACCCGAATGCCATTGGTACTTTCGGCTGATCGACTTAAGATACAAAGATACGTGGAGTTGACATCGACCAACCCGGCGAAATTGTATGGCATGTACCCGAGAAAAGGCGCTCTTATCCCGGAGGTCAGTGATGCCGACTTTGTCATCTGGTACCCCGACGGGAATCTTGATATGACTATCACCAACGACATCCTTCATCACGATGTCGACTACACCCCATTCGAGGGACACAAGGTAAAGCAGTGGCCGCGCTACACTGTTCTTCGTGGACAAGTGGTTTGGGACAGGGAAGATGGAGGGGTCGTAGGTGCTCGAGGCTTTGGTCAGTTTTTGCATCGCACAGAAAGCATGTTGGCGGGCAGTAGGGGTGAGGGGTCTTGGGACGTTGAAACCGCGTGGGTTTAGTAGGTAGAGATAGACATCTTCAACAGCCCGGGAAAAGAATTCCTCGATCCCGAGTTACCTCTCTTCTTTCCTTTCAATCCGGTAATCTCAGTATTAGTCCGTGGATTCCACTGACATTATGTTAACCGCGAATTGACTACCGATTGCATCACTTTCGCTAGTTATTTGCAGAGATGATGAAAAGCTTTGGCCATGAAGCACCTAGGATAGAACCCCAGTTTAGATGCTGATATAAGTCGGAGCCAGATACAATACCGTTAGTCTTACCATCTAGGGGATCGCAGCTTACGACGGTCATATTTATGATCTTCTCGAGCTTATAGCTAGGCGAGTAGTAGTCCAGGTCTTTCTAGATAACGTTACCAATTAAATAGTTAGTTTGACCATTATACCTACCGGAAGGCTAGAGCACCGGCGACTACGCCGTTAAACTAATCGGGGAACTAGTCTTCCGCACGACCCAAAACCCAACCCAGTCTGGGTCTAGGTCGAAAGCTGATAACCCAGGTCCAACCCAGACCTAGTGAGTAGGGCTCTAGAAAACCCAGTTTAGGCCTAGTTCTACCCAGTTTTTATATAAATTGTGGTATAAATATTTAAATAACATACTGTCATTTTACTCTATTATAGTTCCTAAATTGAAATACTACACCTACTAATAAGGTAAAGGAAATTTTAAGAAATCTCCTCGTAATTAAAAGAAGTATGTCTGGTTTAGTATTAATTACTTCTTAAAATGCTTTATTTTATATAGGAAGGTGATATGTGTTAGCTACTAGTTTTTTTAAATATAAGAGTGTATTTTAAAATATTAAGTAACTATACTAAAGTTGTAGATATATATATTTAATATATATTAATATAGTATATATTTATATATAGAGTAAAATAATTTTAGAACTTATTTATTTCTCTTTTTCTTTTTAGTATTATAGTTTATATTACTTATGAAAGGTAATAGTTGAGCAATAAGAAGGTACAAAACAAGTCAAAATGTTGTACTACTCCGAATTGGCTCCTTTCACGAGGCTCTGACAGTGCCCAGTACAGTCTTTAGGGGAGTCTCCTACGCTCGCTAGGTCCTGTATAACCGGGTGTTGAATTTGCAGGTCCAGATTAGAAGACTTAAAAATAGTTTTGACAAAAGACCTATAATTAATTTGGGCTATGGTTGAGATATTTCGTGATCTGGTGATAGAGATACACAATAGAACTTAATTGCCAATATCTTCCCGTGGATAGGAAGAATTGTAACAGCCGATATACTTTTTCTAGTTGTTGGCTGCGTCAGTTTTTTATAAGGATCCAAGTCAGCCGGAACGAAAAATGGTGACGTACGTAACCTTACTCGGTGACTTGAGGCGTCGTAGCCCTTTTGGATTGATCTAGTTCCAGTACTCGTCGACACTAACCGTTTGCAGACCAAAAAAGATCTGCGGGGTAACAATAGAGTATAATATGGAGTAATTACTGAAGAGCGCGCATTCCTTGCTTTCGCCTACGAGCTCTTTCAACATATAATGCGCACAAGAATCCAATACCAGAACCCCCGCCCTTCTTGATACGGATATTTTAATCTATCACACTTGTGTCTTAGCTCTAGAGACATGCCAACTACTAACGCCGTCCTCCTTCCCAAAGTGTTCCCAAAGGATCTGATCTCGCTTGGGCAACTTATTCGCAACCCACTAATCCCGAATGTGGATACTTATACCAAATGTTGTGCTCATGTGACCGACGACGACACCACCGACCCCAATCCAGAAGAGCCCTATAAGACAATTGTGTCAACGGACACGCGGGGTCGCTTCAATATTGCCTTGACTAAATATCTCGGCTTTAAAGCCAATGCCCAAAGCACAAATCTACTTTCAATCGAGGCTCAGAAACTTGAGTATCGGGCGCTTAAAAATGCATCAGATGTTTTCAAGCGCATTTGCAAGGATCCCGATGTCAAAAGTTGGATTGGTGAAATGGCCCGTTACAAAGCACCCTGTTATTTTGTTATTGGCATACAAGTGCTGCACGATGCAGAATTCACAAGGGCTATACTTCGGGGTGGGGGCGGTGGTGGCTATGTAACAGTACCGTTGGAAGCAACAGCCCAAATTCCTCTCCATATCGAAGGAGAACTCGGTGCAGATAGTTTCGGAAGCGGTTCAGGAAAGGTCAATGGTGTTTTTGGGATTGAAGTTCAGAGACTAGATTTTCACACAAGTTCTCCACAAGAGCCGGCACTTAAAAGTGATGTTTCTTGGCACTGGTCGTACCAGAGAGTGAAAGGAACGCAGCAGGAGGAGGACAAGATACTAACCATTAAGCTCAAAGACGTTGAAGAGAACGAGCTTTCACAGTTGATTAAACAGTATGACAAAGACGATGACGAGGAGGAGTAGTAGTAGCTACGCGATGGGATTACAAACGAATTTAACTAAGGTGCTTTATCCTTGGATATGAAAAATGTCAAAAAACTCCACTCCATTTAAAGCGATCTCGTGGGAACCTTAAGCGGGGACTAAGAAACTATCCCCTAAGTCTGTCCTTCGAGCGTTGGCATATGTGAAGTATTCATTGATCAGATCTTCCCGCCGCTAATAATAATGCGGCAGAACTTTCCCTAATCAGGAGTCTGATTTGACGGGGTTTTGACCGTCAAAAAGATCACCTAAAACCGACACAAGTGTGACAGTGATAGTGTATATCAATATAGCAACGGCCAAATACAGCCTCGAGTCTAGTATTGGAATAGAGTTCAGCACGAATTGAGTATTTGTATTCGTGTTGACACCAAAAATATATAATAACAATTAGAAGCAGCCAATTGGCATGAAAGGCTCTGATTCTTGTAAACTATCTGGGGGTCTGGATTACGAGCAAGCGGCGTGATTACATATGGCGAAAGGAAGACTTTTAGTTACCTAACTCATCTATAGAGACGACAGGGGTCTCTATAGGGGATCCGCTCCGCTGATCATACATAGGAGAGTATTGATCCGGACTCATCAAAACCCATAGTGCAAAAATGGTGCCCAAATCACAGGATCTCCTCTCATTCTGTTTGCAGCGGTACGGGTTGTTTCACGAAAATCTCGCACTGCAAAATGCAATGCTTCAACCGTGGTCGTCGCCCAGTCTCGTTGATCTTGCCCAAGTCGTTCATAAAAGCGTTTAGTCACTTCAAGTCCTGCTTCCTCACCGACATACCAAGCAGATCCCACAACGTTCAAAAACCCTGCTAGCTGCAAGACTGCCGCTAGATGAACGTGTTCATCCTGTAAGTTTTCAACACCTGCGTTTGCGGTGAAACAGGCTGAGAGAAAAGCGAGCTCAGACTTCCCAATGTCCAGGGTTTGCAATCGGCTTATATTCAGCGGATTTTCCTTCCAATCTCTTGTTAAAAATTTGCTCAGCAGGGGACGGTCGTAGTCAACCTCTCCATGGCATGAAAAATGGACTACCTTGGGCTCCTTCATTATCGCTTCGAGTACGGCTTGAGTTGTTTCACCGATAAGGACTTGCGACTTAGGAAACAAATTTTTGATGTAATCAGCTTCCTTTTCGGATAGTGTTAATGGCTGCCTGTCTGGAGTTTCAGGCATCGAGACAACAGCAATGTCGATGGAAGATAGGGCAGATATGCCTTCTTTGATGTCTGGCTTATCCATAGAATTCAACTTCTTGTAGCGCTCATGATTGCGGAAGAGGCTCCTTAAGCTAAGTGCATAGGAGGAAATAACTCGGTTCATCACATTACTGTCCTTGTGCAAGCCCAGGCCAGCCGCATGTATTGGGTATAGACAAAGAATCCCTGTCGGAATCCAACAAATATGGGGCCAAGTGTCAGAAGACAAGACAGACTTTTCGTGTCCCAAATTGTCCAGGACCGGCTTCGCAAGCTTCTTCCAAAGGTCTCGAAAATATGTTGATAGTAGCTGGTGGAGATCATAAAAGACATCTATGTCTGTTTCCGCAAGGCGGGTCTGAATTTCCCAACTTTCTTCTGCAAGTTGGTCCTCGTCAAGATCCGCAAGGTACACACTTTTGATTTCGCCTTTGGAGATGATGATTGCATCACTTCGTATATCCGTCACATTGACCAATGCAATATCTCTGCCTTCCGCGAGATCCAGTATATTCTCCTTGCTTAACTTGTCGGAGGGGGAGGGGGGGAACAGCTCCAGGAATCATGCGTAGTTCATCTCGAATAATTTCGAGATTTCTCACTCTCTCCACTCCACCTTGAAATGAAGCGGTACTATCAACTATAGAATTGATAGCGTTCCGTGCCTCAACGAATCGTCTTCCAAGCATTTCATCGGAAGAACAGACGAGCGCCGTGTCTTGCACGTCCTCATACTGAGATGCAATTGCGATGCCACGGCCTTCCTCTAGGAGCAGAAGCGCCTCGTAAGGGTTGTCGTCAGCTTCGAGACTAGCAGCTGCAGTGTAACGGGAAAGTCCGTAAAACGTGCTTATGTTGTCCTGTTGGTCTTCCTGTGATGAAACTCGGCACAGCTCCCTCAAACGATTCAAGCTGAATCGGAGAATTTTGTAGCATCTTCCCAATATGCTTCTCCTCCGTCCGATGGGAAAACTCTTGATGTACGAAACAAAAGTTAATGCATCTTCTGCGCCAGAGAGCAGCCGTCCACCATGTAGGGAAAATGACGCCTCGAGATACTCCAGAGCCTGGTTCAGAAGTTGTTCTCCATCTGAGATTCCAAACTTGGGAAGTACTTCGCTATCACGAAGATAACAGAGATATGCCCTTTGTAGACGGAAGGCAAGATTGCTAAGCGCGCGGTCACTCGGTTGGCCATGGGAAGATAAATATTCGATAATTTGACGGCCCCACGCCAACGAGCGAACTAAGTCGTCAATTTCTTGATCTCGTTCCCACTTTATCTGGTAAACAAGTCCCAGGACATTCATCACTTGCAGACGGAGCATATCCTCAAGTCCATCTTCACGGACCGAATCTTCAACATCCCTAGCTGCATTAACCATGTTATCAAAATCCTCCTCTGTGCTTTCGTGAAGCTGATTGACCTTCGTAAAGAGACATAAAAGAAGGTTCACGCCACCTTCCACTAGCAGAGGTTTATTTTCTTCTTCTGCAAGATGTCCTATCTGCATAACGGAATTGGTTGCAAACTCGATCGCATGGCGTAAATCATCTGGATGCCGACCGCGCATGAAGCGACTACGCAGGCATCTAGAATAGGATAATGAAAGGCGCGCAGTATTTTGGAAGTCATCATCACTCGTGCTTTCAATAAGTTCGCCGAGGTACTTTAATGCATCCTCAAGAGATTTCCACTTATTGACGGCTTCGTATTGATCAGAGCAGAGTTCTGCTAACTGTTCAAGGACTCGCGAACGGCTGGGCCCGGGATTAAGGCCTTCAAGTTCGAGTTCAAGGGCACGAACCTTCAGGGAGCGCGACAACGCATCCATTGGACTTAAAATTCGGTCACAGCGAAGACACTAGTCTTTAGGTCTCAACGAACGAGGAGTAAGAGAGGAGTAAGAGAATTATGGTTAAATGAGTATAGAGATATATATATCGACAAACAAGAGTGTTTCTTAATAGGTGAATACCGAGAGTCACAAGTATCCCTTCTACCTTTCTAAATATATCCGCATATGTCGCTTAATACGTAGTCCATATTGAGCCTAGCTAGGGTCATATGAACTTCTGTCTCACGTATCGAAGCTTATTGTTCCAGCGAGATTGCGTTGTACTGCAATAGACTGTAGTTAAAACAGTCATCTCCACCATCGACAAGCAGCCAGACCATGGCCAGGGACACTTTCCGACCATAACCGGAACATCTGACACTCAAATAACCGCCTTAAATTAGTGTAATAGAAACAGTCTAGACTGTCCGTACTACGCAAACGGAAGAGGAAATGATTCATGATGTGTTAGAAATTGAAAGGCTATAATCACGCCACCAAACCAGAACATTAGCACCTCTGAACCCTATCCGCTTACCACACCCCGGTTCATCCACATAGACGAAGTGGTAAGAGTACAGTATAACTGCGAGATTAAATGTCAATAATTATTATCAGCGTTGCAGTGGTGGATCAAATCCGATTTGACTGGGTGAAAATTTGTGGGGTACGGGTGGGTCCAGGAAAGGCTTCAAGAGAAACCTTGGAAGGTTGCTAGGTAGTGGTCCAGCTAGCAAAACTGGCTCATAACCTCTTTGGGATCGCGCTACAGTGATGATCAATAGAGAAACAGTGTAGTCGATTCCTATCAGAGCAAAAGGACGGAGAGGAGAAAGAGAGAGGAGAAAGAGAGAGGAGGAAAGAGAGAGGAGGAAAGAGAGAGGAGGAAAGAGAGAAGCTATCTACTATCTAACTAGTTAATAAACGGCAGTAATCAGACCAGGGGGACCACTCTGATCTCTCACTAAGATTACCTGGGTAAACGGGATCTGTCCCATGATTGCCCGAGAAACCAGGCACCCAGCAATTGGCGCGAGATGATGAAATCACTCTGAAAGAGATCAATAGGCCCAAGATGAGAAAGCGTAAGGTTGTAAAGTGAGAGATTACTTACGTATCAATATTTGATAAGGATAGTTGGCCGCTCATGCGGCCTTTACCGAGTTAGAACCAATGACTGCAGCATCCACCCAACTTTTATCTGATGGGTGATTGTATTCAATAATTTTGATGTTTTATGCCAGGGTTTATTTATCTGTCTTCTATGTTTGTACTAGGTCCATTGCCTAAACCAGCTGTCCAGTGCGAATGGGCTTCTGCGCCGCGATGCCCGTCGAGATGGACATAGCACGTAGCTTCAACAATATCTTCGACGTCTTCCACACAGTAGATCTCATAGTACATAGTCGATTTTATGCTAACTAGAGTGGGATTAACGCGTTGGGTTTTAGTCATGGAGATGTCCTTCTAAGTGTTCCCTTCGAAAATAATTTAAGGTGTTGTCGAAGTGAAGTTAAGAGATATATATCGGTGCACTACAGTTCCAAAAATCCCAGGCCTATATACTATCACGTGCTGGTATAAAATGGCGGCTAAATGAGGTTAGTGTGTGCGTAGTACTTATATGTATATGTACCTTAATGTACACCAGTATTAGTACTGTACATGATGTACTGTGACAACGGACCTCGGGATCCATGGATGGTCACTGATCCGATTATCTAAAGTTGACCCGCACCTACCCGACTGCAGATAGCGGATCCCCCAACCCCGAGCTTTATTATTTATTCTGTTGTCATCCTTATTTATCTCGCTTTTTGCCCGACTACAGTATAATGGAAGATGCAGCCGAGTCCCTATCCACGACACACCTGACCAACGCTGAACCCATCCCGACCGTAATGGAGAGCCCGGAGGTCTCAAGCTCAGATGTTTCAAGCTCGGAAGAGCATACACCTAGCGATACAACAGGTCTGCCTCATCTGGTCATCCAGTTGATCCAGTGCCAACAATGCTCCCGACCTTTGCGAAGTCCGCTCCGCCTGCCATGCGGGAATTCGGTCTGTCGGGAATGTTTACCCGCCTTTCGGCCACGCACGGGTATTACTTACCCCGTGGCTGAGGGGAGAGACCAAGAATTTACATGCTTTTGGAAAGGAAATGGCGCGTGTGTTGGGGACCATTGTGTTGGAGATTGTGGCGCTGATGTGCTGCTTGGGAAGTTTGTTGGTCTTTTTGGCGAAATACTGGGGCCGGAGGCAAACAGGGCAAACAACGTGTCTCGAGATTGGTCCGAGGATGACGGACCATTACTGCGATGGAAGACTGATGGGCGGAATCCAAATGGGAGTGGCCAGTTGCAGCGGCATGGGTGGCTGGGGGGAATATATAGCCTGGCACTGGAAGGCCGGTTCCCGTCTGATGCATGCGAAGTTATCTATGGAGATTCTACAACCCCAGCCGGAAGCATTGAATCGCAGGATCTCATTCACTTCCAAACACTGCGAGACAGTCTCCGCGCCGAGTTAGACTGCCAGGTTTGCTATGCGCTCGTTCTAGACCCGATGACCACGCCTTGTGGCCACACATTCTGCCGTAAATGTGTCGCGCGGGTCTTGGACCACACCGATCTATGTCCCATTTGTCGCCGAAAGCTAGGCATGCCGAATGATCTACAATCAGAGCCAATAAATCAGACTCTGGCGCGGCTGATCAACTACTTTTTCCCCGACCAGATCTCAGTTAGGCGGGAGACTAGCGCCCAGGATGAGATAGGTCCGGATTACGAGAAGAATTTGCCACTTTTTGTGTGCACGCTATCATTCCCGACAATGCCGACTTTCCTCCATGTCTTCGAGCCCAGGTACCGACTTATGATTCGGCGGGTTCTCGCACATGGAAATGGAAAGTTCGGCATGGTCATGTATAACCGGCAAGGCCGGGTACTGCCAGGTCAGCTGGATGACGTACCGTTCGTGCAATACGGAACGCTCTTGATGATCGAGCGATATGAACTGCTTCCGGATGGTCGCAGTCTTGTGGTGGCTACAGGCGTGTCGCGGTTCAGGATCGTCGACTCGGAAATGCGGGATGGCTATTATGTTGCTAGAACAGAGCGCGTAGATGATATCTCGCTCGCAGAGGAGGAGCGGCTTGAGTCGATGGAGACCTCAACAGACGGTGTAAATGCTCTCCCAGAAGAGAATGAATCCGATCCCTCGTTAGACTCACTGCCAACTCAGCAGTTACTCGTCTCAGCCAGAGAGTTCATCAGCAACCAGCGCAGATCTGGGGCTCCTTGGCTGCACCCCCGCGTCATGCTAGCATATGGACCCATCCCCACAGATGCAGCCCGCTTCCCGTGGTGGTTTGCAAGCATTTTGCCCATCTCCGAAGAAGAGAAATATCCCATACTCGCCGCCACAAGTGTTCGAGAGAGACTGAAGATCTCGGTAAAATGGGCGAGACAACTCGAGGCTCGAGACTGGTAGGTTGAACATCCCTTCTGCCTGTTAGATATTATGCTGATATTTTCTATTAGGTCTACTCGCTCATCACTCTACTCTGTCTTATGACTATCCGTCCCTCTCCTCATCTTCTGCATCATCCCTCTACTATTGAGGCCCTTATCGGGAGTCTTTACCTCGATATCGCCGAATATATTCACGTCGTTGACACCATTTTCTTTCTCGGTCTCGGTCTCATTTGGTGGCTCCGGGCTTTCGTTCCCCGGTATTAGCTCGCAAATACCTAACGAACGTGATCAAACCCGCGACATTGGCCAACAAGAGCAGAGAGATGAAACATACGTTACATACGTCTCTCAAGGATTTGTGATTGGCGCTTTCCTGGCGATCTTCTTCGCCCAGGTTGGTGTCAACTTCCTGCATGCTGTCCGAATCGGAAGACGCAGACGACGGCTTTTGGAAATGCAGTTTCCGCAGCCCTTGCCGCAGCGGGATAGGGAGCAAGATCGTGGCTTGAATAGAGAGCCTAGGCCCAACACAAATGCTACAGAGGAAAATGCACAAGATGATGCGGAGGGACGCCCCGTCACAGGAAACGCTCCTGGTGTTGGATAGTGAGATCCGACATATCTGCTACCCCACAAGCAATATACCCCCTTTTATGACGAAACTTTACGATATTTCTGTTTTCTTTTTTTCGTTCATCATCATCATCTGCCACTTTATCCAAACCTGTTGTATATAGAAGCCTAAATTGAGGCTCCACATATTGATATCCATATCTTCTTGTACCTTGATATCTGGACTGCCCAAGAAGCTTTTTGATATGAGCCCATATTCTATAGCATGGGTTTGCGGCTCTCATGGCAACCCTATAGCCCCGTTAATATCTCCGGCCATAGGCTTCTCATTGCCTACGTCTTCCGGTAGCTGGAAGTCCAAGAAATCCCACATATTAGGGCTCAAGCTATTAGACAAAATGGGCATTACATCTAGATCGGGGAAGCCATCCGCGATAGGCATCGAGTGAGTCAAAGAGGTGTCCCCAGGAGTTGATAATATCGGAACGGGTGAAGCAGCAGAAGTGGTTGGACCATTCAAGGTCTTCAGGATCTCCACCACCTGGCGATAGAGGGGACGCTTCTGGTTCGATCCCGCATGGCGGTTTGCACGTTCACCAGAATCCTCTTCCAACTTCATCAGTGCTTCGAGGGCCATAACACTGCGCGACACCGAATTTTGGAGCAATTCTTGGGGCATAGCATCCCCGGAGGGTCCCTCAGGTGAAATCTTGGTACGCAACAGTTCAATAGCCTCCCGAATATGGTCTCGCGTCATTAAGCGACTGAGTTGGGCACTCGAGCGCTCGGCTTCGGTCGACGAAGAATCAAACAGTAGCCCCAAGACCAGCACAACGGCCGCGTTGAAGAGTTGTGTTTCGTTGGTGGATAGTGAGCCACAAACTGTGCAACGGGCTTGGATCTGGGCTTGCGTGTTGATAATGTTATGAGCCAGCTGCTGGCAGGATGCGCGCCCCATGGGAGAGGAAAGAGTAGCGCGATGCAGGCGGAGGAGTAGACTCCATAGCTGTTGATGCAACATGAATCTTTGAACTGGGATGGCGGCCATGGGACCCATGGCTGTGAGTCCGACGGTGCTTGCCAATCTAAAGTAAGACGGCAAACTTGCCACGTACTTTTCGTACTTTTGATTGAGGTGCTGGCGCCGCTGGGCAGCTTCGTTTGGGGCATCCCCGAGATCAATTAATTCCCGCACAATGCTGGATATTTCCAACGCGTGAATCGTATATGAAAGCATGGTAAACTCGGACCGAGGGCGCTCGGGAATTTTGCCATGTGCCCTATGCATATCGTCGTCATTGAGGTGCAACGGCATCCGGGTATTAAATTGTGAGGGGCGGATAGTATAGTAGCCAAGAGCTTGTCCGCGCGACCAGTCTCTCATGACAAGAGCCCACCTAGCGGTCCCGAATGATTAGCGCCTCGCCCCAAGGGAACAAAGTCCGAGTATTCGGGGTGCCTACCAGATTCGAATCGCAGTTTCGGTGCGAATGTGAGGTGGCTCGGCGGTTGCCCAGCCATAATCTAAGAAAGGCGCGGCATCCAAATTGGCATTGCCCAAGCGATGCAATCCAAGTTTTCGCGCACCCGAAATGGCGGTAACCAAGACGGCATCAAGCTCCAACGAGGTCACTTTTGCACCCAACAGGAGCATTATGGCCGCTTGTAAGCTGGGGATAGAGCCACAAAAGAGGGAAATACCTCCTTGGAGACAACGCACAGCGAGGGACCGCCATGTCGATGTACTCTCATCCGAGGCACGCAGCTGCTCCACGCGCAAAGACAACGGGGTGAGCTGGACACCCAAAAGGGACGCAGTTGGATGAAAGGCGAGTCCTAGCACGAGCTGCGTGGAAATAGTCAGCCGACGCCAGACCAAGCGGGTTTAAAGGAGAGCGGCACCGCGAGAAGCAAAACAGCCAGAGAGTCCATAGATAACGTACTAGCGATAGCCGTGTCGGGGGCAGTCATACTCAAGCAGTGGCGCAATTGATCGGCTTGCTTCATGAAGCTTGGGGTGTGCACCACATTTCCCAAAGGACCCTGGCAACGCGTGACAAAGACCTCGTAGAGTAGTTGGATGATATCCCATTCTGGCAGGGAGTGAACCACATCTCGGATCAAGGCAAGCTGTTGGTCGTGCCTTTGCGGATCCTGGGTCACCCAGTATTGATTGGGGATGTCAGGGGCCACGCCCACTGATTCGGGGAGAGGAATGACATCCACAAAATTCTGTAAAATCTGTGCCGTTTCTTCAATCTCCGGCTCCTCCTCTTTCTCCGGCGTCACTTGGCTGCGGTTCGGTTCTGTATGTTGGGTTTTGGTCCGCTTGGCTCTTGGTTGACGCTCATCTTTCGTACATAGGTGGGCGCAGTCGCGCTTCACACATTCCAACTAGAAACAATTGAGTTTTCATTCCCCATAAAACTCCAGGCACACTCACACAAGGCTCTTTACGATCACATTTTAATTTGGAGGTGCGACATCGCGAACAGGAGAGCGTGAGCTTCTTGCGGGGGTGGGCAACCTCCATGTTCGAGTGGGATGTAAGAAGGGAAGTTGGACATTCCCCATCGACGTACTAAACCCGCTCGGCTCGGCCCCCACCGTCAAGCAGAATCGCGGAATCGGTCCATCTCTCATGATCGTCATGGTATGCGGAGGTTGATATTGATGATTGTGATATTGACGTTTACGTTTTCTATATATAAGGAATATTTTTAAAAAATAGTATTACATATCTCTCTCTAGGCCAAGTACACTGTGTAGTAATTATTCGAGTAAAAAAAATAGTCCAGCTTTTTTCGACAAAGGTTTTATCTCTAAAAAGAATCTATTCAAATCTATTGGCTATGTTAAGCTGGTCAATACCGGCCAACAAGAATACAATCAGTATATCACAGATTGCTTCATACATCCGCTGTCTCCGAAATAGCCTCAGGGCCCAGCTGATCTTCTGCCTTGGACTCAAATCTGTGGTCGCGAACAAAGAAAACAACAATGAAGAATCCCACAACTGCGAATCCAATTCCCAACCAGAACGCACCGCGGTATCCGCGGATCGGGTTCTGTCCTCCCTCATTGACATGAGACTCAACAGCCGCGGCGATACCGAGACCAATGGAGATGGAGTACTGCACAACCGTCGAGACAAAGGATCCCGCAACACCTTGCTCCTCGGGGAGGACGGCGTTCGAAATGAGAATTCCGGACGAGGCAAAGGACAAATCGGGCCCACCCACGACAAACAGACAAGCGGGGAAGATAAAGGCCCAGTAGACATTCGAGTAGTTAACGAAACTCATGAGCAGGTTTCCGATGAAGAAGGAGAACATGGACACGCCGAAGATATACTGTGCAGGCGTCTTGGCGACGAAGAGTCCAACGGCTGTGGTAGCAAACATGCCACCAATGACCAGGGGAACCATTTGAGCCACTGCGGCGAGCGGTTGGGTCTTATGGATAGTGAGGATGTAGACAGTGGTGTAGTAGAGGAAGATTCCAAAGGACATCCAGCCAAATGCCATAGCAGTGACCACGGGTGCGAAACCAGGGCGGGTCCAGATGGAATTTGGCAGGACGGGGGCAGAGACACGGGACTGGGAGAAGATGAATCCGACGAGGAGGAAGACACTGACAATAAGTAGGGCGTAAGTGTAGGGCTCTTGCCAGCCGACGACCGACGCCTGGTTCCAGGCGAAAGAGAACAGGATCAGGGCTGACACACCGAGCAAGCTACCAATGTAGTCAAACTGGCGGAGACTCAGTCCCGGAATCGGCGAGCCGATTCGGTGAGGAACAATGACGCAGGTCGCCAAACTGAGAACAAAGCAGCCGATGGCCCAGAACCAGAATCCCCACCGCCAGGTGAATTTCTCACCAAAGATGGCCCCGATCAGACCACCGAAGATGTAGCCCGAAGGAGCGCAGAAGCCTAGGAAGGCAAAGGCGATGTTCTTCTTAACCGAGAGAGGTGGGAACGCACGCGCCAGCAGTGCGAAGGAGTTGGGGACTAGAGCGCCATTACCTATTCCCATCATGCCGCGGGCGATATCGAATAGAACGACGTCGTGGGCGAAGCCGCAGACTACTGACCAGATGGCCATCCAGATCCAGCCAAAGAGGAAGACGTATTTGTGGCCAAAGTGATCACCAAGGCGGCCGGTTACTAGGACGAAGACACCACCGCAGAGGGAATAGGAGGCTAGGAACCATGACTTTTGCCCATTACTGTTGGTGCCAAGAGATGCACCAATCTGTTCCATTGAGTAGGCGGCGTTGCCTAGACCGCCGACAGAGAATAGTTGGGACAAGCCAATAATGAGAATGAAGACAGCCTCCTGAAAGGCGGAGGAGAAAGTGGTCGGCTCAGTTTCCGGCTCAGCCTTCTCGGCGCCCCCTAGGCTCGATGTGTTTTCCTCATTGTCATGAGGTTTGCTCATCAAGGTGGGAGTGGTGGATTCGTCGGTAGACATGTGATAGGAGATAGTTATAGATTGATGGGTGGTTGATGGCCGTGAAAATGGAGGAATTGATTCAATTTTATAACCATCAGGTTTGAATACATTTTGTATTATGTTCTCTATTTTTCTTTTTACCTGGATGCTGGAGCCATGGGAAATGGAGATGGAAATTGACGTTGAAAGTCCGCGGACTTTCAGAAAAAGTCCGATGTCACCACCTGTGGACCACTCATTCCGGCTTCCCTCTTTCATTATTCTTGCGGGATCAGCATACTGGAAGCTGAGTGAAGCTGCAAGACGGAATGGCCAATCTTCTTTTACAAGTGCAGAGTGTTCGATTCAATCGGAGTATTCGATGTTGATTCCGCAACAGCATCGATCTTGGCAATCTCCGTACTGTACATGTATTTTACTATAACTAAATAAGGATACATGTATTTACTAGACGCTAGATGGCGGGGCAGCCCCCAAATGGTTAATTGGTGTCGGTGCCGTGGCAATATAAAATCTAGTTTAGCGCCATGCGGCCCCCTACGGCCCCCATCTGAAAATCTCCAGGGTTCGAACCGTAGAACCGTGGATATTTTTCTTCTAATTATCATTTTGCGAACATGCGAATCAGTCGCCCCTGTTTGCAGCTACAGCGTCTGCTCCAAGAACCAGCTGCAAAAATTCTTTTGGTGGCAGGTTTTGTATATCTGCTCACGTTTCAGCTCTGTCGCATTCGCTTCTGGCGCGATCCTCACTCCGCTTTTTTCGATATTCGCGATGCCTTCGAGTGGAAGTACAGTCTGGTACGAGAACATCAAGCAAATCATTTCATTTCCTTTTACAGTGCGCCATCGGGGGTTGACCCTAGTGCTGTTTTGAGCGAAGGCACACCTTCGATATGCGCGACGCTAGCTACTGTGAAGCGCAACAAAGACGACTATTTTGCAGCGGCTGTGGGATCCATGCTAAGCGATCTCGATCCTCGGGAGCGTCGTGCGCTTTACTTGTCGGTATTGTTCGCAAATACTGATCCAACCCAACATCCTAGCTGGGGTCAAAAATGGCTGGAACGGCTAGTGGATTCGGTTTCGACCTATAATGTCTCTGGAGAAGATTTTCGCTATCTTCAAAAACTAGAAGAGGAGCGTAACTTTTATGAAAAAGGAATCTAGTACGTTGGGTTTCTGAGGCCGCTTTGTGAACATTTTGTCTAACCGCAAGGCTACTAGTGACTATATTTACCTCCTTAATCAATGCCTCGAAACGGGTGCCCCGTATATATTAGTCCTTGAGGATGATGTTATTTTCGCAGATGGGTGGCTGGTCAAAACCCTAAACAGCCTTTATACACTGTCACATGGTCCGACTGCTCGCAACGGATCATGGCTATATCTCCGCCTCTTCTTCACCGAAACCTCTCTTGCATGGTCTAACTCAGACTTTTGGTATCGAAATATGCTATTGGCTTTTGGTTTAGTTATTGGATCTGGATATGCTCTTTTGTTTGCTGTTCGGCGATACTGGCCTTCCACTCGTCGCTTCTTGAACAATTGGACTGTCGCCGCTATATGCCTGGTGGTAGCTCCTGCTTTCACGGGATTGATATACATGATTGGAAAATATTCACTCTTCCCACTACAAGGTGTGGTAGAGATGAACGGCTATGGATGTTGTACTCAAGGGTTAGTATTTCCTCGCGAGCAAGTACCGGCTTTGGTGGCCCGCCTACAAGAAAAGAAAAGCGGACAAACGGACAGTATGATTGAGGAGTATGCCACCGAGAGCGGGTTGACGAGGTTGGCACTTGCGCCTCAGCAGATACAACATGTCGGACTACAGTCAAGCCGCGACAACCTCGAAATCAATACGCAGAGCACGTGGGCCTTTTGGTTTGAAGAGAATGATGCCTCGGAGCTGAATATTGAGCACGAGCGGCTCCTAGCTGCGAGCGATGATGATTGGCATTTGGTTTAACATGTATTTTTTTGTATGTCGCTCAGTTAACCCCGAATGGTGGACATTATCATTTTAATGACTTCTTCCCGAACGACATCGGTTTCTGTTTTGGGATAAAGTACAAAGTAGGGCTGAATTTCCTATGAGAAGTGATCTCTTTTACATTTCAAGGAAAAACTCAATGTGTGGTTCTCCTCCACTTATGACTAGAAATAACATGTAGTAGTCGAAAGCGTCTGGGGTCTGAATGTCAACGGAATTTGAAAAGGGGGCTCGGCGGAAGACCAGAGACGAGAAGACAATGGGAATGGGGCACAAAGGCTGTCGGTAGGAATTGCCTTGAACTGATCCTTCTTTTCATCTTGCGGACTCATTATTGAGGCAAGTCATCTTTTGACCATAAAGCGCCATGGTCAGTGCTGGTAAACGCGTGAATGAACGCTAGTTCGCAGCTGGTGGTGAAAACTCATTTAGATCAATCAAATCTACATAAATCAAAAATATTTCCACAGAGGCAACTTATCGCCAGTACTCCGTACGGAGTACCCTGAACTGGCAAAACTAAATTGATGTCTCAGTGTAGATAGTACTTAGGTAATAAGCTAGCCTGTTTAAGTAATAAGTGGGGCACTTTTACTGACTGTGTCAATTATTACCTTATCCGTCCATGGGGCCGGGAGCCCGGGCGGAATAACCGTGAAACTTTGGAGGCTCCCGAGAGCCAATAGGATCTGATCTGCCCATGGTTCGGCCGTGATTTGTGTTTGCGCATCTCCTTTTCCTTTCATCACTACATGTATTCCGTACATACACACCACTAACGCATTACTACGACCATGAAGACGAATACTGTTTAAATCACTTCTTGAGAACCACATGGTTCTATGTCGAAAATGCTCCCCGTTGACTACCTCGTGCTGAGATGCCGACATTTATTGCCAACTTCCCTAAGCGCAGTCTCATTGCGATTGCGCTTAGCCTTGCATTTACAATTTTCATGATTGTATCTCGACCAAGAGAGCAAGCTACTGCAGTACAAGGCAGCCAAACAGTTCATCCTTCAAGGTATATTCTCTGACCACCTAGGCTAACATGGCTTCTGGAGAAATTTAAACATCGCTTGATCCGGCGATTTTCGTCCAGTCGCTAACATGCTCAGAAGGCAGGTACTCAGCGCCGGGCATCCGTCGTCGCAATGTCCCGTGTCTCGGCGCGATTGCTCCAGCTTATGCATGCGGACAAGACTGAAAAGGGCGTTGGATTCGCATGTGAAATGTCCCCCACCTCCTGGGCTCTTTACTATGAGTTGAAAGCAGTTCAGGTTCCTCGGCCCATTTACCATGCGCACGAAACAAATCCCATTGAGCTCAACCTCCGAGCTAATTCAGGGAAGCCCGGTAAAATCAGCGCAGGGTGGAATAGTATCTGGAGCTGGAACAAGCACAATGATATTCCGATGAAAATGCCCTACATGTTTGGGTCAATTCCCCGAAAAGATCTATCGAGCCTGGCTAGGTTACGATGATGCAGAGAAGTGAGTGGTTTTGCTAGCCCCTTGACTTTCCCATTGATATTCGCCAATAATACATGGAAAGGAGGGATATCATCGCCTTTGCTTGCCTCCGATGTTCATACACCCAGTGAAGAATATAAAAAAATAATTGGCTCTCATGGCACATTAACGATTCGTCCTGATGACATTTCGGAATTTTGTACGGCACTTTCCCTTTGTACAAATTATACACATATAGAATTAACAGAGCAGAGGAACAGCTCTTGTCTGAAAGTTGATATACAAGAAACCCGAGCATTAAGAACCCACTCGCGCCTTCACAGCATCATGTTCCGCGCGCAAAGCTTCTGCATCGTTCATCTCAAACTCGAAATTCCATAGCCTCTCTACAACTGACAACTCAGCCTTAGACTTGATCTTGACGTGTGATGAAATAGCAACATCAGCACCTTTAGAGCTCTTCCGCCCAACATGCTGTACAATGCTTGGCGTCACTGCCCAGCGAATCTCATTTCTCTCATTTGCATATTCCTCGGTGAGCATGTCAACGTATCCAATACGCTTGGATGTGTATAGCCCGACAAGTTCCGGTATCCGTGACTTGGGGAAGACAAAGGCCTGCGAGCAACATCCAAATTTGGGCATTTGATGTACGCCGTTCGGTCGAGGAAGCATCGTCGCTCGGCCCATGGCAAAAAAGAGCCCAATCAATAATGGTGTGAATATACCACTCAAAAGAATTATTGTCATATTCGGTAAAAAGGAGCGGGCGTGGGAGTTAAATTTTCGGAAGACTAGGAGAACGCAGACCAGAATGCAGTCGACAAGAATAGACGAAAGAAGGTAGGTAAGCCATTCTTCGGCGTTCCAACCAAAATATTCTTCAGTATAAAAAAGACGCAGGTATAACCCTAGGTAAGAAAAAGTATCAGTAAAAGGAAAGGTAATTCGAGGGCTCAGGATTCAAAGTCAAGAATTTCTTCAGTCTACAATGGCTATAAAACTCACAATTCGCCGCTCCCATCTCTCGAGTCTGTTCTTCAGCAGAGGACAAAGCAGTTTTAGTGCGATGATACCATCCATCTAAAGCGACGAGATCATCTTCAAGCATAACGACATACGGCGTGTCAATGGTTGCACACGCCTTCAACAGATATGTGTAGTCAAAAAGAGCTTTCTCACGCCCTGCTATTTTGGCCTCATTTGTTTCTAGGGACCGTATATGATCAACGTCAACTTCGGAGGCATTGTATAGCAACACCTGGTCCGCTAACTTGTATAACCATGGCTCTGCATACGCGGGATGCAGCGACGGATCTGTGTGCGCGATGAATAGAATCAAGTGGATGTCTGCTCTTTCTTCTTCGCTCAGGCCCTCAAGGAATGTGCCTACAGTAGCTTGGAAATAGCTGGCCCCCTTTCGCGCAATGGTGGCAATTCCTAGGCAAAATTTAGGATCCCGTGGAGGATCTCTTGGTATCTGGGGCTCTGTAGTATTGTTTGCTGTATCGATGAAAGAAGCTGCCTGCTCAAGCCTAATAGCCGAATAGATAGGATCATAGGCCTTCGTTGGATCGAAAAATATTGAGGTTGGGTCACGGGAAGACTGTCTGCGCGCGACGATAATGAGTAAAACGTAGAAGAACAGAAAGAAAAGAAACGTCCGAAGCACCTGGACCGAGCTGATTGCTGAATTCAGCCCCGAAGTGTGAACTAGCCGGTTCAAATGCATTGTGAAAGGCGAGGATAAGAGTAAGCAAGATCCAGGTCCCAACTGCACAAGATGTTTTCACCCTATAAACAAGTTAATAAGCATAGTGTGGTTACAAGGTTGGAACTGATTTTCTTTCCCCAGCAAAGCCCTTGGGGCCAAATGATAAACTCCACTTCCCGGCCCCAATGTATAGATACACGGTTAACACGGTCCCAATACATGACCCGCCTCTCCACCAGGTGACGGGTTGGGCCGCAGGGTTCAGCCTTGTAATGCAAAAATTATAACAAGTCCCTTTTGTATGGGATCGCCATACAAAAAGTACATGTCATCAAATCCTTCCAACTTATATTTCTTAACCAACGTTATATAAATAGGAAATAAACGTAGATTCAGAATATAGAGTATCAAAATTATATTAGAGGGTCCTTAAAGGTGCCGTTTTCCGATGCTCTACTTTAATAGAACGTAGCTTGACTTTTTGTAAATTATAAAGTAGATTTGATTCTTTTTGGTATTTTATTTCGTGGTTTAATATGAGTTGGAAGAAATGTACTGGACTAGGTATTGCCCTTCAAGTACAAACTCCGTTGACTTTAGTTTCTTTCTTTCTAGTTACTATTATTGTTATTTTGAAATAGTTTCCTTTGGACCGAGGCAAAAAGTTCCAAGCTAGATTACATTTACTTCTGAATACAACATTGAACCTACATATGTACTTTGTACGGAGTGCACTCCGTCCAGGTGTACTCCGTACTAGTACATCATTACTACCCTGGCCCACTATTCCTTAATACAAACAGCACAAACTTCGCGTGTCGGACAAATTACGGAAGAAGGAGGGGGCAAAAAGACGGGGGGGAAACGGGGGCCAAGCCATAGGGATAATTCCAAGCCATAGGGATAAAATACAAGCAATTCTGATCCGAACACCCTGCGGCCCGTCACCTGGTGGGGTGGACCGTGTATGTATGTACACCTGCCATGTCAGAATTGACATGTACAAAGTATGTAGCCGACACTAGCTCATGGCCCTGGACCTGCATTTTTGGTTAGTGACGGGCCGCACTGTGGAGTCTATAACAATTCTAGCACCAGAACTGCTAGTTAGGTGTTAGCAAAGTTGGTGCGAAGGGTTCAATGGATTGTCAGAGCCAGAAGGGGATTATTATGGGTACGCCCAAAATGACTTGAGGCATTTGTCACACCTGAGCTCCAGCTATAACCATGCAATCCATGGTGGAGCAATAGGTTAGTTTCTTTGGGATTTCTTGTGTCGTATGTACGAGAAGTGGACGGGTTTTTATGATTCGGAAGGCAAATTGTTGCGATTTGCTTTCCAGGCGATGCCATGATCGCTCAAGTGTAATTACTTCATGGGTCTGTCCGTACTGGACTGGCTCATTTGTTTCCTTAGTCTATATAAACCTGTATCTTATTGTTAAAATGTGATCATTACAAGTCTTTACAGTTCATTTGTGTTCATTCTTCTTCCAGTCTGTAAATCTCAAAAAGACACTAACATGCAATATAATTCTAGTAGCTAGTAGCTGCACCCATTTTTGTCTTATCCATCTGTCTCCTGATATTTATTATGAGTTACTCAAAATCGTCAAGTGAGCATGACTCTAGGTGGTGCCATCAATGCGGCAATTCTGATAGAACGCCGCAAGAAGGACTATGTGAGGATGACCGTACAAACCTCATTATGAAGGTCTCTAAAATGCAAAGTCTGACTCCATAATTCCTCTCGTAAACTTTGTCTTTCATAGATAGGACCTGGCTTATGTGGAAAGAGGGCGACCCGTCTTGGCACGAGCTTTTTTTTGTTCTCGTCAGGACTCAGACTAATCACTAGGCCTGGGGGTAATTCAGGCCTGTTATTTATCCTCGATAAGCCATCTGGGCACAAAGCGCAGTTTCCCAGAGTCTGGGTCGTCTAGAACTACTACCACGAGTGTTACCAATGCAAGCCACTGAAGGACGAAGGGTGAAGAACGCAGTATATGGAAGAAACCGATGCAGTATCCTTGGCCCCATAGAGAAGCTGATAAACTTAGAAAGAAACAGAAGTGTCAACTGTGTAAAAATCGTAAGGATAACCCGTGGACATGTATAAGAATAAACAATTCTATAGATTGACCTTGGGATCCAGGGCGGGTCCACTCTATATGCGGCTTATGTAATCTCGTGTTGTCCGCAGTCTTCTCGCTCAATCGAATCTCGAACAGCAAACAGCGCGCCATGAGATCAATGAGATAGGAAAATAGATTTCGACTGATCGATCCTATACTTAAACTATTTGACACCCATCAAGAGGCCAAAAAACACCAACGCAGTTATGACGTCGCTCTCATTGTCGCTAGGCCCGCCAGCCTTAGTCCAGCTCCACGACGCCTTAATATGCCTGTCAAAATTCAGCGAAACAGTCGCCATCGAAGCAGAGCCCGACATCGTAGGTTACCTTGCCTGGGTGTGATCAGTCCAGTGCAAATTCTGGAAGCCTGCAAATGAGATATTCTGGCTAACTGTACCCCAGCTCCGCCTCAGTGCGCTCAATTCCACCAAGACGGGGTTTGCCTCGTTCGCGTTCGAGAAGGGGGTATTCTTTGAGGCGTATGTTTTCAACTCCAGCAGTGATGGACGAAGTGGTAGTGTTTCGCTGGACCGGTTTTTCTGCCAGATCTATAACAAAGTGAGTACATAGACTGTTGTTCCCTTGGATTTATATCCTACAGCATGTTTACGGGTGATTATTCCCTTGCTTTATGCTGATACGGGATACAGGCGCTTCTCTCCATATTCCGCGGGAGAATTGACAAAAACATGGACACAGCCGTTGAACGCTGTGACATGGAATTGCATGAAGATCTGCAGCAAACCGAGTGCAGACTGACAGTGAAGATGATCTGTGGACTAGGTAAGATACACCCTTGCATAGATCTGTCTTTTCTGACTTAGATTCCATATCTCTGACACTATATATAGGCGTGATCAAGTCATACAAGCTGACCTACGAACCAGCGGGAATTCAGCATGCCGTCTTCGACAAATCCAAAGCTACCAGCATGTGGACTGCTGATCCACGGTTCCTCAAGCAGCTCATTGAGCACTTCAGCTTATCTGCCGAGCAGCTGGACATGTACTCTGATTCCGGTAGAGCGGTGTTCACGAGCTTTACAACAAAGATCACTGAGGGCAAGGGTATGTCGAGTTCGCCTCCATCAAGCCTCAAAGTTATAGCTACTAACACCCCAACAGAAGTACTAAAACACCCAGTCCACACATCCGTAGCAGCAGACAAGCGCGACTTCCAAGAGTACTTGGTCGAAGAGAACATGCACGTCGCGATCAACCTGAAAGACTTCAAAGCCGTAGTTGCGCACGCCGAGACGGCAAACGCCACTGTAACAGCACGGTACACCCGACCCTGCAAGCCTCTTCAACTGGAATACCGATTCCAAGGCGTCAACGCGGAGTTCACAGTGATGACCCGCGGCCAGGCAGATAACGAAGAGGTCCCCAGGTCAACACGGACGACACTCCCACGGCAGACGCCCGCGCCTGTCCCAATTTCAGCGACCAGGCCGCGCGATACTCGCCCTTCGGTGACACCAAGTACGCAGATGCCTCCACCGCCACCGCGAAGCAGATCGATCCGTCCTCTCAATGGATCATCCACGCAGGAGAATCTGAGCCAGAAGGCTAGCGCAGATCGACTGGCGGCGTCTGGGCTTTCGATGGAATTCGATAGTCTTTTCGTGCCTGCTGATGATGACCGGCAGTGGGATGAGATGAATGAAGAAGAGGAGCCGCAGGATATTCTTGGATGGGATGCCTCGGGAACACAGGTATGCGGCTTTTTTTCCACCTCTGGTGTGTGTAGACGGGTGGCTAACGAACCGCCCAGGACGCATTCGGGGCATCTATTCGCGATGCGGAGCCTTCCTTCTCGAAACAGGATGGTTCTCACGTCGAAGAGCCAGACGATGAGATGGGTCTTCCGCCGACACAACGTTTGTCTCAGGTATGTGGATGCCGGTTCTTGCGAGACTTTGATACGCGTATGCTGATAGTTGATAGGTTCGTCAATATGGTTTTTTCGACTGAGAAAATCCCCCTGTCAAGGGCAGTGCAGTTGTCAGCAACTCTCAGCGCTCCCAGGTCCCAAAGGCGATCATGTCACAATAATCCAGCTAGTCGCACACCCCGCTCCAACCCCGTCGACCTTCCCATCCGCACTCACGGCTTCGGGGAGCGAAATCACATTATATGTACCCGATACATTTCCCTGGGAATCTGTATCAGGCCCACAGTTCCCATGCTCGCCCCATCCAAACGCCGCCACTCGACCATCTCCCAGCAGAGCAAGGGCATGCTCACTGCCAACGGCGAGTTTAGCAGGGGTCGGAAGATCCGGCGGTGGAAGTTGGCCACGATCATTGCGACCCCAAGCAACAATGGAACCACCAACAAAATCAGAATCAGAGTCTGTCCGTGCATCCGATATCGACGGTTCCACCGGTCCCAGCCAAGGCGCAGCATGTACATAGACCCCATGCCAACTAGCCGCAATACTAGTATAGCTATAACGAATAGTACCTCTGCACCCTCCACAATCACCTTGGTCATCATGTTGTAAATGATCTCCATCTCCACCTAGACCTCCATCGTCCCCACCATCCGATCCCGCAAGCAAAGATAAACTCTTCGGCACACCCAACACACCCCATCGATTCCCCCCATCCCCAAGAACAACAAACTGCCCCCGCCCCGAAACAACCGTAAACTCCCTCCCGCAAGCAACAGCCTCCGCGAAAAACGGCACGCAAACCCGAACAGGAGAATAAGCAATCTTAGCCCCTCGGTTCTCCGCCCCGAGCTGGCCCTTCCGAGCCCCGCCCCAGCCATAGACATCCCCATTCGAGAGCACAGCAGCCGAATGCGCCATCCCGCTCGCCAGCGCTGTGATCCTTAACCCCGTTGGCGGAAAGGAGGGGATACATGCCCCGGCGACAGGGGCGGGGGTGTTTTGTCCCAGGCCCAGTTCTCCTTTAGGTGACGAACCGAATACGAAGAGTCGATCTTCTGTGTCGGGATTGCATCCATGGCCGACGTCATTGCTGCTGCTTCGTGGCACGGATGCTACAGCAATCGTGCCCTCCCACGTGGCGGAGACGTGTTTGAACTTGGATACCTCTGTGTCGGATACAGCGTCTGAGAGCACCATTCGACGAAAGCGTAGGATGTTTCCTTTGTTGTCGGACTCGGGCTCTTTTGGATTTTTGGTTGTCCTGTGCGGCCCGCACCGTCCGTCTGCATTGCAGCCGGCAACGTAGATGGAGCCGCTGGCTGTTAGGAGGAGGGTGTGGTTCCCGCCTGCTGCGATGGTGATGATTTCAGATTCATCTGCGAGGTTGGTGCTTTGAGTGGTGGTTATTTGGGATCCTTGGGATGGCTCTGGGTGTTCGAAGGAACATGGTGTTGGTGTGGAGACGTCTTCTTCGTGGCCGATGCCTAGTTGGCCTGATCCGTTGGAGCCGAAAGCGAAGAGTCTCATCACTCTTTATTTTCTTTTTCTTTTTCTTCAATGTTTTATGTTTGGGGTATCATCGAATTTGACTAAGTGTGCGGTTCATATACATCCATCGATGTCCAGGTGCCCAGCGTTGGAGAAAATACGATGTTAGTCAGCCTTTCTGCCTCAGGCTAGTTACAATATCAGTCTCTCTCTTACAAGGTTGTTGTTGACTACGAGTCTTAAAATTTGATGAATGGTCTTCAAGAAGGATATGTAGCAAGATATCCAAAAGTAATATCAATATCTAATCAATCAAGGGGCCCGCTTCATGTGTCAAAGCAAAAGTCATGCAAGTTCATATAGCAAGTATGAAGGTTTCCAAAAAGCGACTGAAGTGTATATGCATGATAAGTTTTTTAAGAAAAAGAAAAATTGAACAAAGGGGGAATTATTTATAGCTAACTTTATAAAGAAATTTGGTTCATGGTCGCATCACAGGCCATAACCTGAGGACCGAGCAAAGTGACCGCTTAGTGCTTCTTCTCGTTGGGGGAACCATCCTCAGACTCGCTCTCCGCAGGGGGAGGCAAGGTGAAGGTATCCTGCTTAGAAGTCACATTCTTCTCCATGCCCTTGAACATAGGGCTGGTGCGGTGGAAGTATGTGTGCACGTGACCTTCGAGAAGCGACTCATCAGTGTCAAGGGAGTCGGCAACTTCCTTCTCAGCGGTCTTAGCGGCCATGGCGGTCTCCCACTCAATGCGGTACTCCTCGACCTTCTGTTGGTAGTCGAGTTCGGCATCGTAGTAGCGGGACTTGCGCAGGACGTAGCGCTCATACCATGACAGGTGCTTGGGGTGCACGGCAGGACCGTGGTACTCTTCCTCGCGACCCTGGCGGAGATATTCCCATCGGCGCTCCTGCTCCTTCAGGTCCAAACCAGTGGTGTCGGGAAGGAAGAACGCGGTGATCACAGCACCAGCCAGACCAAACCAAGGCACAACGTAGAACTTGGTCTGGGTATCGATGTAGTTGTACAAGACAGCGGCCAGAAGGGCACCGGCCTTACCCCAGGCAGCGGACATACCGTGAGCGGAGGCACGAATGGGTGTGGGGAAAACTTCGGCAGCGACCAGGAAGGAGACCGAATTGGGACCGAACTGGTTGAAGAAGGAGCTGAGGAAGTACATCGTCTGGAAAGCCTTGATGTTCTCGGGGCGACGGTAGTAATCGAAGTTGAAAGCAGGGATAACGAAGAGAATGAAGCAGAGCAAGAAACCAATGATCTGCATCCATTTGCGACCGTACAGCTTGTTGTCGATCAGGAACGAGGCCATGTAGTATCCGCACAGAGACACACCAACATTGACCAAGTTCCACAACCAGGTGGGCATAACAGAGTTAGATTGGGGACTGATCACCTTGATGAACTCGCTTTGGAACAGCTTGTTGCCGTAGAAGAAGACATCGTTGGCGAACCAACCGCCGGCAGTTGCGAACATGCGGAATCCGAAGTACTTGAAGGTCAGCTTCAGAGACTGGGCATCATAGCCAGTGACGGAAGCCTTCTTCTTGGCAGCGGTAAGTTGCTTGCTAGCAGCCTTCATATGGTAGGCACGGTAGTACACAAGCCACAAAGTACCGACGGCGGGAATTGCGAAGGAAACTCGGTAGGTCCACTGAACAGAGACGGTGGAGTAAGGGTTATTACCACTGCCGTGGTGGAAGCAGAGCAAAAGAATGATGAGCAAAACCTGGTTGAAGAACTGACCCCAACCCTGCATCAGGAAGGCACTGGTGACCTTGCGGCCACGGTGCAGGCGATCTTCTTTGGTGGATACCTTTCCAGAGCCGATCGCGTTCTCCATACCGCTGGTGGCAGTCATGGGGTACTCGCCACCAACACCGATACCGTAGATAAAGAGACACCAAGCATAGCAGATGATCCAGCCATTCTGGGTCACACCCCAGGCGGCAGTCAACATAACAAGACCGAGAAGCATGATAACGGCATCCTGAATCAAACCCCATCGACGGCCAATCCTAGTCTCTCGTTAGTACGGTCTCATTTCCACGGGCAGTATAATTGCAACTTACCAGTCACCCAAGACTCCAACCAGGATCTGACCCACGATGATACCGATGATCTCGAGGTAGTCGATAGCGTAAATCCACTGCTGGCTACAGGTCTTGGCGTGTTTCCAGCAATCAGGGAAGGCTGATTGGAAGAGAGGCTTGATGTTGCCGATAGAGAAGAGCACGTAACCCTCCAGACCGAGACCAGCACCGGGGAGGACCATGTTGCGGAAGTAGTAGGAGATGGGCGAGAGAGGATCCACCTTCATCATCTTCCAGATATCATTCAGCTCTCGCTTGGCCTCCATGTTGTTGTAGGAGGTGACGAATGTGATCTTCTTCCAGAGCGGGAGATCAGCCCAGTAGATGCCCTCGGGGGTGTAGCTGTCATCGGGGCGAATGAGGGAATCGAAAGCACCCTTCTCGTGCATGTCCATATCCTCCAGCGGGTTTTGGTCTCCCGACATGTCGGGCCCATGAGGGGCACGAGGACCAAAGTCGGCCATGGTGGGAGTGTTCACTGAAAGGTGTCGCGTGAGCAAGAACTTTGCCTGATAACAGGTTCTATTCCGGAAAGGGAAGAGTCAAAGTGACCACAGTAGTTGGGGAAGGTGAACGACTTCGACCCAGGAAAGCGGCAATGGACTCCTTAAGTATGAGAAAGGTAGGTGGGAAAAGAAGTGAGAAGCGAGGGAACCGGAGCGTGTGGAAGACATGCAACGGCACAATTAGTGGCGTCTCCACTCCGAACTCAGAAAAATTGACCAACAAAAAAAAACCTTGGAAAGTTAGAAGGTAAGAACCACTCTATCTTGGGGTGCGGGCCCTCTAGGGCCCTCTCCTGGTGCGGATCTGGGCCTCCTCTTGCTGGTTTTGGCTCCGGAAACAGATTTTCTACTTTTAGCGGGTCAAGTGGGTCTGATATGGAGCTGCCGGGGACCAATAAAATGTGCACGTGGAGGCAGAATCATAATTCATATTGACACCGCCTGCAGTTTGTGGCAGATCTTCCAAACTTTCGCGGGGGCCATAAATTCTGCTCACCGTTTGAGTTTGACATGGTTACAATAATTACTCCTACATCAACAATATAAGCCTACCTATGTGTTTATAGTTATGAAGCGTCTACAATGTACAGGATTTAATATATGAACCTGAAATGTCAATTCTTAGTTAAACCTCATGCCAAGGCAATGCCAATGCAATGCCAATGGGATGCCCTCGGGCAAAGTGGCAACCCTTATCCAAACACCGAGTCCCAGACCGGAGGTCATCTCGGATCCAAAAGGGAATCTCATTTACGCTTTGACACACGTGCAGACTTTTCGAGGTAATTGTCCATCTCTACTCCGTACAATAGGCAAAGAAGCAATCTCCCTCCCAAAAATCACTTCCACATGGACCAGTGCCAAAACGGGCCGCATCTGGGCCATTTAATATTGACGTAGTGGCTGAGGCAGTCCCACGCTAGTTGGCAACCCCGGGCATCTTCCATGCATGATCTCTGACCAATCATCGTGCAGCGTTTGAACATGTGCAACTCCATTCTCCGCACCTTCCCTCGAAATCTAAACCTACCTTCAACACGTGTTATCATGTTGCGTGTCACTGCTGTCCTACATTCCGATCTATCCGGTGTATCTATTGGATGCTATGGACTAGATTATCATAGACGCGAATTGCCAGGCGAAATCTGCGTCGATTGAAACTAAAATTGTGTACTATCGACCATCTAGGACCAGAGACGCGACTGATATCGATACATGCGAGCATGTCTACATCAAAACCTTCCAGAATCTTGGCTAAAGCTTGCTTTGTTTCCTCGCATCAGCCCAAGCATTTCCAAGCAATTCCAAGCATGTTAAGCAATGATGGGCGTACCGGCACGGCGTCGCCAAGTGAGCGTCTATAATGCTTGGTCCTCTAGGGCTGGATTTGAGTATGGCACGCACGTGCTCGTATTTCGCGCGTTCAATAGTCCGGAACGAGAGGTCAATTCACGCGTGGTTTGATGTTTGATGTCTCGGGCAACGCCCGTTTGGGATACTCGGGAATGCATCAAAGAAACTTTTGTACCCACCCAAGCTGTGCCCTGCGTATGACATGCGCCCTGCAAACCGATTTCGCCTAATTTCCCCTTTTTTCCGTTTTAATTCCAAGGGGCTGCGCTAAATGCTATATTTTGCGTGGATACCTGGATGATCTCGGGCTGCACTGGACATCTCATGATGCCGGCCAATGACGGTAGATGACTTTCTTTGCTTATTTCGTCTTGCTTATTGGCTGCTCAAGTCTGGAATTCCACCCTTGCAGTTCCCCTTTCCTGGCTCCGTACATCAGTTGCTTTCTAGAAAAGCGAACCTTTCTAGAAGATTGCCCAAGTGTTTCAGCCGTTATGTACTCCGCACATGTTCCCACACTGGGAACTTCCAAGGTTGTCTCCAGATGCTGTGGATCCAGAGCGCGTCGTCTCATTATGGGTATTCGTCTCAGAATGGGTACGGCGTACACAGCACTACATCGCAGGCACTAGTCCACTAAATAACCAAGTAGGAAGGTGCGCATATAGTGTTCGGTATCTCCGAACCTCATATAGCCACTCGAACAAACCCGTGGACATTTGGAATAATCAATAATTAGTGTCGCGGCGTGTCTAGACTCGAGACATGCCCAGGTGACACCCTACAGGCCTAGATCCAGATTTATTGGAAGGATTATACCTAGATATCCTTTATCCTTCTATCATATCAGCACTTAGCGCACACTTATCTACAAGTCCGGTTGCTGGTAAGTTTATTTTGCTTTTTGCACCGATGTCTCTGCCTTGCATGTTGGTTCACGTGGTTGTGTTACAGTCCCCTATAGGGGACGCTAAAGCTGTATACGCGGATAGTCTTATGAGAAGTGGCGTTTAGCAATATTATTGGCACAGTCATACGAGTGAGATATTAATGGCTCATCCTACTGTGCCATTATCAACTTCAGTCTGACCTATGTTGCATTTCAAGTTCTGTTGTGTAATCTCCTGAGGTCGGTCTCACTGCTTATGGCGTGGTTTGACATGGCCTAATTCGCCCATGAGCAGATGACAGGAAAACAAAACACATACTAATCGTCCGATGTTTCAGCCCTGGATGGTTCAACTCAACATTGGATGGCCACATGTACGACTTTCTGTAGCTAATGCACCTATAGCCTTGATGTCATCCCCGATATCCTAGATAGGCTTGCCAGGGGCCAATGTGCGAAATTCCCAAGCCCATCAAAATCTACACTAACCACCCTAAACAAACAAAGGGAATTTCGTAAATCTCACAAAAAAATATGACTTCCAGCTTGGGGAACAGAAGCTAAGACATTATGTCTCTAATAATACGAAGCCTACTGAGAGGACCACGTCGAAATGCATGGTTGCAATGTGAGATAGATTGAGTAGCTGAAGAAGTAAAAAAACTAAAACCATCACACACTATGGCTTGTTCAAAGATTCGGTACATCAACGGAGAACTTGACTCTATAATTCGGTCCCGACAGGCTACAATGTATATAAGCCTCCGGGGTTACACACATATCACAACCAGCAAAATTAGGAAGATCACTTAGCTTTGTGTCTTGGGTACCTGCTCCTGCTTACACGTTGATCCGTTCTGCCTTGAACCCAGAGAGCAAACCTCTATGGTAAATCATCTTTAACGGATCTTATTCCCAACCTTGGAATAATAGTGAACTGACCAAGGTGTACTCTAGGGCTTCGGGTCGGATTTCTAGAGTAAAGCGAGTCCTTCCACGTAGCATATGGTAGATTGTTGCGATGACTGGAAGGGGACATTTGGGCTGGCAGTAGTGAAACCAGGGGGGGGGGAGGTTATAGTCGCAGGTAGGAACGTCGCGCCTTCCAGAAAGATGATTTCAATTACCTAATTAGGCAGAGATGCACAGTGGGAAGGAATGACAACAAGTACATCTATGGATGTTTAAGCATGAATGTTCCAAGGTTGAAGTGGAACTTAAATCGCCTTGACCAAATCAGTCTTTGTTGATTGATTTTCCAGTCAACAGAGTGCAAGACACGGCTACGTACATGTGTAAATAAAGCACCTTCGGGGTCTCTGAAATATGCATGTATTTCTTATCGCTAGTGACATCAATAATCCTAATATGGCAGTATCTGTTGTGTGCCTTTACCCTTTAGCGAATGTCTAGTGTTATTCATAAACATGCAAAGAATATAAGACAGTTAAATATAATTGTGGAAAGCCCATCAACACCTACACAGTGTTGGTGGGCACCACCGGTAGCAACTTGTAATGATTAGGTATCTTTTGTATAGACTTGCTATACAAAAGATACAACATTGTTAATTATCTTAACCTTCAAAATACATAGTCAGGGGGAGTATGGAAGATATATATATGTAAATGGAATCTCAATTATTTGGTATCAACCAAAGAGTCATCATGTGGCGTTTTATAAGGTGCTCTTTACACTTCTGTATAATATATTTAGAATTGATATTAGTAGTAAATTGATGAACTGGTCTTTTCTTATATTTTTATTTCTTTTATTTTCGTGAAGCTAGTTTGAGAGTTGAGAAAATCGATGTTATGCTTTATGGATGTTGCGGTGAAGTATCCTTTGTATGGAGTTGCTATACAAAAGATACTTTGTTCTAGCAACTTGCTATCCGGTGGAAATTTGCTATCCGGTGATGCCCACCAGCACTGAGTAGGTGATTGTGGGCTTGCCACGCTTAGTGGAGATGAGATAGATGGCCTTCCTCCACCTTGCTCTCACATTTATATTGACAAGGAATACGGCACGATATATCGACACGTCTTACAACTGGCATATGATTGGTTGAGTATATTGACTAATCTGCCGCCTCGCTCTCCGCCTCTCCAGGGCTCCTTCAAACCTCCATGTTTACTTTCTACTATTCTATGTTATAATCTGACTCTGATGTACGAACATGATATTAGGTATGCATTATACTCCAAGCCTTTTTAGAAGACTTTTTAGCAAAAAATTGTAAGGCTTGGCATGCTTTTTCCCCCTTCCTAGTGTCATAGTTAGAAGGACCATTTATTGGTTAGAATTGGACAACTGTAGGCAGTAGAATAACGGTGAAAGGCATAGTTCCTACAAAACGACTTTCAATATGTAACATGCGATATTTGGAGTATCACGATAGATGGATCTATGATGCTGTTTACATATATCTATCCATGGATGTACTCAATTTTCTGCCACTGAAAACCCACCTGGGCACCTAGGCGACTGCTCAACCAATAAAATACCCGTTCTCCAATGTGACGCTATATTGCACCGTACAGGAACATCAATAGGTCGGATCGTAGTCATAGACGAGTATTTCCTTATTTCTCTGACATCCGGGGGCAATCCAAATGACTTAGTGCATCTTCCATCAGATTATACAGGTAGATTTTGAACCTGTCGGTCCGAAGAATCTAAACTACATATGTAGTCGAGAATTCGAAGTTTCTGTGTCGAGGTACAAGAAAATTTATAGAGATGTTCCAGTCTAGAGATTAGTGTAAGAGCATGTGCAAAAAGTTGTCAACCTGGGAAGTGGCCAAAGCAATAACGTTGGTACTAAACCCCCCTGTCGCTGACGTCAAATCTCTTGTGATCTAATATATAACACTCTCACATCCCTTCATCTCTGAGATCAAACCCTTCCCCCGCCCATAGATAAAATGCATATCCAATTCATATCCAAATTAATTCATCAATGCCAGCTCCCACGAATAAAACACAAGTACGATGTCGACATGCAAGATCCTTCGTGGCTGGTAACATTCTGAACATTCCTGAAGCTCACAGGACCACACCCATTCCCTTCCCACCCAGCCATCATACCTGGGCCACTCCAGACTTTCATTTCCAATAGCTATACGGCTTCTATTTTGTACCCGATCATGTATACATTCCACGGAAAAAAAATCCAATCTCGATACTCCATACTATGCGGAGCATAGGGTGGTGGGTGGTGTTCCCGCCCTTTCTAACAGCCCACGTCTGGAATGAAGCCATCGTGAGAAAAGATCCCGATCCCCCCGATCGTCCCGATTTCCAGTATGGTACGTATATAAGGATCGCAAAGAGGGCGAGAATCGCAGATTCGGGTGTCTTTTCTCATTGACAATCGAGCTTTCACACCATCTGCTGTATCCCCACATACTGCATACTGGATCCAACTACATCTTGCAGAAGACTAGAACTAAACCAACGCATACACCCGATTCACCATGTCGGGCTTCAATGGCCTATTCCAGACGGTGACAGTCTTCATCGCATTTATACTCACCCTCCTATGTCTCTTCGCAGGGACGCAGAGAAACTTCCTCGAAGATGTGGATCTCTTGACGGTAAGTCCGGTCGTCTCCAACTACTCTCTACAAGTGGCAGTTAGACAGAAATCTGACTTGGCCCCGTCTATCCATTTAGCTTTATACACCCGCAGTCAGTAAAGACAGTGGAGCCCGCGATTTCTATTCCGTCCATGCCATGTCCTACTGCCAGGGAACACTGGTAACAACCGACTCCGGTGCAGAAGTCACGCGCAACGTGACCGAATGCTCAAACCGCACGCTTCTATCCTCATTTGACCCGACACAAGCCTGGCCGAAGGAGATCACCTCCAGCGGGAATATGGGGTGGCCGCGCGTGATCAGCGATGACTTCCACGCCTTCATCATGACAAGCCAAGTCATGGCCGTGATGTACTGTATCGGAGTTGGCGCGATGGGTGCTGCGATGCTGGTACGAGTATGGGCGACTCTCGCTCCACGCGCATCCCAGGGCCTGTTTGAATTTTGGTTTTTCGTGGTGAGTTACATATACATGTACACGATCTGGTGATGGATATTACCCCCTACATAAACTCTGTGACGGCATGTCGTCCGTGCAGGCTGTGTACTTCCCAGTTCAGCGTGGTGCATTTCGCATTTCCCCAGAGTACGAGAAGTGGCTGACATGGTATCATTGATTAGCTCGGATTTTCTAGCATCAGCATCGCATCCGTAATCGCAACCGTCATCGCCTTTGAATTCGTCGCTCTAATTAATGCTCACGGCAAGGGCTCGGACGTGTCAGCCCAGTACAGCGAGAAATTCCTCGGGATGAGTTGGGCCGCGGTGGGGCTGTTACTTGCCGGTAGCCTTGCTTCCTTTGTGAATGTCTTTGTTAACAAACGGGCTGCGGGTGCGCCTGCGCCCGTCTCAAAGGATATAGAGGGGTAATCAGCACCCAAAAGTAAACAAGAGAGGGAGCGGTGATGGTAGCCAGTCGGAGAGCGCAGTTTCGGACGGGGGGCGGACATCGGAGAAACTCGCGAAATCGAATATAATCCATCCCATAGAAGATAGAGAGCCATTTATGAATCGAACGATACCACCTTAAGATTATCCCGCGTAACCAATATAGAGTCGTAGACAATCTAACTAGGAGTCGTTTCAACGGAAATTGCGAAGTTGCCAATCCGGCCACTTGCTTTTGCGCGATATCTGAGGGTTGTGATGTTGAGCCAATGGCCGGGCCCGGAGGTACCGCGAGGGTTAGGTTTTTCCCCCTAACTTCCAGGGGCTAAGGTATGTTGGGCAGTGCAAACCAGGCAGCCATCCTGGTAGTCTATAGGGGCTAGAGCGCCAGAGCATGGAAGGCAATGGATGCACTTCGAATAAAGACCTCGGCTTGATGGAGTGGCCGCGAACTAACGAGGAAAAAAATGGGTCTGGGCTGTCAACCGTTCATCCGACGTCACCACATGTGGATATCAGTTGAGGTTCTATTGAGTATGAGAATAGTCTTGAATATTCTTGAAGTGACCACACACATTATACCTCAAACAACGCCTCCAACCAATACTCAGTAGGAATCCGTACATTCCGTATAATGGCTCAGACTCCGAGGACCACTGTACTCCGTTAGATGGTTCCCGGTTTGTCGGCTGATTTTCTCCGAAGTCTACATTTTGCCAAGGTTCTTGTCAAAGCGCGAGGTATTGACGAATATGGGCGGGTTTTCCCGGTGATTTTATTCTTTCCATTGTTTTGCCGGTGAGTGGTTTCCCGAGTGAATGCACATGAAATGAAACCTATAAGTTACTTAAATAGGAATAATGTATTGTGTATGTTTGTATTATATGGATGTTCTCTACCGGTCTTTGAAGTATGGTTGCACAGACATTAAAGCGGGGGGGGGGGGGGAGGAAGAAGTGTAACATCTCTCGGGTCAATAGTCTTCTTTGTTTAGAATGTTAGAGAGAGAATTATAGAATGATAGAATTATAGAATTTAAAACAGAATATTACAGAATAATACAGAATAATAGAATAATTATAGAAATAATAGAATTATATTCATAATGTTCTCATATTAGAAACATGGCGGAGGCCAGTCCCGCTGCCCTGATATCTATGAAGTCATCGTCACTCTCTCCCAGGAACCAGCATTTTCCAAGTAAATAGCGGCTTTTAATAGTTCTTTCCCTATTTGTTTCCCTATTTGCTTCCCTACTTCCCCCTCTTTCCTTAAATAGCGGCACCTTTCCCCCTGGAACTGGAAAATGCAAGTAACGCGACTTCCTCTTTAGTTTATCTACTTGTCTACTTCTACTCCCACTTCCACCTCCACTTCTACTTCTACCTCTACTCTACCTCTATCTCTACTTCTACTCCCACTTCTACTCCCACTTCCACTTCCCTTTCTCATATCAAACATCATGGAGAAGAAAGCTATTCATTTCGGTGGTGGAAACATCGGCCGTGGTTTCGTGGCCGAGTTTCTCCACACTGCTGGATACGAGGTCGTATTCGTCGATGTCATGGACAGTATCATCACTGCCCTACAAAACACCAAGTCCTATGAGGTCACTGAAGTCAGTGACGAGGGCGAGTCTACCAAGATCATCACCAACTACCGTGCTATCAACTCCAAGACCCATGGGAGCGATGTCATCAAGGAGATCTCAACTGCCAGCGTTGTAACTTGCGCCGTGGGCCCCAACGTCCTCAAGTTCATCGCCCCCGTGATTGCCAAGGGAATTGACGCCCGCACCGCTGCCACACCGTTGGCCGTCATTGCCTGCGAGAACGCCATCGGGGCCACTGACACTCTACACGAGTTCATCAAGGACAACACCACCCAAGACCGTGTCGCCTCTATGCCAGACCGCGCCCGATTTGCTAACTCGGCCATTGACCGTATTGTACCTGGCCAGCCCGCCAACGGCGGTCTCAACGTGCGCATCGAGAAGTTCTATGAATGGGCCGTGGAGTCCACACCTTTCGGCGAGTTTGGTCACCCAGAAATCCCAGCTATCCACTGGGTTGGCCACCTGGAGCCCTACATTGAGCGCAAGCTGTTCACCGTCAACACCGGTCACGCCACTGCAGCCTACTATGGCTACGATGCCGGCAAGAAGACCATTGCCGAAGCCCTCCACGACCCTCGCATCCGCGGTATTGTCCGTGATGTGCTTCAAGAGACTGCCTCCCTCATCGTCGACAAACATGAAATCAGCGCCGCCGAGCAGCAGGAGTACGTCGAGACCATCATCACCCGAATCTCTAACCACTACCTCGAGGACACCGTGGAGCGCGTGGGTCGTGCCCCGGTGCGCAAAGTGTCCCGCAAGGAGCGATTCATCGGCCCGGCTGCGCAGCTGGCCGAGCGTGGCGGAAAGTTCGAGTCACTGCTGGGCTCCTTTGAAATGGCTCTGCGGTTCCAGAATGTGGAAGGTGACGAGGAGAGTGTGGAGCTGGCCAAGGTCCTCAAGGAGAATTCGCCAGCCGATGCTGCTGTCCTATTAACCGGCTTGGACCGAGAACACCCTCTCTTCCCCCATGTGGTCAAGGTCGTGGACGTCGTACAATCCGACGCAAAGTAGGCAACTCTTCCTTACGCCAACCTCACAACATCCTAACATCACTTTTTCAGAGAGGCAGGGCAACCGCGCATTTGATTTCGCTTTGACTGAAATTCAACTTGCATGGAATATCGCGAATACCAGGTACACGGCGCGACGGGAGTAATGGGATCAGTGTTTTAGATGACTTTATGAACTGTAGTAAGAATAGCGAATTGACAATCATATCTTTTTTTCAATCCTTCTACTCTAGAAAGTAACCTCACAACTTACTATCAACCCAAACAGGCTTCCTCTTCTCCACAAAAGCCCTAAGCCCCTCCTTAATATTCTCCCCCTCATACAACCTCTTAACCCAAGTCTCATTCAACATCGCCGTAGCCTCATCCGCCCCAATCCCCTCCCAACCCAACTTAACTCCCTCGCGACTAACAAGCACCGAATCAGGACTATTCCCCGCAATCTCCCCAGCAACCCCCAAAGCCTTCCCCAAAACTGCCCGACCAATCTGCTCCTCCCCATCCCCCTCACCAATCTCAACAACAGAATTAACAAGCCCCCACTTCTCAGCCTCAACAGCCCCAACCATCCGGCCCGTAAGAACCATCTCCATAGCCCGCTGCTTGCCAACAGTCCGCACAAGTCGCGGCAACGCCCCTGCAAGAGCAACAACCCCACGCTTCACCTCCGGCAACCCGAATACAGCCCGCGATGACGCAATCACGATATCGCTGTTGATGATCATCTCCGCGCCTCCGCCGAGACAGAGCCCGTTCACGGCGCAGATCACGGGCTTCTTGCCCTTGCGTCGGGCGAGTCCGCCGAACCCGCTGTTTGGCATTGGGGTTGTGGAGCTTGAGGTTGTTGTTGCTGCCGAGGTGCGGTTGTTCCATTCTGGTGGAGTTAGCGGTATCTGAATAAAATGGATTGGAGTTGGGTCTTTGGGGGGTTGGGGTAGTGTGTGAGTGTGCTTTTGTATACTGGCTGTGGATGGCTTGCTAGCTCACCTTTTAGATCAGCGCCGGCGCAAAACGCCCGCCCCTTTCCGGTTAGGATGCCCACGCGCATGCTCGGCTCTTCATCGAGCCATTCCCAGATTGCGTGGAGGTCTGCGTGGCCTTGGGCGTTGATGCAGTTTAGATCGCGGGGTCGGTTTAGCGTGACGAGGAGGATGTGGGGTGCTGGGTAGGTGAGGGTTGCGTGGGCTGGGGTTGGAGGTTGGATTGTGAAAGGTGGCATTTTGGGTTTCTTGGGGGTTTTGCTAGGATATTGTTTTTATTGAGGAGAGAGGGGAGAGGAGAAAGAAGAACGAGTGAAGGAAATTATACTTGTATGGAAAAGTAGAGGTGATCGACAAGAGTTGGGGTTATTCGTAGATGCGGAGAAGCTATGCCGAGGACCGAGGAGTGTGGGGGTCATTACTGCTCACTTTGTTGATGACTTTGGAAGTGATATTTACTCTTTCCTTTGGGCTAGATAGATAATAGGTTTGTAGGTTACTGTTCATTGTACAATGCGAATTACAGGTGATATTCTGCCTGTGACTTATGTTGACAAGCTTCTGAGATGAACACATCCGCCCATCTCCCAAGTTCCCTATGAACGCCAAAAAAAGAAACGCTCCCGAACAAAATCACAAATAGATTTGGATATCAATAAGCTAAGAAGCGAGTACAGCGGATAATGGATCTGGCGCACCTACGCCTTGTTTATCCAACCGCTGTGTACCATGAAATCGTAAATGCGGCTGGTTTTGGTGCCCTCAATCTAACAGAGTCAGTAAAGGATAGGTATTTCAAGAGTCGAGTAAGAAACATACCTTGCAAATTATCCGTGCATCTTTCTTCTTCAGGTTGCCGCCCTGCTTCATTGCTTCCTTCAACAGTGTCTCCTTGATGACCAGATACGGCTTCGGCATCAGACGTAGAACATTGCAAACCTCTGCCTCTTCCTTGGTCAGAAGGTGCAAGTCGGCAGCAGTGTCATTGTCCAGCTTCCACGACGGCATCCCGCTTAGCGGCGGTACCACGTATTTCGTCTTTGTCGGCTGCGGGGGAGGCGCATCCCCATCGACAGCGAAAGCGCGATCGAAATCGTTCAATGGTTCGTCGGCAGGATCCGCCGGCGCGTGTGGATTGGCGGCTTTTTGCAGGCGCAGCGGCAGTTCAGGCGTTGTGAGCTGGATTGCTGCCGCTGGTGTCTCTGTCAGCTGTGCCTGCTTAGGGCGGTTGCTAGCAAAACGGTCAAATGACCCTTGAGGAACCATTCGTTGCACGCGCTGTTGCTTATCCTGCTCGAACTTCTCGCCTGCTTTCAGGTCACCGATGCCCATCTGCCGCCATTCTTGAAGCTGGGAGATGGCTAGGCGGAGGTTGTGTTCGTATTCCAGGCCCTTGTTGACGTCTTCAAAGTCCTTGCAGTTCATCATCCGTGCTAGTGGCTTTGCTTTGTTCAGCAAATCTCGCTCTTCCTTTGACCGTTTCTTATCTAAGGCGGTGTTCTTTCGGTATTCGAGGAGGTTGTGCTCGAAGAGGATCTTCTTGCGCTCTGTACGCGCCGTCAGGCGCGAGTTGTAAATATCAACCACGGTCATCTTGAGCTCGGTCTCTGCATCTGGCTCGCCGTTTTCATTGAGTCCAGCCCCGGGCTCAAAAGTCATGTGCTGCACCGCTTCTTCGGCATCGTTCAAGAACTCAGTCTCAAACTCCAATCGTCCCGGCATGTAGCCTTGCACTTCGTGACATGCGGGTACACTGGCAGTCGGCTTCTGCTTGGGTGTGGTTGGAGGTGCTGCCTTGGCAGCATCTTTGCGCTCTTCGATGCGACGCTTCTTGTGTGTTTGGAACTCCTCTTTGGATATCGAATCCTGCAGGTTCCTGTCGTCTGGATCGGCGCGGGTTGCGAGCGGGAAGTTCACGCTCTTCACATATGTGTCGTAGTAGTGGTCTCGCACTTCATCCTTGCTGCGGTAGCCGCCAATGTGGTCTGCGATGTCTGCCCAGGAACCCAACCCATAGATCTCGGCGCCTTCCAGCAATAGCAATTCTTCGTCGGCACCCCAATCCCCCTGGAATATGGGGACTGAGTTCTGTTCGATCACTTGGAAGGGATGTGTGGCGGGGTCATGGTTTTTGGAGTTCTTTCCGGCTGAGAAGCAGGGGACACAGAGGTCATATTCGGGGCAGGCGGGATGCGAACACGAGATGCGAACCTATGCGACGGAATCGCGTTAGTCTCTGAGGAAAATAACAAACCTTCAAGTGGTCATGACACAATCACGCCGAGACTCACTGTTGACGTAACATCGATAGAGCACACATCGCAGTGGAACTTGGTGCCGGCCTCGGTGCCGCGCGAGGCGGTCTTTTTGCGTATCACACCCATTAGCCCTCCACCCCTTTCATCCTCCGATTTGTCGGGTACTGTATCGATAGCAACAGACTCAGAGGTCTGGAAATACTAGAGTTGCAGGTGACAAGTTGAGGTGCGATCTTCCGGGGTGGGTGTCTCCGCACTTCGGAGCGGGGAATATTCCGAAGCTGAAAGGATAGATAAATTGATACAGCTACAATCCAAGCTGAATCTCAAACTCTGTCGTTCTGTGGAGTCAACTGCCTTGATTGTTAATGCCGTGAGGAAGTTGATGCGTCGTTAACCCTTGTGGCGGAGCAGTGGCTGAGCCTGGTTAATTACTGTACCCTTATGTAACCAGTATGTGACAGATTGGACCAATCAAATGGGTAATCTCTGGTAATCTATAGTATAATATGTACTATAATTACAGGGGGAACTTCCCCTCTCTTATTCTCATTTGATCTTCGATCTCCCCGACTCTTTCTTATCCTTAGTTGTGCTTCCAAACGGATTTCAAAAGCTATAGTGGTGGTTGTCTTTGTCTTGACTTCTCTCCTTTTGCGTGTGTATTATCAGTGTCCTTGTGTGGCTCTCCAGGTTTATTTTGGGGGCCATTTCGCATGTTGATTATTGGGTGTGATTCTTAGCACCCTGCACACGCATTGCGGTATCTTGGACATTGATCTCTTCTTCTCGATCTCTTTACAACAACCGCCACTATGTCCTGGAAGCTCACTAAAAGTATGTTTACTGGCAGTTGGTCTCCCTCTCCCCCCCCCCTCAATACCCCTCTCTGCTCTGCAGTGAACGCCCGTGGGCAGTCGCTAATGATACAACTCGTCTCAAGAGTTGAAGGAGACGCACCTGGCACCCTTGACCTCATCATTTGGCCGGTCGTCGTCTACTTCGACGATCAAGGGTGACGCAAATGGTGATGAGGCTCCGACGCCTGTGGCCTCCAACCCGCCCTCCGCCACCCCATCAACGAACGGGATCGGTATGTTATTCTTATATTACTCGAATCCCCCTCGGTAACTAATCATTTCATCGTTTTAATAGCGGCCTCCGAGTCCCTTGTCTCTCCTCCTGTGGCCCCTGTGAACCCAGGAATCCTTATTGTCACTCTCCACGAAGGGCGCAATTTTTCGCTGTCACCTCACTTCCAACAGATCTTCAATTCGCATTTCCAAAATAACTCTTACGCGCCCTCTTCTCTACGCCCAAGTACCTCTTCTTCCTCACATTCAACTCAAAACCAAGCGGGTTCCTTTGTGCCATCCGGCCGACCGCAGTCCACAAGCGGGGGAATCAATGCCGCTCCCACTATCCACGGTCGCTATTCCACCAAATACCTCCCGTATGCCCTCCTTGATTTCGAAAAGAACCAGGTATTTGTGGATGCTGTGTCGGGAACTCCAGAGAGCCCATTGTGGGCTGGGGACAACACAGCCTTCAAGTTCGATGTGTCCCGGAAAACCGAGTTGAGTGTACAGCTGTATCTGCGCAACCCTGCGGCCCGGCCTGGTGCCGGACGGAGTGAGGACATCTTCTTGGGCGCTTGCAAGGTCAACCCTCGCTTCGAAGAGAGCCAGCCGTATGTGGAGGATCCGAAACTCAGCAAGAAAGACAACCAGAAGGCCGCCGCAGCTCATGATGAGCAAGGGCGCCAACTGGGTCAGCAGGGTGCTGAGTGGCTGGATCTCCAATTTGGTGTTGGCTCGGTCAAGATTGGCATTTCGTTTGTGGAGAACAAGCAGCGGAGTCTTAAGTTAGAAGACTTTGATTTGCTCAAGGTCGTGGGCAAGGGTAGTTTCGGCAAGGTCATGCAGGTCATGTAGGTGGACTCAAGATCTATTTATTTGGGTTCAAAATGCTAACAGTCGGGGAATCACAGGAAGAAGGATACTGGTCGGATCTACGCCCTCAAGACAATTCGCAAGGCTCACATTATCTCGCGATCGGAAGTCACACACACACTTGCCGAGCGATCGGTTCTTGCACAGATCAATAACCCGTTTATTGTTCCCCTGAAGTTCTCGTTCCAGTCGCCGGAGAAGTTGTACTTCGTGTTAGCATTTGTGAACGGTGGAGAGTTGTTCCACCATCTGCAAAGGGAGCAACGATTTGATATTAACCGAGCCCGTTTCTATACTGCAGAGTTGCTGTGCGCTCTCGAGTGTCTGCACGGCTTCAAGGTTATTTACCGAGATCTCAAGCCCGAGAACATTCTTCTCGATTATACCGGGCATATCGCTCTTTGCGATTTCGGTCTCTGTAAGCTGGACATGAAAGACGAAGACCGAACCAATAGTAAGATCTCCTCATCCCTTATGATAAGCCCTACATAGCTAACCAAACTTAGCGTTCTGTGGAACTCCCGAATATCTCGCTCCAGAACTTCTGCTTGGCAACGGCTACACCAAGACTGTGGATTGGTGGACTCTCGGTGTCTTGCTCTACGAGATGTTGACAGGCCTGCCTCCATTCTACGATGAAAACACCAACGAAATGTATCGCAAGATCTTGCAAGAGCCTCTGACCTTCCCCAGCAGCGACATCGTCCCGCCTGCTGCGCGAGATCTTCTCAGTCGATTGTTGGACCGTGATCCCGTGCGCCGATTGGGTGCCAACGGTGCTGCGGAGATCAAGTCTCACCACTTCTTTGCCAACATTGACTGGCGCAAGCTTCTCCAGAGGAAGTACGAACCCAGCTTCCGACCAAATGTGGTATGTATTCCTTAGCCCCGATCATGTATTGAATCGACATGTGGCTAACTTGATGCAGGTGGATGCCCGCGATACTGAAAACTTCGATGTTGAATTCACCAGGGAAGCACCCCAGGACTCATATGTCGATGGCCCCGTCCTGTCGCAAACCATGCAGCAACAGTTCGCCGGATGGTCGTACAACCGACCCGTGGCTGGCCTCGGCGATGCAGGCGGCAGCGTTAAAGACCCGTCCTTCGGTAGCATTCCGGAGTAGAGTCTCTCGCCGCGTCAGATTAGATCGAGAATTCCCAGTGCCAGAAAGAGAGAATAGGAGGTTCATAGAGACCATTTCCCTTTTAACTGCGTATATGTCTTTCTTTAACATATCGACCAATCTTGTTCTTTTTTTTCCTTTTTCGCTCTGTTCGTCATATTGTTTGTTTTCCCATCACAAAGGAGTCTGTGGCATCTTGATATCGGAGTCGCTCCTGATCTTCGAGACGACATTGTTTCTTCTCGTTTCAGACGTCCGTTGAGCGCTTTGATTTGATTTTCTCGTCTTGTTCGGTCATCTCCCTTCCATCTCAAGTGTTCATTCTCTCCAGGCAGGTTCCTTTCTTTACCCTTGGTTTCGTTGCTTTTCTCAAGCGGTCATCGTCTGCCCTCTTGTTCTGTATTCTCGATAAAACTTTACAATGGACAATGCCAAAACAGTTTTGCATCATACATACGTCTTCAACTATTTTCGTCGCCGAGTAAGATGGATTACGCCTCTGAGTGGGTTTAGATGCGAAGTAGTAAATATTCTATATGGCCCAACTGCCGCAAACGATGGACTGCTCCAAGGGGTAGAAGACCCTTGATTCTTGGTAGCTTTCGGGTACTCGCAGACAATGGCCCACCTGGGCACCGTCTTGGATTTTTATTTAGACATGTGCCCGTTGTTTTATGTCTACTACTAAAGACCCCCAAGGCTAGATGAACAGAAGCCTTTACTAACGTTCACGGAGCATAGGCTCATACAAGCCAGACACATAGGCAAGCACCAGGGAAAATCCGGTATAGTATACATATACAATAATCTAATAAATCAACCAAGAAACCACTGGAAATAGAGGGAAACATATTGCTTGTATCTAGGCATGTAATTTGCTCCAGAGACACATGACAGCGCAATTACAAATAAGAAAAAAGAAAAAAGTCGGACACACGTTAAGACGCCGCTCGCAATCAAGAATGAGCTGACTGGTCAGCCAGAAAACAAACGATCAACCTAACTCTCCTGGAAAGTCACCAAACAGAACCCGGTGCTTTTTGTTGGTCTACTCGGCTTCGGCAGCATCGGCCTCGTCCACTGCAGCCTGCTCGGCTTTCTCTACCTCCTCATCCGACTCGGGTGCGCCGTTGATCGCAGTCACGGGCTCTTCATCTTCATCGCCGTTGACATCAATCAAGGACTCCGAGGAAGGGGGCTCGGGGAGGGCTCCCTCCTTCTCTAGACGAATGTACTCATCCCACTCGGGGAAGAGATCGTCATCGGTAGAGGCGACGTCAGGCGCACCGGGTGGGACACCAATGAGGCGGGCAACCTTGGACTTGCCAGATTGCTCTAGGGATTCCTTCCATTGGACAACGAGTTTAGGGGCGCTCGAGGGCTTGTAGGTCTGGGCAAGGAGGGCTGCCTCGGCGATGCGGTTGGTCTGAATGAGGAGAGCGATGCAGCCATCGATATCTCCCAAAGACCACAGAGTGGAGAAGGCGACATTGTGGAGGCCTGACTCCGAGGCCTGAGCAGCCAGGGCCTTGAGGCCTGAGCGGTCGTTGCTAGCGGTGTGCAACAGTAGCAGAGAACCCACATCCTTGGCGTTGGTGAAGCACTCCTGGGCCAGAGCAAGATTCCAGCCGGCCAGGGCAGCATCACCGACAATCTTCCACTTGTGCTCGACGTTGGCCTCGCGGGCAATCGTGAGTGCGGTCTCAAGATCGTTCAGCGCAAGGGCCAGCTCGAAGCGGTGCTCGGGGTCTGTGGCCACTTCCAGGGCCATTTCCTTATATCCTTGGCCTTCGAGGAAGCGGGCGACCTTGTTCATCTGGTCTTGGGGCACATCTTTGAGGATCTCAGATGCCATTTCCATATCACCGCGCAGCACCATTGTTTGATATTCAAGCATGCTGAGAGAAATGCCGAAGGAGACGGCGTTGACGTCCTTGTCGGCAAGGTAGATACGGCCATCGCGGGGCAGATAGCCAAGAACATACATCGGTTGGTCGAAGTGAGAGATTGTGTAGGTCTGGTCACCGACAAGGTAGTTCAAGCGGTTCGTAGAGTTGGTGTAGATGAAGCAATCTCCAACCCACTGTCCAGTCCGGACGGTCTCGTTGATTGTAGCAACCAACTCAACAGCCGCCTCAACTCCATCCTCGTCGGCTTCACCGGCGTTCAGGCCATTGATATACTCCTCGCGAGAGTAGCGGAGAACGTAGAAATCATCTTCACAGGCAAGGGTAACCAGTTCACCAGATTCGGACCAGTAGACCTGTACATGTCAATTAGCATGATTCCTACCACGGCAGAACAAACAACTTACCGATTTCGGGTCAGCTTCAATTCTCCGAACCAGGCTGCCAGTCTCCCAATCAAAGAAGCCAATGCCACCTTGACCCTTCACGCCCAGAAGAACACCATCAGACAGGCCCTCAGCTTGGAAACCAACATCAAGACCGGCGCTCTGCTCCTTGAAGTTCTTGAAAATCTTGACACTTGTTGATGACTCGCGGATAGCGTAGTCGTTACTGTTGTCTTTCGCAGCCCAGGCAAAATCGAGAGCCTGCCCAAAGGCCTTGTTTCTCCACGCCAATGCGGTGTAGATGATGTATTCTCCATCACCACAGACAGAAACAAAACGTCCATTGGGGGAGTGCGACAGAGTCTGCGGGTATACCTCGCACTGTCCCAAATCCTTTGTTGGTAGAGAAAGGGGCTCGCCGTCCTTGACAGTAGCATCGCCGCCCTTGATCACTGACGACACAACCTCACTGTGTCTCGCCCAGATAAGCTTACCGGATCCATCCATTGAGACGGCGGGCTCTTCTCGACCCATCTTCACTACGACAGCACCATCGTCGAAACCCATCGCAATTCCCTGTCTACCCCGCTGGTAGGAAACACACCATGCTCGTTCTAGACCATAGCTTAATGACTGCTCCAGGCGGTAGGTATTTGCGTGCCAAATCTTTATGGTTCCATCTTCAGAGCCTGAGATGATCACAGGGAGTTCGGGGTGGTAGCAAGCAAATGAGACATTGCTTGTGTGGCCCTCAAGGGTTGCAATGAGTGCCTTTGTGGTGTAGTCCCAAATCTTGACGGTCTTGTCGTCGGATGTGGTGAGGAGGTATGGCTTGTCAGCCTGTGGGTAGTAGTCGACATGGTTGACACCTTTCGTCTCGTGGGCTTCGAGTGTGAAGTTGGCATGGGGAGAGCCGAGGTTCCAGATCTTCACGGTCCGGTCCAAACATGCGGATGCGAAAGTGTTGGTATCCTTTGGGTTGATCGCCATGCCCATGACATAGTGGCTGTGGCCCTCGAACACTTGCACGCACTTCCAGCCCTTCTCCCAGTCCCAAAGCTTAATTGTCATGTCATCGGAGGCTGTGAGCACAAACGGCTGGGTGGGGTGCACGGCAATAGAACGGATGTAATCCGGGTGTGCTTCAAAGGAGGTAATTTTTTCGGATGTGTTGTAGTTGTAGACCCGGAGCTGGAAGTCATCTGAACCGCAGACAATCCAGTTCTTCCGCGCAATGAATCGACCGGCACGAACGGGGACATCGGTGAGTTCAAAGGTTTTGATGATGGACTAGAGGGCAGACGGTTTAGATGAGAGCATGGAGAGTGTGAATATGTGTCGGGTCTTACCTGCGATTCATAAGACCAGATGTAGACATGGCCTGTACAGGAAAGTAATTAGCGCATTGGACATCTCGCATACTGCCCCTCTCCCAACATACCGCTGTACAAGGTCGTCAAGATCTAAGAAATAAATTAGTTTGAGCAAAGCTACCGAGTGGATTGTAAACGCTTACCCAGGGCTCTGTAGGGTGGAAATCAATCCCCTTTACCCGCTCGGAGCGGGCAAATAGCTGCCTCTGTAACATTTATCGTCAGCAATCCCTCCAATTGTGGACGTCTACCTGCGAAATCATGTCGTCATATCTGCTGGAGAGTAGACCCGCAACTGTATTAAGCATTTCATCGTCTGCATTTGCGTACCTTAACATCGAGCCGCATGTTGTGTGGGGGATGAGAGTGTTTGTGTGATGCGGTGTTGGCCCTGTGACAGCGATAGGGGATTTCGCGAGCCGCTCAGACAGCCCGATGATAGGGAGGAGCGATCCTCGGAGCAAGTTGTTAATTGGAGGAATTAAGAGAGGATTCAGATGAAGGAGAGCTAGGGGGAGAGCGCTTCATTCAGGGACAGCAATGTATGTGTCCACAAGTGATTCCCGCCTTGGCTCACCGCCTTCCAATCGGTCTATCCGCTATACAAATGTCCTACAAATTCATTTGCATTGACGAAAGCTATACTGATTTGCAGTGTAAAATTAATGAAATATAAGCCTAGGCTCTAAGTAGGAGTTCGGGCAAGAGAGCACTAGCTCAAATACTTTCAATAGCTTCCATGTACATAATCATCGCCCCGATGTATAAACTTGGGACTAGAAGACCAATGACCTCTATACTCTACTAGGGACATGCCTCAATTGCACCACCCATTTCCCAAGGGAAATTGGTGATATCGTTTCATGGATCGAATACACAAATCATACCCTAGTAGCTCTACGACTTACTCTGAACTTCAGATGATTGAACTCTCAAAACATGTATTCAAACAAAGAGACCTCTAGTAGTAGTTACAGAGATTAAAATTCACAGCCATTCCTGAATTGCTGTTTAGTTGCCACGCTCGAAGTAGCTCCATTGGCCGGGTCGGGGCTTCTCCTCAAGTTCCTCCCACCTGTAAAAGTGTCAGCAGTAAGTCTAGACCCCAAACTTCGAATTTTCACTTACACCTTGGCTTTGGCCAATTCATCCACAAGCTTGAGCTCTGTCTCTGCAACCTGGATGATCTCCTCAATAAGGCCGGCGCCGATTTGCTGTTCAACGTGAGAGATCCTGCGCAAGAGGTTAGCGTTTTATTGCCTAAATGTTTGAGGCCAATTCGGAATACACGTACTGGTCGGCATCAAGGGCAGGCTCGCTCTCCCATTTCATATCTTGGTGATAGAAGTCATGCTCGGCCTTGTTGGTGGTCTCGCTCGCCTCATGCATGATTTTAGCCCATTCCGCTTCTTGTTGCGGGGTACGGGCGGGACCCTCAGTTGTGGCCGAGAGGCTTTCGCCATCCCATTCTTCACCACGAGCATTGTCGGTTCCATCCTTCTGTTGGGCAGCGGCATGGGTGTAGGTGCCGTCGGCGCGCTGGACCTTAGCGAACCGCTCGGGTTCGGTTCCCACGGCCTTCCGCACACGCTCCAACCAGGCATCGAATCCGGCGGGCTTTTGTGATTCAATGACTTGGAGGCGGTGGCGGGTCAAAGCTTCAACGGATTGGCGGTAGGCGGAGGATTCGGGGAACGCCTGCAACTTCTGCAGAGTAGTCGAGTAAAGGTAGATTAAAGTAGGGCGAGGGCTGGGGTGGGTGAAAAGGCCCGTCAATCCGGTAGGAGCAAAAGGCTCCAAATACCGGGGCTTGACATTGGCCAGTAGCCGAAGTGTAGAGCGCATTGTGAATGGATTCGGTGATATTGAAGTCGCTCTGTTCCAGGGAGATGAAGTGTTGAAGTCGGCCCGGAGCGGATTAACCTTATCTTCCACACCCAAACGGCAAGGGGAAAGCCAACACTCACCTTTTCCGATACCATCAAAGCCTCACATCTGGTTCTTTGTTTGGGCTGTGTGCAGTTCTATTTTGCTCTCAGCTACGGGGCGCTATAGTCGCTAAGTGCTGTTTCTTTCTGCGACGTGATCAGTGCCCATCCGAGTCGCCAGTCTTCTCCCCCGTCCAATGTGCCACCTGTAACATTTCGCGATTATCCTCCCTACTTCGACCAGAGTCCTTCGTTTTGCTCAACTGTGAATCTTGAAACTACTTATACTCTCCTTTAAACTGCTACCACGTTATTCGCCTTTTACTTCCACCAAAATGAGACCGTCTTGGCTGGGGTGGTCCCTCCTCTCACTGTTGGTAGCGCCTGCTTTGGGCACGCCTTCAGATGCCTCCTCCGACCAAGAATCTGGAGATACACTTGTCAAGAGGGGGTCTCGTGGAGTGGATTCCGACACACCCACATTATTCAATGGTATTGAAGTGCCCCCGTTGACGCAACTGACCCCGGAGAATTTCGAGGAAGTGACCAAAGATGGTTACTGGTGAAGACCCCTTCTGCAGCAATCAATAAACCGCTCAAGACTCTAACTATTATAGGATGATCAAACACTATTCCCCCTCTTGCCCGCATTGCCGGACGGCCGCTCCAATGTACCAGACCCTGTATGAGTACTACTACGTGAGTATATATTCCCATTGTTCTGAACCTTTGAGGCTTGAATCTGATTAGTGATAGACCTCAAATCCCTTATTCCTCTCCGGATTCAAGCCCGATGCACTCGCCTCTCTGGACTCATTCACCGGCTACTACAATCTCCATTTCGGGTCCATAAACTGCCTGGCCTTTGGCGATTTCTGCAAGAAGATGAACGTCGACTTTTTCCCCGCGTGGGCGTTCTATGATATGGGCGTTCAGAACGGACCCCCTGTTGGTGCCAAGACGATGTCAGAGATTGGCGCTATGATTGAAGCCAAGCTCGAGACGATCAAGCCTGGGTCCCGCCCTTCGCAAGGCGTCCAAATCCCAAAAGCCAACGCTAAGAGCATGGAAATGACCGCCAAACCTGAAGTGGTAAAGCCTGGCGCGAAAACAGCTGTCGAGAAGCAGAGCATCGAGACAGCAGAATTGGAAGGCGTCAGCGCTGAGTCTGTCAAGGCCAAGCTCCAAGGACGGCCTGCTAACCCCCAGGGCGTTTCTATCCCACTCACTGCGGAGAGTTTCCAAAGTCTGGTCACGACTACTCATGATCCCTGGATCATCAAGTTTTACGTTCCTTGGTGCCATCATTGCCAGGCTCTGGCCCCGAACTGGAACTCGATGGCCAAGGAGATGAAGGATAATCTCAATGTTGGCGAAGTGAACTGCGAACTTGAGAAGCGACTGTGCGAAGATGCTCGCGTGAATGCGTACCCGACGATCTACTTCTTCCGTGGCGGCGAGAGAGTTGAATATACCGGTCTTCGTGGCTTGGGAGATCTGATCGCGTACACCAACAAAGCCGTCGGTGTGGGCTCGAGCATTCAGGATGTTGACGCGACTACTTTTAAGCAGTTGGAAGAAACCGAAGAGGTTTTGTTCCTGTATCTCTACGACCACGCGACCACTTCTGAGGATTTTGAGGCCATGAACCGCCTCACCCTCAGTCTGGTGGGACACGCTCGCATTGTCAAGTCTGACAGTGCTGCTCTTTCCGAGCGATTCAAGATTTCTACCTGGCCTCGTCTTCTGGTCGTCCGTGACGGACGTCCCAACTACTACAATGCCCTTGCTCCTAAGGACATGAGAGATTTCCGTCAAATCCTGTCGTGGATGCAGACTGTATGGCTTCCCATCGTACCTGAGCTCACCGCATCCAATGCCCAAGAAATCATGGACGGAAAGTTCGTGGTTTTGGGACTCCTCAGCCGCCGCCGTAGCGACGAGTTCAAGCAGTCCAAGCGCGAGCTGAAGGAAGCCGCCCTTGAATGGATGGACAAGCAAGTTCAACTGTTCCGTCTTGAGCGGGCTGAACTTCGTGATTCCAAGCAACTGCGTATCGAAGAAGCCGATGACCGCAATGATCAACGTGCACTGCGGGCTGCGAAGAACATGCGTATTACCATCCGCGAAGACGACAAGAAACAAGTCGCATTCGCTTGGGTCGATGGCGACTTTTGGGAGCGCTGGCTGCGCACAACCTACGGCATCGATGTGGAAACCAGTGACCGCGTTATTATCAATGATCAAGATGTAAGTCGCCCCTCCTGCTTTGTCCGAGCACTATAACTGACTTCCTATAGAACCGCCGCTACTGGGATACTGCTTCAAGTGGAGCTCCTATTATGGCCTCGCGGACCTCCATTCTCGAGACCATTCCTCTCGTCGTCGCTTCTCCTTCGAAGTTGTCACCCAAATCTACCATCGGCACCTTCGAGACTATCTTATTCTTCGCGCGATCCCTCCTCGGCAGCCATCCCATCCTCTTCTTCATCATCTTGGGTGCCGTGGTTGCTGTGGCCACCATTTTCGGACGTGGACGCCTTAGACGTAGTGCTGCGCGCGGCGGTATTATTGGCAACACCAACAACAATAACGGTGGCTTCTTCCACCTGGACGGCAAGGAGGGTTTCCTGAATGGAGGCTCGACCGATAAAGTCGACTAATGAGACAAATGTACAGTTAGGGTGTTTGGCTACGTGGTTCTTATAATCTTTTGTTTCCACTGTATTTGATTGATGCTGGTTTCCTTTCGTGCGTCTGTTCGATCAATGCTGTCTCAGTTGAATTTCTTGCATGTCAGACCAAGGGGTTTTTTGAAGCACATATCTTCTTATTCCATTTCTTTCAGCCTTCACACGAACTTTTGGAGTCTAGGCGTATCAACTTCTCGAGAGCCGCAATGCTTCCTAGTATTACGTCAATAAACGCTTTAATATCTTTTAGTTTCTTAGTATGTATACGGTTATCTCAAGTCCCTCTTCTTTTGCCATCTATAGGCTTTTCAGCCAGAGAGCATAGAACAGAGGATGTAAGACAAAACGGGACTGGATTGTAAGCTGGACTTTGTCAAATAAAACTATGTAATTCATCATTGGCTTGATCGATATAAACTCATACTTCCAAGATTGAATGAAAGCAATTACGCCTCCTCTGATTGGCCACTGGCTTTGGAGTCACGTGCCAACTCGGGCACTCCCGGTTTTCGTCGACCACAAAGTGCCAGCTCCTGTCTCCTAGCAATTGTCCCACCAAATCACTCCGGTGTCATTCAAGATGGTAAGTGCTTTCATGTCCAAAAGATGAGAAAACTCCGTGTTATATTCCGAAGTTCCTTGCCTACTCGGTCGCGCGCTCCGGGTAAAAGACAATCGGGCTATGAGTATCACAACCGGCTTCCGAGCTCCGGGATGAGACGAGATAGATGATGGCACATCAATTGCTAACATATACACTATAGTTTGCCCCTACTGCTCGCCGCGCCGCGGCCCAGGCCTCCGCCTATGCGCCCAAGTGAGACTCCCCCATTTCATTTTCCCTCGAACCCCGGACAGTACACGTTGGTCGGTAATCAGCATGTTAGATGGAGTGAATGAAGCATGGATTTGCACTTGCCAAGGCAGCTTTCCTATTTAATTGGATGCCCATTTTTCCTCTCTGGCAGCGAAGCTTGACGGGTGTCCAACATCTGTGGGAAGCGGGAACTACAAGACCGTGCTTTGGCAAAAGAGCAGGATACCGAAGAAAGCAGATAAAACAAGCAACGAGAACACCAAGCTAACGCCTCACTAATCTGCAGGTACTACATCCCCCGCACTGCCGCCGGTATGACCCTCGGCACAGCCGTCCAGCTGTGAGTATATCCCGCATTCGACTCTCCCAGGTTGGACAAGTCGCAGGGGCTAATGACGTTCTAAACAGTGGTTCCGTCGCTGCTGGCTTCGGTGTCGCCCTTGGTTCCGGTGCCCTCTTCATCTTCGGCGAGGTTCCCCGTGTGCGGAACGACATCCTCCGCAAGCTTCCTTTCTTCGATACCTACTACGACCGTACCATCGCCCCTGAGGACAACGTGAGTCAATTACAGTTGATTTGGAGCTTTGGATCCGACGCTGACTTTCATCTAGCCCTTCTAAATTATTCGCCAAGGTATATACCTGTCTCCCCTTTGATCGATATGAATCGGGGGTTTCGGGAGGCAGGCTGGGGCTGTACTGTGTAGAATAGCGATGAAAGTCTTTTCTGTTTTTAATACCACATAGAAACAGTTGTTTCCGAGTAAATATGTATTTCACGGTCCGTATGTGTGGTTGTATACTATCGATGTGCGACATTCCTTTAAATCATAGGGCCCTTGGGAACTCTAGGACTCTTATATACCTCGGAGATCCAAATGTTTTATGGGATGGTTTCCGAGCTAGTCAAGGGTGTATCACTGTAGATAGCGCTGTCATCGTGGACCTGTGGACTAGACCTCGGGATATTAGGATATTAATGACATATCTACAACAAACAAGGGTTCTCCAGCATTCAATTCACAGCCTCTTCCCCCAACAAGGCAAGTCTATCCTAAGATAACAAGCCTCAAAGCATGATAGCAGCCCTGGGGGTCTCAGAAAGCCTAATACATTATGTACATCCATGGATGTACCTAATCAGCACGACAGACACCCGTGGACGCCCGGCGAGTCAACCTTGGAAGCCCTTATCTCTGTTATCACGGTGATAGCCACATCTGCTGCAAGTACCGCGCTAACGTTCTCTCACGGCAGAGGTCCCGTGAAGTATAACGCCTACAGCTTCCTTGCTGGGACTAGACCCTCTCTCTACCAAGTTCATAGCACCGATCGTCGAAGCCCTGTGCCTCGAATGAGCGGTGGTATCTCCCATCTCTACAAATCACAAGCTTGCGGAGTAAGGCCACTCGCATGCTCGAATAAGATATCTGTTTATTCTGCAGTTCAATATATCTTTTTAATTTATCAACATCCATGTCATTTTCTCTTATCGCGCATCTTTGTAAGGAGCACATTGCGGAGAGAACCTGGCTTCCATGAGGCGTTTCCCCCTCACTTGTCCACCGGTCTTCTTGCACAATGATGTCGAGTCATCCGATATCTATTATTCCAAGTTCGGTCTGGCTCTATTCCGGCTAGTTTAGACATGTCTATTTGGTTCTTGCGATCGCCAATGTGCGGGGCGAAAGACAAAATCCCCCGTGCCATGCATAGATAACATGGCTACCCCCTGTCGTCTTGCTTTATAAACCATAATCCTGAGCTTTTTTGTTACACTCTGGTTTCCCTTGACTGTTGCTTGAAGACTAAGACATTCTTGTTCACCCCTTGCATGGTTATCATTTTATTTCGTTGATATATATATCGCATACATTAAGAGCGGCACAGTTGTTTATCTTGGCCATGGGCGCAAACATGGAGACCAAGACTGCCATTTCGGATATCTCCAAAGTACATCACGAGGCTAACAATGCCCAAGTCACTTCCGTGCTCCCGGATGGCGATGTGCCATATACAGATCATGATATGGATGCCGATGAGAGGGTGATCACGGCGCTGGGTTACAAGCAAGAGTTCAAGCGCGAGTTCTCGCTATGGACGACTTTCTGCGTCAGCTTTGCCGTTCTCGGGTTGCTACCGTCGTTTGCGAGTACCCTGTGGTATGGTAAGTACTCGCAGATCCGTGCTTGTAAGATTGGGTATAGGGTATAGCTGACATTGATTGGATTGAAGGAATGGGGTATGCCGGAACAGCAGGTATGGTCTGGGGCTGGATCATTGCGATGATATTTATTCAGTGCATTGCAATGTCGATGGCAGAGCTATGCTCGGCAATGCCCACTAGGTGTGACACACTGCCCGATATCACATCCAAGCGGAGTTATTGTTCAAAGAAGGCTAATGTGTTATACAGCGGCGGACTATACTACGCCGCAGCAGTCCTCGCACCTCCAGGCTACGGACCCTTCGCCGCCTGGATCACCGGCTGGTCCAACTGGATCGGACAGATAACCGCAGCGCCATCAGTCAACTACTCGCTCAGCGCAATGATCCTCGCAGCAGTCTCAGTCTACAACCCCGACTACACCCCTACAACATGGCAGACCTTCCTGTTGACAACCCTCATAATGATCCTGCACGCTGGAATCAGCAGCATGTCCACGAAGCGCGTAGCGCAGTTCAACTCATGGGGCTCAACATTCAACTTTATCGCATTGATCGCAGTCCTCATCATGATCCCCGCCAACACAAAAAACAGCCCGAAATTCACCCCCTCCAAACAAGTCTGGGGCGACATAACAAACCTAACCGACTTCCCAGACGGCGTCGCCGTCCTCATGACCTTCGTCGGCGTGATCTGGACGATGTCCGGCTACGACTCGCCGTTCCATTTGAGTGAGGAGTGCTCGAACGCGAGCATTGCCTCGCCACGCGCAATCGTGCTCACCTCAGGCGTGGGTGGGCTGATGGGCTGGTTCCTACAGCTGGTCGTTGCATATACGGTGCTGGATATCGAGGCCGTTCTCGATTCCGATCTGGGACAGCCCTGGGCGTCGTATTTGCTGCAGGTCATGCCGCAGAAGACGGCTATGGCTATCTTGGCCTTGACGATTATCTGTGGGTTCTCCATGGGTCAGGGGTGTATGGTTGCCGCGTCGCGGGTTACGTATGCGTATGCTCGTGACGACTGCTTTCCGTTCTCGAATTACTGGAAGCAGGTTCATCCGTATACGCAGACGCCGGTTAATGCGGTTGTGCTGAATGCAGTCCTCGGCATCTTGATGTGTCTTCTTATTCTGGCTGGGGGCGTGGCGATTGGCGCTTTGTTCTCTATTGGTGCTATTGCGCAGTTCTTTGCTTTTGCTATTCCTATCACTATTCGGGTGTTCTTTGTCGGTAATCGGTTCCGCAAAGGCCCCTGGCATCTAGGTCCTTTTGGCCCGTATATTGGTGGAGTTGGAGTCGTGTTTGTGTTGTTGATGATCCCGATCTTGTGTTTGCCTAGTGTTACTGGTAAAAACTTGACGCCTGATCAGATGAATTGGACTTGCCTTGTTTGGGGTGCGCCGATGTTGGCGGTTACGATTTGGTGGGTTGTTGATGCCCATCGCTGGTTCAAAGGTCCTGTGGTCAATGTCGAGCATGCTATTCATGCGATTGAGCAGGAGCCGGTCGTTAGTGAGGGCATCGAGCCTGAGCTCCGAGAGACCGAGGCAACTGTTTTGTCCAAGATGGATGATCCAGATAATCCCATCTAGGTCTCCGTGTTTGTGGAGAAGTCATTGTATCCGTTTGGGATTTAAGATTTGATATTTATGTTGATACTACACAATAATAGTCGGCCTCTTATGCGGCCTCTGTCCTTGACGACAGAACACTTTATTGATCTGATCTACTTGGACCAAGATGGTATTAGGGATGTTATATGTAAGAACCCTCCGATATGCTTTTTGGGTGTTCTTTTGTGATGTCTTTTGTGATGTCTTCTTAGTTGTATACGAAGGCGGTAAAAAGCATACTTTGTGCAGACGAGTTTTCTATGTATAACCAGGGATGACTTAATATTATACAACAGGTTATAGGCATCTCTTGGAGGCCTGTCGCACGTTATTACATTTCCAATGTACTTTTGTGGTGCGTCTTTGTTTGACCTTCAATCTTCCAGTAGAAGCACCTTGGAACTCTCGATTCAAAGCATGTAAAATGAAAATATCTCCATCTTGAGACTCCTGTGTAAATACTAGTGATGGCCGCAGATGAACCCACCGACAAGAATGTAAGCATTAAGCATTTGCCACCTGCATGTCAGAAAGCACAACATAGATCTGGCTCCATAAATATGGATCGATCTGACAGCGTCATATGGAGCCTGACCCAGTGCCCCTCCTGGCCTGATTTAGGCTATGTGATATGACGGAGAAAATGGAGCAAATCCACTGCTCCACCAGGTCCATATGGCTCAGATAAGGTTGACTGTATGACATCCGTATGACATTCTACTGGAATGGAAACGATTTCGGATTTTATATTATCTATGTATCCTATCAGAGGGAGGGGATGAAGAATAATTGGTACTCTTCCATATATACAAATATTAGGGTTAGTGAAGGATGGGTATAGACCTCGAGAGCACGTCATATTCCACAATTAGATAATCTTATGAGAAAACGCAAGAGCTTATTATGCAAAGAATATATACACTGCAGCATAACCATGTAAATTGCTGATCGTCTCTTGATCTTACTTTGTACACAGTACCTCCACGCGAAGAGAGAATCTACACCACTTGCCCTTCTAAGAAAGTATCAAACAAACCAATCAATACCCAGAAGCCAAGAACAAGCCCAAACACGAAGCCAGCTATTTAAAACCCAACTTAATTCCAAAGTACGGAAACCGAGCAACCACCTCCCCCCGACGGCTAAGTACTTTGTACAACGTGCCTTGCGCTGGGATCCCCGGGGAGAATCCTGTAAGCTCCACCACCCACCCCTGAGACCCCACCGGCGGTGGTGGACACTGAACATGGATGCAACGGAGAAAAACAAAAATAAAGGGTTGGAACAGAGATATGCTTAATCTGACTCCAGATGAGGGGGGGCAATCCACACCCCCAACACGAGGAGCCGTCTGCTAACAATAGGGGGTCCCACTTGTATACTACCATTTCGAACATTTCCAGGAGATAGGTTTCCATACATAAAACTTTACATAGAATTTCTATGGTGCCCAACAGTAAGCAGTATTTATCATATTTAACCTCGGGAGCACGAAGTCATGGTACACCATTTTCTCGAAAGTCAAAATCCTCGGGAAATCTAATGAAAAAAAAAGCCTAAACCGCCTCCAACCACAAGAACCGGGACAAGAATGCGAAAGTTAACAAAAAAACGTGTTAGGATGGCCCTTGTTGTACGTACAACATAGTACAGCCCCTCTTGTCCACCACGCCCGCTCCCGTCCGGCCTGATTGCACGCAGTCCCGATCGTCACTGTCAGGGGCTGAGAGATAGAAAATAGCCCAGGAACAGTCGGGGATCGGCGACTCTACGTCATGACGAAATCCAAATGAGTTTTGAAGGATTCGAATCCCATGGATTTCCTTGAGGTTCCTGGATTTGAGTGGACCGTTTGAAGTTTCCAAGGTTCTCTTTTTGGTTCTTTGACAGATCTAGCGGTCTGAACCATGGATGAAAAGAAAAAAAAAATTCAGAGGTCATGAGAGAGTTGGCAAGTGGCTGTTTTTGGGTCGGGGGTGAGCCGAGTCTACTGGCGTATTGTACGTTACAACTTCCGAATCGGGACCGTTTTGCCTTTTTTCCCATTGCTTACTGATCTTTTTTCGGTTTGTATTATTTGGGATTTTACTATCAGGGCTTTGTATTATTTTGGGGGGTTTTTTAATCAATGCTTCGGTCCGATGGGCTGCATTTTAGTTGCTTTAATCTATGCAATTTCTAATAAAAATGGTTTGTTCAATCATTCCTCAAGGTTACACTGCAAACAGATGGTTCGGCCCGACCACGGTCTGTGGATTGAAGAATCCAAGGCTCACAAGAAATGAACTTGCCTTACTTTTCTTATTTGAGAATATGGTAGCGAGGTCTACATATGAGTATCAGATATTAATAGGAGGTGAATCACGTATGTGTCAGCCATCCTAATATTGAATTATATCCGAAACCCATGACGCGGCCAGAGGAATTCACTGGTACACGTTGATTCCAAGGCCAGGGTTAGGTAATTACAATATGGAACATCGAAGAATAGAATAGCAACAGAACATTGAATATGTTCGGTTCCTGAAGTATCAAAGTGAGCCATCACCCCATAACCCCGATGTTGTACAGAAATGGATTCAGATCCACAGAACACATGGGAAAATGGAGAAAGATGGAGAATTGGGAATGGGACTGTCACCACTATTTTGACATCGACAGCTTTACGAAAAAGTCAATTTCAAAGTCAACATCAACCTTCAAAAGTCAACATCAAACCTTCAAACCTTCAAACCTTTCAATAATGTTGTATACAAATACCAAATCTCAATACGCCCGCCTATAACCGATTAAAAATAAAATAAAATAATGCAAGTCAGATCCCCCCCCCGAGGACCTTGTGCAAAAAAGACCGCTACTCCCATCCGGGTTTCGACTACAGACATCGGCAGCCTATGAGGTCGGTGGCGGCACGATTCTCTCGTCCACTGAAGCGGGTGGCGGTCCCTGATTGGCTGCATGGATTCCTGAAACTCGGCGATCCGGACTTGGCTTCAGTGGTGTTTCCGGCCTATGCCGAGAACAAGGCTGGCCTTTTTTGTGTATCAGATGTTGGAAAGCGCTATCGGATGTGCGTTGTATAGATCGTGTTGAACACGTCGACGTCTTCGTTCTTAGTTGCTTTTTTCCCCCTATATTTTCTGTTCAATAATGGCTCTCGTGTTTTTACATACGCGACGAACTTATATCTCAGCACGTGACATACTATTCGGCAGCGATGGGGACTGGGGCGGGATCTACATCTTGCGCGCGCTATTCTCTCCTATCCCGGTTGATACTGATGCCAACAATACCTTAAGCATCCGGGCAATTTAGCCCTACTGGCGGCCCCATTTCTGTCGGTAGTGGGTTTGTTACATATTTGACTCGAATACGGCAAGCTCTTCATGGAGAACAAAACGAAACCAAGTGACGATCTTAGGCTTGTTTGTACAGACTAGTCTAACACAAGAACAGTCCGTACAACATAAGTATCAGTAACAAAAATAGGAAAGTATTAGTAAAAAAAATATGAATTGACAGCCCCTGATCAGATTTCAAAATTTAAAGACTCGGGAAAACCCTCACCGTACTTTGCGAACCGTTTCGGGGACTCTAGAGTGGAGTCCGTTAACTCCCGGCATTGATGCCGAGTGTGTATTTTGCAAAAGCAGAGAACTCCACCTGCCACTTCAATACACCGCGTTTAATAGTTGTCAAGCCACCAAGAACTAATTTCCCCCCACGGGATTGAAGGAATACAACATACAATCCTTTTAGGCAGCACGAAGAGACATAGTACAACATATGCAGCTAATTAGACATACGCTGTTGGTAAACTGTACACGATATTCCGAGGTTTCAGCGGTGGCTTACCTGTAGTATACACGTACACATACCGAGGTGAAACAAAGTGGAAGGTCAAGCGAACTTCCTTTTACGTCGTAGCTTGGATTCATTCTCGCCCCTTGGCGGAATCTGGGTTCGGATAATAAAATAAGTATAATATCATTTACTATAGCGTGCACGAAGTTCAGATCAGGTGGTCAGTTCAATATTTCTGCAGAACCCTGGTCGAAGCCTTCCAGGTCCACAATCGAAGCGGGAGAAGCTCTTGCGAAGGGGTGGAGAAGGAGGGGCAGGGATGTTGGGTCCGGAATACAGATCATCTCCGGCAAATATACGGAGTACCATGTATGATTTACAATAGTATGTTTGTTGTAGTTTACAGTTTTGGTAGAGTTTATCTAAAGATTAATCTTGTTATATTGATAATAAGCATATCCCGAGGTCCAATTTCAATGTGATGAACCACGTACTCCGTACGGTAGTCACACCAGACTCGAATGGCGCGCAGGATCTGAAACTTTAGGTCATGTTACTCGGGCGAGATCTCGGCTTAATAATAGAATAAGAAATACATCTGCATAGCAAAAGTACGCGAACTGCAGCCTACCTATGTCAGACCACGGAAATAGTCACGTCCAATAAGGGGAACCCCCTGAATGCCAATTTTGTCTAGAGCATTCCTGTGTGTGGCTGATCCTAGGAGAAACACTCTACGGAGTTACTCCTCTATTTCCCTAAATTGAGCACCTAGGCAGCAATAGTATTAGTGTCCCAGTGAGACAATTAGACTTATACCATTGATAGCCCAATACGCTTGGTTTTCTTTTTATGGTATAGTTCACGTCATGTTTCACTTCGAGTCAACCCATGAAGCTAAGTGCGGAAACCACTGCGGAACAGCAGGCGGCTACGGCGCATCCACTAAAGTACTCCGTATGTAGGGCAACACACACTGCATGGCCGTTACAGAAGCCTCCGGTCGGACAACCCCAGTCTTCCCCAAAAGGAGACCTGAGAACGCATGCCCCCTCTTTGGAGACGTGCCATGTACATCCGGGCTGCATGCAGGAGCCAAATCCAGCCTGCAGGGTGAGGGAGTTAAGGATGTATGATGAGGTTTTGTATCGAGCTTAATGGAGCTCTTACCTCGGGCCTCCCCGGATGACGTGCTTGAAAAGATCAGTGCAGAAGGGAGTCCTACGTGGGCTGAAATCTTATCCATCTACATACAATATAATATCCTATAGTAATTCAAAGATAGTTATAGAGTAGTCCGGAGAGGAATGAGTTGAATCCATATTAGATGTCACTTGCGGGGCTGTCAGCCACTGCGGAGCCCAAAACAAAGAAGAGCCAGGGTCACCCATAATCCACACTCGCGGAGATGGCTCCATCTCCAATTATAAGATCTACAGAGTACTCCAACATCAGATAAACAACAGCATAGTTGGTAGTCTCAGTGGTGACCTGAGCCCAATGGCAGTCTGATAATCGCCGCGATCGGAGGCATCCACGAATTGGGCCCTGATTACAGGATGTGGCAGTGAACCTTATGATTTTGTTCTACGAGTTCATGATATATCGATATCTCTCCGGGGAATAATCAGATTGCATATGATATAAATTGTGTATGGAGGACATCATTATATTGTTCGACTATGGTTTCGGGGCTTTATTAACCTCCGTCCACGGATGCTCAGGTGGGATATACCTTGCAAGTGCGTCATCATGTCCGGACGCGTAGGGAGATCAGAAAATTGAGACTCGACGATGTGTCTACTCCGTACGTCTATCTGAAAACTTATGTGCACCTTTTTTTTTTTTTTTCGCTATTCTTTCTATTCTTTCTATTCTTTGTAAATCCAAATCCAAATCCAAATCTCATTAATCTCTAAGAAATCTATAAATCTAATAAATATCCCAATAAATCCCAACAATCCTAAATACTACACTACAGAGTACCGCTATCGGCCATAGTTCGGAAGACGGCCGTGTAAAATTTGTAACTTTTAATTGAAAATACTGTAATTACGTGTCTTTTTTTTTCTCTTTTTTTTTTTTCTTCTCTCGCCTCTTGCCTCCCCGAGGAACGATCGTCTTTTTTCGTCTTTTCTCGTCTTTTCTGTCTTTTTTTTTTATTTCGACCCGGTCTTCCTTAGAATTTTCCTTTTCGTCTTTACCAAAAAAAACTTATCCCCCATTTTCTTCTTCTCCCCAATTTCCCCCAATTCCCAATCCTCATCAATTCACTGCACTTCAATTTCTTTATTTCACTGTTTGAGATATTTCCATTCTATTGGCTATTTCAGAGTCAATTCCTCGATCTCAAGGATTATCTTGACGCGAAGCAGATCTCGGACTAGTTGTTTTTTGCTGCGAGAGACCCACTTGTACGCCCGCTTCTTCGGTGGATACAGAACCATCGACAGTGACAACGTGCGGATAAATCACCATCCTATTTTTTCTTCTGGTGGGTGACCGTGGGGAATCTTCTTCAATTAAGCATCTCTTTCTTTCTCTCTCTCTCGTTCGTGTGGAGTCAACTCGTGTGAACCCGTGAATCCCGTGAGACCCTGTGACCGTTTGCCTCTCTTTTTCTGTTCGCAGGAAAATTTTCAAACAAGGAGCTTCCTTTGGTTGAAAGAAAAAAAAATTATCCAGAGTGCAGGTTTGATGATTGAGTTACCGTGAACAACTATCTTTCTTTCCTACACGATCTCTCCTCTGTCCACAATGGATCCCAGATCTCACCCTTCCCGTCCTCCATCCACCAGTCTGCCTCCAGGCTCCACGCCCATGTCTTCGAATCCCATCTCGAGCATGCACATGCCACAATACTCGATGCAGCCTCAGTATCCGGTTTCGCAGCCGCATACTCTGCCTCCATTGCAGCCTCATCACCCTCAGTCGCCCGCGCCTCACCACTACATGGGCCAGCCGTACCGTCCGGACTTGTCGCGGTACCCTCCGTCAACTCACGATGTCTACGGGGCTTCCCAGGCCCCTATGATGCCGCACACGACTGTCGGTAGCCTTCCGCCATCGTCTCTGTTGAACCTTCCTAACCCTCAAACACAGGCGCATCAGCAGTACCCCCCACCTCCGAGCGTCCTTCCGCCCGCATCCTCCGCTCAGAGCTACCCTCAGCCGATTGCTCCGGCACCCCCACGCGACCGTCGCCCGGATTTCAATGGTCTTCCCTCCGGTGCCTTTAGTTACTCCGATGGCAAGGGTTGGGGTATGACTCCTGATGTGAATGGCGCCAACGGCTCCCCCTACGCCAAGGAACCGCCACGGACGCAGGTCGTGGGCTCTCAGGGCCGCCGTGGCATTTTGCCGAGTGTCCCGGGCCGCGCGACTCCGGTTTCTAACGGTGTCAACGGTACAGCTAAGAGCACAACTATTCCTGCTAAGGACGCGGATGGCAAATTCCCCTGCCCGCACTGTAACAAGACTTACCTCCACGCCAAGCACCTCAAGCGCCATCTGTTGAGACGTGAGTTTTGGAAGCCAGAATCGAAGGAAAAAATTAAATTTCCCCAAGTTGATTGAGATTTGCTAACCGACGTATTTTTTTTTCTCTGATTGATATAGACACCGGTGACCGCCCCTACATGTGTGTTCTATGCAAGGACACTTTCTCCCGCAGTGATATCTTGAAGCGTCACTTCCAAAAGTGCTCAATCCGACGGGGTAACCCGACCGGTGCGACCCACTTGTCCCACCCCCAGGCCCATCTGAAGCGGTCTCAGCAGCAAGCAGCTGCGGCTGCCGCGGCCAATCCCCCCAAGCCGCTCCAGGATGAAGTCAGTAATCCCGTCCCCCACTCCAATGGCGTTATGGGTACGCAATTCGATGGGGCCGTGAATGGCAATGGAATGACCCAAGGCCGTCCTGGCTACACGGAGCAGCAGCCGCTAGGCTTCACGATGCAGTCTGTCAACGGCATGAACCGTGGTCCCGGTGACGACGCGTTCTCCGCTGGCCAGGCGCACGCGAGAGCCTCGTGGATGGCTGGACCCAAGCAGAATCCGTATCTCATGCAGCCTGGTGTTGATGCCCATGGCCAGCAGCTGACGGTTGATCGTCCCCTTGAACAGGTAAAGCCCCCGGTCTATCATGACCACAAGCCGGTCATGCCCGGTCCCCATTCACATCACCCGGGTGTTGACTGGAATTCGATGTTTCAGCACGGTTCTTCCGACGGTTACATTAACCCCGTTTTCCCCCACTCCATGGCCGCGGGCCAGGAGCCGATCCACGCTCCCGTCGACCACGACCGCAAGTTCTACCCCGCCTCGACCGGTCCTGAGAGCGGTATGAACGGACTGTACCTTGCTTCGACTACGCTGAGCGGAGACGGTTAGTTCTTATCCCCTTTCTACCCTGTTAATTATGAGATGGAATTGTTCTGACAATAATATGCAGGTACCGTGCAGCCCGCGAGACAGTAGACGGTGAATTCGATCGGAAAGCAAGATGATGACTATGAGGCATGAGATTGAAAAAGCGTTTTGACGAAGCAAGAAATCACAGGTTTCTTTGTTCTTCACGCCGTGGGTAGGACTATTGCTCTCCACCCTCTCCTCTATTGTTTCTAGGCCTTCGTTCCTAGCTTCTCTGCTGGTGCAAATCCACTGGTCACGATGTCTCCAACAAATCCGTCTACGATAGTCCTTTGATCCGTTCGCTTCCGGCTTTCAGCCTGCGGTGTTTCGTGCTCCCAGCGTCCCCCGTTTTCGGTTTTGTTTTAGTATCGTTTGTCGATCTATCTTTTTTTTCTTTTATGTTCTGATCCCATCCGGTGTGGGGTGTGCGTTCTTACACAAGTGGTTTGCGAGTCTGGTTATCTTTTATCTTGAACCCCCCGATGAGAGGGGCAGATGGTATGGTGGGTGGTTTGTTCGGCGTCCACAACATAGACATGGGCATGTGTTCATCTTTTGCGCGAGTGTTCGACATCAGAAAGAAGAAAAGCTTTTTTTTTTTTACATTATCTTTTATGGGATGGTTGTTGTCGAATTGCCACGTTTCTTTTCATTCTTGCAGTCCTTTTTTTTTTACCATGTTCTTTTATCTTTCCCTTTCTCGTTTTTTCTTCTGCATCGCATGGCCTCTTTTCTCGTGTAAAGTCGGCATGGCAGGACATATGTGTGCTTTGGGAATTTCTTGAGGTGTGATTTAAGGTGTTTCGTTTCATTCTTTGGGTTTTGCTAGAAAAGCAGCTAGAAATAGACTTATGATCATATTGACTTAGAAGTGTCTAGGGGAACCTGGGGTACCCTTGGGGGAAGAATATCAAGGTACTTGTATCAGCTGATTTATATGTACTGCGTACCTAGGTACTCTGTAAGATGTCGCGGAATTGCGGAGAAATGGAGAAATGGATATAAGGAGACTCTCCGAAAACTTCCTATGTAACGTCATGGCCATAATCCACCGCCCGTGATTGGAGCGCCTATGGGATCGGGATCTCTAGAATTCGGGATCTCTCAGCACTTCTTCTCTACATATCAACTTCTATTCTATAGTCAAGTATTATACAGGTGAACTACTCTTCCTGTCCCACCATGTCCAACAACCGTCCATTCCTCGCCAACTTCCTGGCCGCCTTTCGCGCCCAGTCAAACTACAAGCCCACCACCCAACAAGTCGGCACCACAACCTCAACCCTCTCCCCCTCCCAAATCTCCCAGAGCGCCCGCGCCATCGCCACAAAAGCTGCAAACTCCGCCCAAGGCTCCTCAGCACCATCATCCGCTTCCGCCGCAGCTCACCACACCCACCATAACCACCACCACACCCATACCCACACATCCTCTCCCACCTCGGCAACTACAGCACCAGCCGGTCCAGTCCAAGGCCCAAGCCCAGCAGCCCCTTCACACCACTACCACCACGACCAACCATCCCTCCCCTCCACACCACCATCATCCACCTCAACACCCATCCCGATCAACCGTGATTCTGCAGACCGCCAGCGTCGCGGGAGTGACTCATCCAGTGGCTCTGGCGGGTTCCGCGATGCTATCGGTCCGGAGAAGTGGTATATTGGTGGGAGAACGCCGGCTGGTGAAGAGCGCTTTTATCGCCTCGGGATGGTTACGAAGGGTGGGGGGCGGCTTGGCGGGAGCGGGCGGGTGGGGAGTATTGATCAGTTGAGTCTTTGAGATATAAGATGTGGGGGGTATGGAGTTTGGTTTAGTTTTCTGTCTGGTCTTGATTCGGTTTTGGGTTGACTTTGGCTCTGGCCCTGACTCTGGCCCCGACTCTGGCTTGGATGTCCGTGGCTATCATCCTGGGACTGCAATCGTATGCTCGATCGGATGGTTTTCTGGCCTTGCTTAATTAACGAGGTTTATGCGTGTTTCTTTTTGCCTTTTCTCGCCCCCGTTCTATCGGTCTGTTATGTGGCGCGGCATTACTGGGCGTCCTGGGACGGTGTTATCTTCTCTTTCTTCCTCTTTTTCGTTTCTTCCCTGCGTTCTCTGATATCCGTTCAGGTCTGGAATCTGGATTCGGGGGATGATATCAGGTTCCAACTGGGGATCTTGGTTTCTTGCTGGTAATTTTGCTGGTACAAAAGAAGCCCAAAAAAGACATACATCTTACACTATTCTACATGAGTTATGGTCTGCGTGGGAATGGGGGTCTGTTTAGTCTCTCGTTTGGCTTTTCTCTCTCCTCTCTCTCTCTCTCTCTCTATTTCTCTTTTTATTCTGTCTGTCTTCGACACTTGCAGGTTGATGGTCAAAAACATGCCTTTCGATGTCAAAATTACTAGTTATCGTCAATATTACATATTTGAATATCCTTACTTAGCACCTTTTCCTATAGACTACCTGCATATGCACGAATAAGGTATTGGCCCCTGTCAATTAAAAGATGAGATTCTGTATGTCCTGGGCAGCTAGCTAGCCCCCTCACACGACCTGCTGTGTAACACAATGCAGCACACCCCCAGTCCTGGGCAAGGCATTAACCTCGACCTGACGAACCTCCCTCTCAGGAACCAGACTCTTCAACAACTCAAAAGCCTTCGCATCAGCCTCAACATCCCCAAACGCCGGCATAACCAGCCCCCCGTTAACGAAATAAAAGTTAACATACGAAGCCGCCGGCGCCTTCTCCTCCCCAGCAAGATTTCCCTCGATGCAGCTCGGATCTGGCTCAACAACATCATGAACCTCAAAGCGCCGCCCACGGGCATCAGTAGATCTCTCCAAGACCTCCCGAATCTCCGAATAGATCTCCCAATGCACCTTCTCCGCCTTCTCATGTGGGCGACACACAACAACAACACCGGGCCTCACAAACCTCGCCTCAGCATCAATATGCACATCCGTAACATCAAGCCCCACCCGACCAGGGAACCAGATGAAAGTGCTAACTCCCAGCAACCGGCCAAGCTCAGCCTCGATCTCCTTCTTCCCGAGTCCAGCATTCCGCGCATCCCCAATAATACTACTCTCTGTCGCCATAAACGTCCCCTCGCCGTCGACTTCAATACCCCCGCCCTCAAGCTTGATAGCCGACTGCACGCGGACGACTACATCCGCCACAGCGTCTGCATTCGCATTCTCGAGATCCAGCACGACGCCCGCGAAAGCCGTGTTTTCGCGCATGGCTTCAACGTCCATGACCGGCCACTCCGCGTACTGTGGGGATGTCTCCAGGGCCTTTGCTGCTGCGGGTGAGACGCGGGACCCGTAGATGCGTTCTGTTGTTTTGTGGCCCCATTCGCAGAAGCGGAAATCGATTGCGTAGCGGGTTTTATCTTCTGCGTCGGCGCTGCGGGTGTAGACAGGTCCTGTGTCGCGAATCCAGCAGTGGTTTGTTGGTGCTGCGATGAGGGTTATGTTGGCGCGGTGCTGGGGTGAAAGAGTGCTTTGTCTGTCGAGGAGGGCTTCAGCTTGCGGGATGTCTTCTGGTCGGGCGTGGAGGCGGACGGGCTCGAAGGCTGCGATTGTTGTCGCAAGGGATATTATCTCGTTGCGTGTTGCGGCGTGCAGTTCGGGTAGGGTCGAGCGTCGTGAGGGGAAGCTTAGGAGGGTTGCTAGGTGGGGCCTTGTTTCTGCTGGACATATGTATTGCTTGTCTGCTGGTTGGTGCGCGAGGGCGCGGTGCTGGATGTGCCAGGTTTTGTTGGTTGGTGGCATGGTTGTTGTTGTTGGATGGGTTGGTTGGAATAGGGGATTGAATTGGTAGGTGACTGGTATGTGAGGTCGGCGTAAGGAGATCTGGATGGGTTAGATCACATGTGTGTGGTACAGGATGTGATGGGGTTGATAGACTGATATACTGACAGTGATAGATGCTTGTCTTAAGCGTTGGATAGAGTGAAGAAGTGGCATGAGAAAGAATGCTCAGGGCAGGTTGGAGGGTATTTATGCTAACGCAAAGATCCCAATGTGGTCAATATGAGGAGATGAGAAGATGAGGAGACAAATGTCAAAGATGAGCCTAAACAAGTTAAAAGGATGAGAACCATTGAGCTGCCGCATTGGGATAGTCCAGGCGATAAGCTTAACATCATAGTGGGGCTTCCAAGGTTGTTATATGGATCTAACCCTTTTTGAACTTCAGTTGGCTTCCCAACGTTATGAAATTGGAATTTGTCAAATGTTCCTGGATCTAAGGAAAGCTAATGTAAATTCATTGATGTCTGAATATCTATCTGTTCACGAAACTTGTATAGAATTATTGTCCCGACTCCTCGCCTCTCAGCCTCTAAGAGATATCTTGATACGAGAGATAAGCGATATCTGGAATCAATGATTGTAGTTCCCTAGGTTCATCTATTGCCGCTATAATGGAAGATGAAATGCAAAAGATGCCGAAGACTCCATGTATACACAGATAACGGCATCTTATAAAAGTCGCTCATATAGGAAATTCAGGTGCGACGTACAGTTCCGAAGTGACCTACTTACATGTATGATGTAGGGCAGTAGGCAGAACTGATACCTGCCTTCGAAAAAAAAACAGTGCTGCCTAACTGCGTAACCCTCATTCAACTCATTAAAGCCCTTTCCTCCTCATTTTCTCCCAACCACAACATCGGAAGTGCAGTGAGCGCTACCAAAACTCCCAAAGTGCCCGTCATCGCGCCCCACCCAAAACGATACTCGACAAACCCACCCCAAAGTGGTCCAAAGAACACCCCCGCAAATTGGCACATGCTCTGCAATCCGAATCCCTGCGCTACGGCGCCCTTGGGTCCGAGAATTCCCGGAACCTTGAGTTCCATCGCCGTGAGCGCGCGCTGCGTCTCAACATACATGGCTGGTGCACAGGCGTGGATGAAAATCCCGGTAAGGAAGAACAATGCTACTAACAGAGCGATCTGTTCATTTGACTTCGTCTGGACGAACCGGAGACAGATGAGGGTGGGCGAGAGAGAAACGAAACAGCCAAAGGCTACGAAGCGGGCACCGAACTTGTCGGTGAAGCCGCCGAAAAGCGGCTCGAAGAAGGCCGGGACGGCCATTGGAAGGAATATTAGTCCCATGCCGAGGGCGTTCCAGCCGAATATCGTTTCGACGAAGATGGGTAGGGTCTTGATGTGATTAGCCAGTTCTTCACACATTAAATACATCGAGTCTGGAACATACCGCATCAAAAGCAGAAAGCAAGAGCCCCTGGGTGAGAAGCGCCCACGAAGAAATCAGCACTCGGCGCTGCTTGAGCATCCGGAAGATAACGAATCCCTTCCTTCTCTGGATGACCGGTGGTTCGCGTGAACCGACAGAAGGAATACGCTGTGCCGTCTCCAGATCTGACTCCAAGTCTCCGTTCGATTCTCCAGTCCATTGAGCAGCGACCTTCTTCTCGATCAAAACCAGCCGCATAACCATGTCAAGCGCAAGAATAGGATACGCAAACCAGAACACGGCATCATACCCACCGGAATTGTACACAACGCCTCCGAGGAATGGACCTAGTAAGAAGCCCGCGGCAATCGCGGAGCCAAGATACCCTATCGTTTGACCGAGATGCTCCTGGTCCACAGCATCGCCGATGAGAGCGAATGCCGCTACCACTACTAAAGCGCCTGCGATGCCTTGGAGCACACGAGCTGCGACAAATGCAGCGATGGAATGCGCCAGCTGCAAGACTAGCATGCAGCCGGTTAATACGACCAGGGCACTGATGAAGGGCAGTCGACGTGTGCGTCCGCGGTCGACCAGATAGCCGAATATGGGACACATCAACAGAGAGGTGCCTGCTTCGGACATGAGAAGGACACTGACCCAATATTCTCCTATTTAATTGTGAGTATGTGATAATTTGCGAGGAAAAGCTGTTAGTGAGGACAGGAACAGGACATACGGTGCTCAAATTCGACTCCGGCTCGGGTTATGAGGGCTGTTGGCATCACGGGGACTATCTGTCGTTCATTGATTATGGGCTCAATTCACATTATGGAAGTGGGATTTTGCTTACCATTGCATATAGGAGGAATTCCTTATTCCAATTGAGTCTCGGTCAGTTGCGGACTTACGAGACATAAACAACTATGCTCCCACATACCGTGAAGGTGGACATCCAGACTGCACCGATGATGAAACCCGTCGAAGAACGAAACTTCAACAGCCAGGGAGCACGCTTTCCCCCTGGCTCTCTCTTGAGGTTTGATAGATCGACCATAGTCATGATTGTCTGAAAAACACGAGCGGTTGTCTGAGTGATGGAAACAAAGAAGTTGCTCGGTAATCGGAATCACTAATATAAGGTCCGACTAATATGAGGTCCGACTAATATGAGGTCCGACTAATTGGAAATTCAGACAAAGCTGAGAATTAAACAAAACCAGAGATTAGTCGATAAATACCAGACATAACAGGCAAGTGAGGACTCTTTGTTGAACAAAGAAGAACCAAGAAACCCGTCAGCCCAGCCTTGACCGAGAATCGGATAGACCTCGTCCGCTTTTTACTCATTGATACTTCACCCAATCGCGGGATATTATGTTGATTGATAGGGCTTGGAAGTGTGCACTGCATGCAAGATTCGTCAGATCGACGTTGCAGACATACCACCATTGCCCATATTCTGCGCATTGGCACCAACCACACCCTCCGATTCGATGATTGCAATCTAAGCCGGAGATCAGGCGTGCTTGGCATTCGTTTCATTGATGCACTCCGTGAATTATTTATTCGGCCAAAAAAGAATACAATCTGCTATTTGGATCTGACGTGGATACATCTTACATACTGTCGTTCTGGGACATGGGTGTTGGGATTGTTTCCACTGCTATTTGGACGGGTATTTGGGGTCCTCTATATATGAGAGAGACTGACATGTAGTTAAATATCTTGGTTATTCCCTGCCCAAAGATGAAACTTTGCTTTTGTCGCCGGAGCAGTGTGGTCGGTAGCGTGGCTGAGCACATGATGGTCTCGGGTAATATTGTCACTCAGATAAGAGGCAAATCGACTCCATCATGGCAGTCGTTGTTGACCACTAGATTGGTTAGTATGCTTGACGTTTGCACATGTTGTGACAGGATGCGTAGCCACGCATTTCCCCTATGCGGCATGTAGGTACTGTCCTGTGCTCTGTGGGTATTGCGGCTCTTCTATTACCGAGTATCGGCGAAGATGTCAGCGTTGATTCCGAGTGTTGTTAAACCCAAATAAGCGCCCTGATGGTGTTTGTGTTCCTTGGTGTGGGTTGTTCGGTAAGATATACTGCGTTCCGTGGGCCTCATAGATACCCGATTTGCATGAGCAACCTGGTATACACCACGGAGGATATAGATACAACCTAGCGTGGACGATTGAAGTAGGACCGCCTTAACCCTGATATACTCTCAGTATACTCTGTAGAAAGTACGCAAATGAACAAGGGGAAACAAAAAAGCCATTATATCTCGTCATCCAGGCGAGTCAACGTACAGACCGTGACGTTTTTCTCCCCGCACTGTACCACCAGCGGCGAGGTCACTGCGCATGTTTATTGTGACAATTGTCAGCAGAGAGCATATAATGTCAGCGCTGAGTGTTTATCGCCAGGACTTCCACGTCCTTCACGGCTCGCAGCTCGCCGGGTATCCGCAGTGGAGGTCTCCGGGCTGATTGTCATCGTAGTACAAAGTGTTAGGGATTTGAAATATAATAATCTAGGGATTTGCAGTTGATGTTTGCAGAGTCGGAGGTCGGGATTTCGGGATTTCGGGATTCGTGGAAATATGAGATGATCTCCACTGTATTGAACTCGGCTCGTGGCCCGAAAGTCTGGGGAAAAAAGAAATTGCGTTCCCCTTCTTCTTTGTCTATGATGGTGATAGGAGGTTGAGAATGCCAAGGCTATGAAAGTATCAGGCCATGGAGGGAAAATCAGCTGTCTAATCGCCAACTGATAAGATCGGGATTTGGGGAAGCGGCCACTCGCGGCCAGAGCGGCCATCGGAGGTGCCCGATGCTCTCTGGATCAGACAATTTGGTGCATTCCAGATAAAATAAATACTGATCTGATCTGCTAGATAATACAATTCTTTACCTTTCATCCTCTTCTACTACTCCTTCTCTTCTATATTCCAAGGTTATCTCTCACTATTCAATATGAGCGCATTGGCAGCTGCCCGCTATGGCAAGGACAATGTCCGGGTGTGCAAGGTGCACCGCGATGAGAAGACCGGTATCCAGACTATCGTGGAGATGACCGTATGTGTCCTGCTGGAAGGCGATATTGAGACCTCGTAAGTCTAGCGACATCTTTTAGCTCCAAAAAAAAAGATTGAAGCTAACACAAAGGTCTCCACAGTTACACCAAAGCCGACAACAGCGTCGTTGTCGCAACCGACTCGATCAAGAACACCATCTTCATCACAGCCAAGCAGAACCCCGTAACCCCACCGGAGCTATTCGGCTCAATCCTGGGCACCCACTTCATCGAGAAGTACAGCCACATCCACGCGGCGCACGTCAATATCGTCACCCACCGCTGGGTGCGCATGGACATCGACGGCAAGCCGCACCCGCACTCGTTCATCAAGCCTGGCTCCGAGACTCGCGACGTGCAAGTCGACGTGATTGAGGGGAAGGGAATCGACATCAACTCCTCTATCAACGGCCTGACTGTGCTGAAGAGCACCGGTTCCCAGTTCTGGGGTTTCGTCCGCGACGAGTACACCACCCTCAAGGAGACCTGGGATCGTCTCCTCAGCACTGATGTCGCAGCGAACTGGCAGTGGCGCCGCTTTACTAGCCTCGCCGAGGTCAAGACACACTTTGAGAAGTTCAATGTTGCTTGGGAGGCGGCCCGCGCTATTACCCTCAAGACCTTTGCTGAGGATAACAGTGCCTCTGTCCAGGCGACGATGTATAAGATGGGAGAGCAGATTCTTGCTGCTGTGCCTCTGCTGGATACCGTTGAGTATGCGTTGCCTAATAACCATTTCTTCGAAGTTGGTATGTTTGACCCTTTCCCCTGTGAATCTTGGATTTGGGCTAATCCCTGCGCTTTTAGACCTCAGCTGGCACAAGGGTATCAAGAACACCGGCAAGGATGCCGAGGTGTACGCCCCCCAGTCCAACCCCAACGGTCTTATCAAGTGCACCGTTGGTCGCGCTGGCCAAAAGGCTAAGCTGTAAATACTTTTTCGAGGATTGTCGGCGAGCTCCGACATGGGCGCTAGCTTGGTTTTTTTGCTTCTCTTGTACATATATCCATTTCCTATACCTTTGGGACCAGGACTCCCTATATCTTGAATCCAATCCGGCACACCTCTTCCCATAATACAGCATTGTAGAGAAGATAGATAAGTATTGTATAGTACGTGGTATTGTGATTGTATGTGCTATAAGTACATTTCAAAAGAACCGCAGGCTCTGAAAGTTGAAAAGTCCGAGGCCAAGTCAACGGAGTAGATAATCAAAAGCAATATCCCAAATGGACTCCACACCCATGCGCTTTTGCAGTAGGATCATAACATCGCAGGAGAATAGAATACAGGCAGACACAGACCCGGTTTAGGTCGGTATTGTAAAATGACGAAAGAAGAAGAGATGAAAAAGGTTGCTTTATGCGCTTGGCTTGTCGGCGGCTTCTTTGAATGCTTCCTGCACTTCGGGCAGATTTCCGATCACCGATTGGTTGCCGAACTTGACGATATTTTCCTTGTAGGGGTGGGCGACACCTTCGAAAGCTGCGCGATATCGGGTTAGACTGGAGTCAAAACATGAAAGACTAGATGGGCTGAATGGATGGGGTCCATGTTGTTCTTGGAAGATGAACCCGTGTATATATCCCTCAAGTAACCCATCCAAGGAGCAGGAGCGCAGCAACCACGTAAGACTTACTCTTCAATCGAGCGAGGCGGGCATCCTTAAGTCGGTTCTTAGGCAGCATGCCTCTGACAGCGCGGCGGAGAACTTCACCACCACCCCATTTGGCAAACATTTGATCCATCGTCATGCTCTTCAAGCTACCGGGCCGCGTCGTGTGCGTGTAGTACTTCTTCTGGAATCGCTTCTTTCCTGTTGTCTTGAGATCGTGACATCCCACAACCACCACGTAGTCACCACAGTCTGTTGAGGGGTCGTAGATGGGCTTGTTCTTGCCCATCAAAACGAGGGCGATCGACGAGGCGAGGCGGCCGAGGGATCGTTCATCGGCGCCGGCATCGACATAGTGCCATGTGCGCGAGTAGGCGAGACGGGTCTGATGCGTCAATAGTTAGAATTGAGTTGCTTGCTAGAAAGTAGGGTGTGCGCGGTTGGCCCGGAAGGCTCCGCATTGAAGCTATTTACCTTGCCGACGAGTTGCGACATCTTGTTGACGCGGTGGAGGGGAGTGTAGGTGCCGGGGTGGGGGGCAATTAGACAATTAATGAAAGGTGGAGAAGTTCAATTGAAGATCTCAGTAACAAAAACAGACCCAGCGCCTAAGTATTCGAGATAATGATGATCTCAGCGTTCTCTGTATTGCTTGTAGCCTCTAACCCGCCCCCGACTGAAGTTCTCCGGGTCATGTGACCAAGCCCTAAGTCTCGTGCCACGCTAGTCCCGAAATAGAATTAGCGTCGCACACTAAGCGAAACCCGCACGGAAGGGCAAATCACTGTGTATGGGAATTCAAGTGACTCTTTTTCCATCTCCCTCGACAACACACTCCCTCCCCCACGACAATCCACCATGGCTTCCGTCCCGAGTGTGCAATGCTTCGGCAAGAAGAAGACGGGTAAGCTCTCTTTTTTTCGGCCGGAGATCAGTGTGAATGAACCCGTGCGCTGACATATTTAATTTTCAATAGCCACCGCTGTCGCCCACTGCAAGGTATGATGAACGCCTATACCCCCTCGGTCCCAATACGTTGTTTCGAAATATCTGGAAGGAAAACAGTCGGAAAGGAATTGTGCACGAAGCGACGAACTGGGATTGAATTTTGGAAGGATATACGAAACAACATGTTGCGCCGTCATCGGGGTCATATACACATTGAACTGGACAACATGCTGAGACTTTTTACAGCAAGGCAAGGGCCTCGTCAAGGTTAACGGCCAGCCCCTCTCCCTGGTCCAGCCCGAGATCCTCCGTTTCAAGGTACGCACAATACATTCGCTCCACCAACTCCCGCGCGCCACAAAAGAAGGGATTCGCACGAATCGCAAACGACAATGGCAAGGCGAAAACGTCTCCGAAATCGGTTTCTGACAATTCACGCTCTAAATTTTAGGTCTACGAGCCCCTCCTCATCGTCGGCGTTGACAAGTTCGCCGGTGTCGACATCCGTGTCCGCGTTACCGGTGGTGGTCACACCTCGCAGGTCTACGCCATCCGTCAGGCCATCGCCAAGTCCATTGTCGCCTACTACCAGAAGTACGTCGATGAGCACTCCAAGAACCAGCTGAAGCAGGCTCTTGCTCAGTACGACCGCACACTCCTGGTTGCCGACAACCGCCGTGCCGAGCCCAAGAAGTTCGGTGGTCGCGGTGCCCGCTCCCGTTACCAGAAGTCCTACCGTTAAATTTTTCTTTCTCACTTGTTACGCGGCGAAAGGGAAAAGAAAAGTTTACGGCAACGGGGAAATGGAATATGTCTGTCTTCATATGTTTTTTCTATCACGACTTACTTCCATGACTTCTTGGTGGACTGGGGACTTGGGAGGATTCGGGGATGTTTGAGCGGTTTTTGTTCGGTTTAACCGCTCTTACATGAGATCAGAGGACCGGGCTAGAGGAATTTGGGAAAATGACCTCTGGTTGTTGTTCCGGTGCCTTGTTGATATGTTTTTCACTGGCGCTGTCCTGCACGGCTGGAAAAAATACCTAGCATAGCCAGGAAAATCTACTCAATGATACTGGGTTTTATCTTGTTCAAATCTTTGTTTTCGGGATCTTTGGGGTTATTTTAGCTATGGTGTTCTAACATTGGTCTCACTTTTTCCCAGATTTATGTTTTCCATACGCCAAACTTGGGCAGGTATATGCTCTTGAAGGTAAACCACCGAGGTACTCGCCCCTCGCTCTCCCATACCGGACCACATCTAGGATTCATGAATCTGCACACTGATAGCAAAGTTTACCCCGGACATTAGCTATCTATCACTCGGATTTGCCGCAAAACGTCATTCCAATTGGATACTATTTCTATTTCTTGTCGTAGCCAGACGGTGTGGCCCACATGAACCCAAACATACAAGAAGAAAACGATGTTGGCACTTGCACCCAGTGCTGCGGCTATCTTTCAACATTTCCAGCAACAGCTCCTCTCGAGGTGCTCCTCCAATGTCTCCAGTAGCTCTTCGCCATATCTCTTGTCTTAACATAACAGCCCGGGACTAGTCATCAGTCAGATATTGCCTTGTATCATCGTTGATAACCTCGGGCAGTGAGCTTACCATTTCATCTGGAATGCATAAACCTAGTATCACCAAGGTAGGTAATTGCAGTGTCTTCTCTTGCCCAACCCTCAATTCGTCTTGGATCGGAAGTTCTTTCTTTCTTCGTTGGGGGTAGCATTGGATAAGGAAGTATGGGATCAGTGCAAGCTCATCATCTTGTTGAGAGTGTGGTGCTGTAAATGTGTTCCCACTCAAAGTGCTATGAGACTCAACCGTTAGCGAAGCATAAAAGACTCCAAACTCATTTGTCCGATCGACCCTCTGTAGTTGAGACATTGTAGTCAACTCTTATCAGAGGCTTTTTTAATTTCTCCTTCATTGATGACTGTGCCAATGCGTAGCCACTCGGATGGAATAAGAACGTTAAAGTCATCATTTGAGAGTCTCAAGGTCTCAACCACAATCTCACGAGGCTCGCTCGACCATTACCAAAGCATAGGGGGAATTGCCAACGTACCTTTGTCGATCAACCCTACGTTGTCGAAACCTTGTGTTCATCTCATATGATTGAACATTTCAACAATCATCATGTGTGGGTTTCGAGACTCTCCCACTTGATATGGATTCATCCACTCTATGTAAGTTCATCTAAAAGCTCATAATTAACTATCACAAAAATGCAGGCGAATGGAAAACTCGCCTTTGTTCATCTCTGTCATCACTGAAGCACAGGAGTGTTCTCATCTGGGATATAAAACTCCACTGCGGCCAAAACATAGGGAAGTTGTAGACATCTCTTTCGAGAGATCAATCCTCTGTAGTGGAAACCTTCTGTAGCTCCTATCAGATGTTTGTAGAAAAGTATTTCATTGGAGCCCATGCCAATGCGTAGCCATCCTCGAAGTGAAGTACCAAACGGTCATCATTTAGGAGTTTTGAAGGTTTATCGATTTGGGAAGGTTCTCTCAAATCTCACGGTTAACATTCACAAAAATGGAGGAATGGGAAACTTGCCTTTCTTTCTTTGCCTCGACCACCACTGAAGTATAGGCGTGGTCTCATCCAAGTACGAGCCTGGGAAGATTTCTCTAAAAAGTCATAGTCAATGATCAGGGGAATAGAAACTTACCTCTCTCTCCTTTTGTCTCGACAATTCTTGAAGCATACGCTTGTTTTGATCTAAAATGTCATAATAAATCATAAGGAGATTGAAAACGTACCTCTCTTGATATTCGTGAGCCTCAAGCTCCTCGCGTCAGGTATGTTTTCTCTATTCGTTGTCTTGCCAAGGCAGGTCACCGAATAGAGAAGGCATAAAAGATCATCATTCGCGAGCTTTCGGGCGTATCCATCAGTGTGTCTGTAGTCACTGCACGACTATCTCGAGTCGCTCCCACAAATAGTGAGGAGCGAGAAGTGCGAAAACCGATCTAGATAATTGGAAAGGTCAGCGATATTGATCCAAACAGGAGCCTGGGTGTCAATTGAAAAAACAAGTTCTCTTCTTTGGCTTTGTATCAACCTGAATATTCAATTTCAGGACCGGAGAACCGGCAAATGAGAGGCCAGAGTATTGCGGTGATCTGTATCAACATTCTTGATTGGGGTAATTGGCCTCGCATCAGATTGTTCTTTTCATGTATTTTCCTCACAGTCCACAGTCAAAGTGTAGACTAGGGTGATCAAGTGTAGTTAAGATTGGTCATCATTTTTGTGGGCTTCAATTGTTCTTGGATGATCAAGGGCTTGTGTCCAGTCATACCTGAATGGGAAATTGGCAATCTAAAGCGATACATTGGAACGATTAGCAGAGAAGCTCCAATATCAGCGTAGGGGGGGTTGTGTCATACGTTGAGAATATCGGCATTTTCGTCTTTGGTCCCATATTAGCCTGAGAGTTGCGTATCAACATAGGAAGCTGGGATCGAACAGAACAGAGTTGCCAACGGTTTGGTCCGAATTGACTTTTTTATTTGTCGCGCCTCAGACAGACTGATGTAGCTCATGGATGTTCAAGTTCCCGTTTGCGAGATTTCAAATCCCCAAGGCATTAGTCTGTAGAGCCCCGAGGTATTCGTATAAAGTCATACCTATGTATGCATAGAAAGGAACTAAGAGAGACGAGACCCTTTGATCTGGAAGTGTGAACTAGAAGCTCCAATGCGGTATTGGATCACAACAACAGACGAGTCAGTGATGAAAGTCGAGTATCCTTGTTTCTTCAACCCGTACCGGTATTCAATTTTCATCTTGAATTGTCTGTTGAACTTTCAAGGAAAAGGGGGCCCTTCAAATTGTAGTCCTCATCATTCGAACTTTCAGATGATTATGCTGCTAAGGATCCATTGGAGTCATAGTGAGTCACACCTGAGAGTGAATATGGGATAATCTAGATACCAAGAGCGTTAGACGGAAGAAATCCAACGTAACAAGTTCAGAAGAGCTGCATGATCGGCCAAGGAAATAAGGCATTTTTTTTCGCCTTGTATCAGATGTGCTTCGAACCTATCACTGAGCCCATTGGCTCCGATGGTCCACGGTCCCTCAAAGTGTAGTAACCTTTTTTTGTCATCATAAAATGTGCTTTCTGCGACACCGAATATCCATTGTGCTTGTGGGGTTCGAAGGAGGATCATACCTTAGCGTACAGAAGGCAAATCTAGAATATCTTGAGGTTGTTAGCGAGAACTCCCAATATCAAAGCAGAATAAGGGCCATAGAATCAGCTGAGGAAAGAAATATCCTTTTCTCGCATCGTATCAGAGCTCTTTTCAGTTTTTTTCTTTTTTCGAAGCTTTTCATGGTGTCCATTGGCCTAGTCATTTGGCTGGCCACGGTCACTCAAGCTATAGATTCTCATCATAACATGCGCTTTCGGGTCCACCGAGTATCCATTGTGCTTGTGGAATGCGAGGGGATTCATATCGAGCTAGTGAACATGGAATGCTTACCTAGGTATCTTGAGAGTGTTAGCAAAAGTATTCGAACATTATTCCATAGTACTAACCGTTGCATCATCAAACCAAATACTCTTTTGTCTTGGCCCAGATCAGCTTGATGTTTTCAGTTCCATCCAAAGTTTGCTTTTAGCCCATTGGTTTCTGTGGCTCGAGTAGCCATCATTTGCGAGTTTCACGGATAATTAAAGTGGTAGTATCGTCATGTATGCGCGTGTCGATCGGATGAATACTATGTATATTTCCCACATGTTAGCGGAATCGGTCCAATGATGCAATATAGTAAATCATCATATCACCAATCGGGGAAACCAGTGTTTTATCTCACATCAGAGCAACATCTCAGCTTTCAACGCTGAGGATTGAGAAAGTTCTTGTATGATCATTCGCCGGATTCGACTCGAGGGACGAGTCAGACTTGAACTTGAGGCTCAAGTCATACCTAAACATAGAGATGGTATCCTGTATAACTAGATTAGTGAAAGTGGTGTTAGCCAACGTTCACATATCCCATAGAAAGGTTGTTATGGATAGGGTTCTTCTGCTTCCGTTTCCTTTTATATCAGATCAATAAATGTTTCGGCATATCTGCAGATTGGACTGTGCACTGAATTTAAGGTCATCATAGACGACAGCGCAGTAAAGATGACTCTCATACTCCCCTAGGGTATAATGGTAAACCACAGTTGCTCACCGTATTCAGGGTCCAATACCAAGGAAGTGTTCACATGTGCATCCGTCGTACACACCCAGCTGCCATGTCTGTGCATATGGAGGAATGGCTGCTGCTAGAAAGTTTGGCGACGGGGTTGAGGGGATATCCTGGATTGAGTTAGGATCAATCAAATTTAATGTTATCAAAGTAAGTTGCAATAGCATACTCTAAGGGGGAAGACTCACCAAAATCCTTTTCAACAACTCGTGTTCGTAGCTCATGCTGTGTTCTGTTAGGCCATAGTTCGTTGATGTGATGGGTAAACGAACCGTAATGCGACGGGCGAAGGCAACATGGCTGGTACCTACATGTAATGAATGGAAAGTAAAAGAGAACAGATCAAAAGACTAGTTGGAACCTACCGGCATGCTATGGGATCTGAAAGAAAGGATAGTGGACTGGAAGCTGGAACACGTCCCGAAGGTTGTCAACGAAGTATGTCTCTGTCACGTCAACGCAGCCATACGTAGGAAGATGCAGTTACATACGTACGCCGTAAAACGAAAAACAAGCAAAAAGAAAAGACATCTACCTAAAAATGGAATGGTAAACGGCTCAACCGCGGTTTGAATCTCAGCCGAGAACTGCATACAAGCAAAATATCATGAGGGGCTCTATATCCATGTGCACATATATTAGATCTACCCTGCTGCCCCTAGCGGATACCATTTTAGAGCACGGCAGTACCATAATCTTGATTATTGAACTCCTATTCTTCGCCAATAGTGTAACCTGCGCTATCCAGGATTGGTTTGTGTTAGACAAGATTATAGCCTCCCTAGGCCATAAGCATATAGCTTGGGTTTTGCTACACTCTAAATGTTAAAGCTTTCTACTTCTAACAGTGATAACTGGCTACGCCATAATGCCCGTTTCAATCAGTGCCGCTGTCTGCGAACATTATGGTCCTAATGATGCACATACCTACCAATCGCCCTGAATGCCGGGCTCGTATTACTGATAGTTTAGTTCCATTATAGTAGTCTAAACTTCATGCATAGAATATTGGGTAACTGGGCTAGTTTCTGTGCAAGCGAAAAAGTCTTTTCTTTTTGGGCTTTCTGGCCGGCTTTTCAACACTTAAACAGCTACATGCCTCTATCCGAGCCATTTATAGTGCCTATTACACTAATCAAATGCATGTTCGCATTGTATATGTTAATAATTTTGAACAGCAAATTTGAAAGAAAAAAAGTCCAAAGCGGCCTGTTGATATTAGAGCCTTATAGAGTTGGATACACATGTGTGTATTAACTAGGGCACGATATGATCGCCTGATCTTAGGACGGGTATGTTCGCCTCAGGCACTACATGGCTGCCCCTATACGCCTGAGGCAGAATCCTCCAGGGCCGGAACCTTGGAAACACTTACGATGCTGACATAATTTCACCGGCAAACGCGACCAGACGCGTGGTGTTCGCGTGCCTGGATTCATTGCGCGACACTGCTTTGATCCTCCCTTTCCCCGCAACAATCGTCAGTCCAATCTACTCTTCTTTACGCACATAGCTCTATTTAATGGGTAGTGGTCTCTGAACAAACCATAATGCCTACGGCTCGCGAAAGATTGGCCGAGCTGAGGGCCCTCCGTGCCTCAGGAAAGAAACGAATTTCCACATACGAGGTCGAGGACCAGGGTGACATCTACGACGAGGTTGATGATGACGGTTACAAAAAGGTTATCCGAAACCGTCTTGACCAGGATGATTTCGTCGTCGATGATAACGGTGCCGGTTACGCGGACGATGGCCGTGAAGTGTGGAACGAACAGCCCGCAGAATATGACAGCGACGAAAGCGACGAACTACCCACACGAGGCAAGGCTGCCAAACGAAAGAGGGAAGAGGAACAACAGCGAAAGGAGAAAATGAACAACGGCATATCCAAGTACTTCAACAAAGGACAGGCTGCGGCTTCTGCTCCCAAGCCCAAGGTGAGTGCTTTTTGCTCATGGAATTGAAACCCTCGTTTTGACAATCTCTTTTACCAGCCCGCTGCTACTGCCGAGGACGATGCATTCATGGCCGATCTCCTCGGAGAGGTCGACACCAATGTCGCATCGAACCACGCCCCAACACGAAGCATTGTCAAGTCAGAAGCCCGACGCAAAGTTCGTGTTCTCTCCCCGCCCTTGTCTCAGAAGCATCGCCGCGAGAAGCTTCATGCAAGAGACGAAAATGACATGCCAAGCTCGCCAATGAGGGACCAGGCACTCCACTCTGACGATCTCGATGACGGTCCTCTACCGATGCCAGACGATGATGATGTTCCCATGAGTGATATCTTGCCCTCATCTCCAATTAGCAAAGCAGTGGAGCGGAGGAACACTGTTCCAGTCAAGGCTGAAGATCCGGAAGACGATGATGTTGACCTCATGGACGTGGCAGAAGTCACTGGAGACTCTGGTCTTAAAACGAAAACCATCAACATGACCGGCAGTCGGCCGCCTCCGAAGATCAAGCATGACGTTGCTCCTACACCAGAAAGCTCGTCCCCAATCAAGTCAATGCCAGAAGTAATTGATGCTTCTTGGAATGACGTGAGGAGCAAATTGAACGTTCTCAGCAGTCCAGCCCCGGAAATGCGATCCTTTGGGAAACTTCGCGCCCAAGATGTTGTCGAAGAGGACGGCAGTCTGCGCATATTCTGGCTGGATTATACGGAAGTCAACGGCAGTCTTTGTCTATTCGGAAAAGTGAAGAACAAGCAGAATGGATCCTTCACTAGTGCATTCGTTAAGGTTGACAATATCTTGCGAAAGCTTTATTTCCTTCCGCGTGAATATCGATACAAGCACGGACGAGCGACTGAAGAGGAGGTTGACATGCAAGATGTTTACTCAGAGGTCGACGAGATGATGTCAAAACTTAAGGTCGGCATGCACAAGATGAAACCATGCGAACGGAAGTACGCATTTGAAATGCCCGGTGTCCCAAAGGAGGCAGAGTATCTCAAGCTACTCTACCCCTACGATAAGGCTGCGTTGCCAATGGAAACTAAGGGCGAGACTTTCTCGAACGTTTTCGGTACAAATACCTCCCTATTTGAACAGTTTGTTCTCTGGAAAAATATAATGGGCCCTTGCTGGCTCAAGATCGACCAGGCCGACTTTGCGGCAGTAACCAACGCATCCTGGTGCAAGTTCGAATGCCAGGCCGCCAAACCAGCACTCATCAGCCTCGTCCCAGATTCCGAGAACCTGGATGCCCCGCCCTTAACCTTAATGAGTCTTTCTTTCCGTACCCAGCTCAATGTCAAGGAGAACAAGCAGGAGATTCTAATAGCGAGTGCCCGAGTGTATGAAGACGTTTCTCTAACTGATACCACTCCCCCGGAGAAGCTTCCGTGCAAGACATTCACCGTCATGCGCCCTGCTGGTGGATCATACCCAATGCATTTTGAAGCCGAAGCACGAAACCAGCGGGGGACTGTCATGCTCGAAAAAAGCGAACAGTTCTTACTCAGCAAGTTCCTGGCTATGTTTGAGAAGATGGACCCCGATGTGATCATGGGCCATCAGCTGCAGGATGTTGACCTAGGCATTCTACTCAGCCGGATGCGTGAAAAGAAGACGCCTGGCTGGCATCGTATTGGCCGACTCAGGCGTGGAGATTGGCCTAAGAATTTCAACAAGGGTGGCAACTTCTTTGCCGAAAGGCAGTTGATTGCTGGAAGGTTGATGTGCGATGTTGCCAACGACATGGGCAAGGTAATGTTCTCCTCAAAGTGAGTATATGACAATGCTGACAGCTATTAGTCTCTTATGATGAAATGCCAGTCGTGGAGTTTGACTGAGATGTGCCAGCTCTACCTTGGCCAAGGCAATGTACGCCAGGAACTAGATGCTGAAGCGGCATTGAGGACCTGGGCGACCACCAAGGAAGGTCTCATGAACTTTGTCAATCATTGTGATACAGATACATACTTCGTTGCAGCATTGGTTCTACGTCTTCAGATGCTGCCGCTCACGAAGGTCCTGACCAATACCGCTGGTAATTCGTGGGCACGCACACTTAGCGGTACGCGTGCCGAGCGCAACGAGTATATTCTGCTACATGAGTTCCATCGCAACAAATACATTTGCCCAGACAAGTACTCGTCTCGTCTTCAGAAGGCAGAGGAGAAAATGCAAGATGGCGACGATGACGAGGCGGGCGACAAGAAAAAGAAGGACAAATTCAAGGGTGGTCTTGTTTTCGAGCCGGAAAAAGGTCTTTACGACCGCTTCATCCTTGTTATGGACTTCAACAGTCTGTATCCCAGTATCATTCAGGAATACAATATCTGCTTCACGACAGTGGACCGAACAGCTACGGTAAATTAACTCAAACCAATCCCTCGTCTCATTTCGTTGTTCTAACATATGCAACTAGGCTGAGAATGAGAATGAAGAAAAAGTTCCAGATGTGCCCTCCTCTGACCAAGATCAAGGTGTTCTACCTCGGCTGATCGCGACGTTGGTTAATCGTCGACGCGAAGTGAAGAAGTTGATGAAAGACAAGCGTGCCACACCCGAACAACTGGCCATATGGGACACAAAACAATTGGCCCTGAAGCTGACTGCCAATTCCATGTACGGATGCTTGGGATACACGCAGAGTCGGTTCTACGCTCGACCTCTGGCAATGCTCACCACCTTCAAGGGACGTGAGATTCTGAGAAACACTAAGGAATTGGCTGAAAGCCAGCAATTGCGAGTTATTTACGGTGACACCGATTCGGTCATGATCAATACAAACATGGACAACATGAGCGACGCCATCAAGGTTGGCGAAGAGTTCAAGAAATCGGTCAACGAACGTTACCGACTTCTAGAAATTGATATCGACAATATCTTCCGTCGACTTCTACTGCATGCCAAGAAGAAGTACGCTGCCGTCAACCTTACTGAGGTGGATGGCAAGTACGTGGAGAAATTGGAGGTCAAGGGTCTTGACATGAAGCGTCGTGAATACTGTGCCCTCTCAAAGGAGGTATCGTCGAAGCTGCTCAACGAAATTCTGTCCGGTGAAGACCAGGAAATCGTGCTCAACAAGATTCACGAGTACTTGCGTGAGCTTGCAGAGAGGATGAAGGAATACACAATCCCTGTGCAGAAATACGTGATCTACACTGTATGTGATGAATCCGAGGAATTTTCTGGATCACCTTGCTAACGCTTTATCAGAAACTTTCAAAACGACCCCAGGAGTACCCCAATAAAGAGAGCATGCCACCGGCACAAGTCGCTCTTCGCGAAATTGCCCGGGGCAAGACAGTTAGACCGAACGACGTCATCTCATATATTGTGACCAACGGAGACTCTGAAACCTCATCTCTGCCTCCTGCCAAGCGATCATACACCCCGCAGGATGTCCTGAAGTCCGATTCAGGGCTCAAGCCAGATGTTGAGTTCTACATTCTCAAGCAAATCTTCCCTCCCATTGAGCGTCTCTGCGCCCCAATTCCTGGCACCGATGCCGTCCGTCTCGCCGAGTGCTTGGGTCTTGATACTCGCAAATATCAGATCAATACCTCTAGCTCCAGCAGTCAGCAAAACGCCGAGGTCACCCCGCTCGAGTCCCAGATCCCGGACTCGGTTCGGTTTGC